TGGTTTGGCGGGCAGTTTCGCTGACGGTGGACTTCTTCTTCAAAGTGGAGAGTTCGGCTTCTAGGGTCGCGATTTGGGTGTCTTTGGTGGTTGTGTCTTCGAGGGCTTGGGTGGAGTGGACGGTGGATGGGGATGGTTGTTGAGTGCCAGGTTGTTGTTGGCCCTGGCTTAGGGCGGCGAGTTCGGCGAGGCCATCTTCCATCATTGAGTCTGGGAAGAAGGCGTGGGTGAGAGCTTCGGAGAAGGGGTCTGTCTTCGTCTTGGGCTTTTGGGTATCTTTCGAGGTGGGGAGGAGGTGGGTTTGGAAGGCGTAGTCGGCAGGGACTGCGCCTGGGTTGACTGATGATTCGGAGAGTGCTTGGTCATATCGGGGCTTGACAATCGTATGCGCTATTCTTGTCAGGTCGAGGGATGGGTGAGGTAGGCCATTTAGCGGTAACATCGACAAGTTGGTCACAGGGTGTGTGTAGTCGGCTACGATCGTGGCGTATTTTCGTCTAGCGACGTTCCACGAAAGGACCTTGCCGTTACGTTGGCCGGTTAATAGGATAGTGCCGTCGTACGAGAGTGCAAGCGACTCGACCGCGCCCGTGTCGGACGAAGGTGGTAGCCAACGGTCTTCCGCTGAAGGCTGCGCTGGGGTAGACTGTAGCGAAGGGTCGTGGAGAGGATGTTGGACGGACTGGTTCTTGTAGAACTCAACGCCCTGCACGCTACCATCCTCATAACCCACGTAGAAGGCGCGATCGACCGGGTCGAGCGTTACGCATGTTGCTGAGGAGGGTAAAAGGAAGGTTCGCAAGACACGTCCCGTATGGTAATCCCAAGCGACCGCGGTGTTATCCCTTGCGGTCGAGACAGCGATATTGTAACGGCCAGCGCTGTGGCCCAAGGTGATTGATGTGATAGCAGCGCGGTGGTTTGAAAATGTGCGAATGGGCGAGTTTGGTTGCTGTCGATCCCGGCCAGATGGGGGCTTGATGAAGGAGAGAATGTTCGCCAACGACCACACGTGAATGCTCGCATCGGAGGATCCAGAGACAATGAAATTCGACGTCCGATCGACCACGAGAGAGGTTACCGGTTGTAAATGCGACGCCGTCGTAGCCACTTGTCGTCCGGTACAGGTCTATCAGATCTTCCAGTCAGATTTCGCAACGTCAAACGAAAGTAAAAGAGCATATCATACCTCCCACAAGATCAAACGACCGCCCTCTGTTCCCAGCACCAAGATATCGCCATTCTTACCCCCCGCAACCGCAAGACTGCGTATCCGCTCCGGGAAAGGAACAATTGCCTCTTGATTCCCTTTTTCTCTGCTATAGACGTGGACAATCGCCTTCTCTGACTGAGCCGCGAACACGTGCGATGGGCTCACTGCCAAACAATTGCCTGCTGTCGAGCTCTTCTTGAAGGTGGAGCGCAGCGCGGGTGCAGGCTGGAACTCTTGTAGGCAGATTCCAACATCTCTCAGCGACGCTGACGCAGGAGCTTTGCCGGACGTCAGAGTCGACGCGATGAAGCACTCTGAGAGCATGAGGAGCTGCAAGAGTCAAATGAGGGGGAAATTATAGGAAGGATGAATCAATTGGAGTGAGTCTCATCGGCCTTTTTTTTTTTTTTTTTTTTTTTTTTTTTTGAGCATATCAAAAGCGGATCATCACGTGTTTGTATTGTTTGCATGTGTCTGATATCGGTCATGTGACTATCCCGATTTCACCGGGAAACCGAGTCAACTAACGTCAACAACAACTCTCTCTCCTTCATGGGAGCAACTGAGACCACATCTCCCTCCATTGATTTCACTGCAACTGGTCGCATTTGCCTACCATACTAGAAGGGGATTGTTTCGGGGCCTTCTCTGTCCTTCTACAGCCCCTGCTCCCCTTCTCAAGAGACCCGACGTCTTCTAGTCATTTCCTGTGCGGATGGACAGCTTTCGTATACGCGCCGTTGAACGGTATTCAAGCCTCTACCGTGCATTCATCTTAAAATAACCTGCAGAGGGTTGTTTCCGGCGCAATTTGCCTGACTCCGGCACATGAAGCATAGGCTGCCATCACCTCCAAGCATGATAGCCGTTTCGGCTGCACACGCAAGGGGCCTGTGCAGGGGCATTCGATTGCCCATTGCAACACCCGCTGGTTGGTCATCGGAAGCAAATACAGGACTATGACATCCTTTATTGCCTGTCGGAGCCCCGAATTGGCTCCTTGAGATTGTCTCTCATTCCGGTTGCTGCCCTGGTTGTTATGACGAAATCGGAGCTCCTGCGTAGGACGGGGCCATCCACGTTTTGATGCTCCTGCAGGTGGTGCAGATCGAGGCATCGCCCAATCGTCGGCCCGGTTGCTTGATCTCACCTCCTTCTGGTATGCAAGGACGGCCATGTAGTAACCCTGTGGGAGATGCCCTCATGTCCCAAAGTGTTGGGTGATCCTCTCGAAGGGAGAGCGTATACATGCCCAATATACCTGGCGTGTCGTCCTTTCCAGGACAGCCAAGGGGTGTGTAGTTAGCATTTTTCTTTCTGGCGTAGTATAAGGAGCTGTCGGTTCCTCGATTTCTACTTGGGAACTAATCTCCGGCCGTTTTTGCTGTCATAACAGTGCTTTATTTTTATTTCTTAGACGTCGTCTAGACATTCCTGTTGATTGATCTTCCTGCTTCGCTTGGACCTTGCCAGTACCGTGATGTTCTCATCTAACTACGATCCTATAACAATACGGCCTCCAGCGCCTCGCGATAACTATCACCAGCATTCTCTGTCCGCCAATATGGTCCCGTCCTATGCGAACAGGAATATGTCCCCGTATTACATGAACGAGAATCTCATGCCTCACAGCAAAAATGTCAACCACCACAGCAACACAAGCCCGTCTGCGCCGCGCTATTCGCCAAATTTGCGACCATGGAGAAGACAACACTCCCATAGCTCCCTTTCGTTCATGACCAGTCCTCGTCCTGAGCAGTCTGAGTATACAACGTCGCAACAACCACGACGGCCAGCAGACCGGACACCTGTCTGCGTTTCACCCTTTCGATCGGTGCGGAGAATGAAACAGCCTTTTCAACTGATGTTGCCAGCATCTCCAGCATGTGAAAGCACTGCGACATTTGCAAAAGAGCCCAGACGACTGCACCCTAGCCCTTCACTATCGGACTCACGAGAGTCACACCCATCGTCTTCATCCACATACTTCTCGCCAAAACCTGGGTCTGAATCCGAGAATGAACCCGACTTCAACATAACTTGTAGTTGTGCGCCTGGAGGAAAGATATGCGACAACTGCAACGTGCAGCAAAGCCCTCAGATCCAAAACGAAGAGCAAAAGAGAACCGGCGAAATCACGAACGTCCACATGGCACACTCCACTCTCATCAAACAATACGAAGATGCCAATTCCAATGCCAACGACCGCGAAGCCACGCCCCCATCCGCCGAAACAGAGTCCACCACGCCTTCGCCAAACAGCGGGGAAACTGGAGAGGAAGACACACTTAGCAGATTGCAAAGGGCAAGAGCAGGGACAACTTCTACCCAGGCGAGCTGGGTGCCGGATAACTTCTCATACTGTCAGAATTGGCTCCAGGGTGTAGAGACCATGGACGTGAAGGATGAGAAGTCTAAGGAACTCAGTCGACGGAAATTCCAAATCGTTCAAGTGAGTCCGCCTCCTAGTAAGCACGATGTCAAGGATGTGGTAAGTTCAGCATTTCCCCTTTGTGAAAGGAATGGAAATTAGCTAATACTAGACTCAGAAGTTGGCTGTTGCCAGTAGAACAAAGCCAAAGCTTGTCGATATATCACGACAATCATCGCCATTGATGAGCTGTTCAGTTCCTGCTCATCAGCATCCAGTCCCCTCCACACCAGATCGTCGACAGCAGGAAGTATCTGCATTTAGCCCTGACACGCCTCTTGAGATCGCGGACAGCGGCTGTGCCACTCATCTTGCGTGTTTCTCCCTGGATGATAGTCAAGATGACAAGGAAGACGATGATTATACAGATGCGAGCTCGATAACTTCAGAAAGTGTCAGCTCAACGATTGTCTGCGAAAAATCAGCGATCAGTTCAGGACGATCTATTTCACCAAACAAAACCGATCAGCCACCCAACGCCACGCTAGCACCAAAGCCAGATGCATCACCTGGAACGTCATCGAATAAATCACAACAAGAACAGCTCGAAAAATGGTGGGATCATGAATGGACCATCGACCAACTGGAACAATCAGTGAAAGACTTCCCGGAAAGCAAGCTCAAACTGACGTCCCCGGTTATCATGTTCCTGCGCGAAAGCGACGAAAAATCACTTATACGCCAATTCCGGAAAGTCTTCCCAGACGCCGCGGAATATCAGCTGGACTGTCTCTGCGCTTCTTTAATAGCCCGAAACTACATCTTCGAGCTGTGCTCGAATCACCGACGCAATAGCGGGTTTTCACATCGGCTCGGCGTTGCTTCAGAGAAGAACTGTCCGAACTTGGGTATCCGATTTGCCCAGGCATTGCCATCACAAATCAAAGACCAGGTCATGGGGTCACGGAGCACAGAGCTTCGTAAAGACTTGGATGCCATGGTCAATGACATGCTGTTTGCAGTTACTGGAAAAGCCGATGAAACTGTGAAGTCTGCTATCACGGTACTCGCTCAGGTACTGGAGAAGAAGGCCTGAGCCTATGACGTTCATTCGTAGTCCATTCTTTCTGTATTTCCTTTGTTTTTCTCTCCTCTCTTATCTTTGATGTTGTGATATCATTCAAGCGAGATTGCATTGCCTCTTCTCATACCCTTATTACCTGTTTTGCGATATGAGCTGAACTTTCTAATCGACTTTTTTTTTCCTTTGTTATGTCTCAAAATGTCCGCATTTATTAATGTGTAATTGTTAGCAAAATATGCCAAATGATAGAACATCTATACCCTGATACTTGGAGAGTAATAGATGTCTTGTAGCACGTTATTCACACCTCAGGCACGCAACCAATCACTAAGCTCGGATTATCGTCCGTTGGCTGCCGGAGTAATAATGATCCCCCGATTCCGTTATCATGCGGCGTCGGTGCACCTTTCCCGCGGAATTTCAATTCTTACAACCTTTCGACAATTGAAACACCCTCACAATGGCAGCAGTATCGTCGAGCCGTTTGCGCCTTCTAAACACCGCGTCAAGGGTTGTTCCTCAAGTTGGAACCGCTGTTCCAATCGGCGCCCGCAGTTATGCCACCACAGATCCCTCCCCATCCGCCACCAGTTCCCCGACGACGCTGCGCAGAAAAACGACATTCAAGGATAAGCTGAACGCAGGCCCATCGTTTGCGGATTTCGTCTCTGGCGGCAATGACTCGACTCCGCTCGATCCCTCCGAAGCATACGAGCTCAAAACGGCACTTGTCGGGCCCGCCGGGAAAAAGAAGGAAATGACGCGGTTACCGTCGTGGTTGAAGACGCCGATCCCCGATTCGAACAACTACCAGCGCTTAAAGAAGGACCTTCGGGGTTTGAATTTGCACACTGTTTGCGAGGAGGCGAGGTGTCCGAATATCTCGGACTGCTGGGGTGGTGATGATAAGTCTGCTGCAACGGCGACGATTATGCTTATGGGTGATACTTGTACCCGTGGTTGTCGGTTCTGCAGTGTGAAGACGTCCCGCGCACCGCCGCCTCTCGACCCGCACGAGCCGGAGAACACAGCGGAGGCGATCTCGAGGTGGGGTCTTGGATATATAGTGTTGACCAGTGTCGATCGGGATGATCTCGTGGACGGCGGTGCCCGGCACTTTGCCGAGACTGTCATCAAGATCAAGCAGAAGGCCCCCAATATGCTGGTCGAGTGTTTGACGGGTGACTATGCCGGGGACACGGAGATGGTTTCCCTCGTTGCCCGTTCCGGACTGGACGTGTACGCGCATAACGTCGAGACCGTCGAAGCCCTGACACCGCAAGTCCGTGACCGCCGCGCCAAGTTCCAGCAATCCATCCGCGTGCTCGATGCCGCGAAGAAGGCCAGACCGGACCTCATCACCAAGACATCGCTCATGCTTGGTCTTGGAGAAACAGAAGAGCAGCTCTGGGACACCCTCCGCCAGCTTCGCGCTGTTAATGTCGACGTCGTCACTTTCGGTCAGTACATGCGGCCGACGAAGCGTCACATGGCTGTCCATGAGTATGTCACTCCTGACCAGTTCGAGCTCTGGCGCCAGCGTGCCCTTGACATGGGATTTCTCTACTGCGCATCAGGACCCCTTGTTCGCAGCAGTTACAAGGCCGGTGAGGCGTTCATTGAGAACGTGCTGAAAAAGAGACGCGCCGGTGCCGGAAGCGCAGAGGCTGTTAGTGATAAGACGATTGTCGTGGATGAGGCTACTCGTTGAGCAAAGCCTCTTTTTGCACTTTTCTTCCTGGTTCTTGCATGCTTTTCTTTTCTCCATATCGAAAGCCTCAACGCATAATATGCCCCGACTGCATGTTTCGTTTGTTCTTCCTCATACTCAACGGCGCTGGTTGCTTTGCTGTTTTTATTTTTATTTATTTTTTTTGGGTCATGATCATGTTAGGGTATGACTGTTTGATACTGGGTTAGGCCTATTTCCGTCTGGATTGTATAGTACTCACAATGGATTGGGTCTTCACTGAATATAGATTTGGAAAACAAAACAAATTTAACCAAAAAAAATTTTTGAATGATAAATTCTGTCCAAGTAACCCGAAATGGACAAGAGTGGTATAGACAGAAAGTACATAATAGCACGTTCCAAAATAATAAACATCATCCCGACATAGATATCAGCGTAACCCCTCCTACGCCTCTTATGCTGCTATTTACTAGACGACAAGAATACTTTCCCCGTTCTTCTGTCCTGAGGAGAGGAGGAAGGGATAAGGTATACTACTGTGCAAAATAATCCCACGCATCCACCGTAGTACGGACAAAAAAACCTACGGCCATTTGCTCAAACAGAACTAGTAGCATTATGCATCGTCGACCAACTCGCCCGTCAACTCCTTGAAATCCCTCTTGTCGAGACCAAGGAGGTGCAGGATATCAGTTAAGCTTTCGCCGTTGAGACGGGTAGGGGCTTCGAGTTGCACCTTGCTCTTGGCGCGCCAGGCGACACCGAGGCCTGCGGCGTGGAGCATGGGGAGATCATTGGCGCCGTCGCCGACTGCGATGGTCTGGGAGACGGGGATGTTGTTCTCTGCGGCGAGGGAGTAGAGGAGGGAGCGCTTTTGTTCTGCGTGGATGATGGGGAACGTTGGGACGAGTTTGCCGGTTAGTGTTTGAGATGTGAGGTCAACTTCCAGCTGTGAGGGGTTAGTCTTAAGCATGTAAGGGAGAGAGGAACAAGGTACGAACATGGTTGGCAAAAGCGTAGTCAAGACCAAGCTCGCCAGCGAGCCATTCCGCTAGCGGCTGGAAGCCTCCACTCAGGACAGCCATCTTGAAACCGAGAGCTTTCAAGCTCTTGCACAGTTCGCGCGCACCGGGAGAGATGGTGATCACAGACTTCAGCTTGTCGAAAACATCCGCCGGAACTCCCTTGAGCAAGCCAACGCGTTCCTGGAGCGATTGCGAGAAGTCGAGTTCGCCATTCATGGCACGTTCCGTGATTTCCTGGCATTACCGGTCAATATCAATTCCGACAAAAACGCACGCATACGTGGTATCTTACCGAAACCTCCTTTTCCACTCCGATGAATTTGGCAATCTCATCAATAACCTCGTTCTGAATCAGAGTGCTATCCATATCAAACACTGCTAACCGCTTATGCCGACGGAAGACGCTCTCCTTTTGTAGCACGACCTCCACATTCCATTCCCGCTCAAAACGCCAGATACTTTCATGTTTCCTAAGGTCCACAAAAGTAAGGTAGTTCGGGTTCGGGGGCGGCGAGAAGGTGACCTCGACCACACGGGGCTGGTCATCCTGGTCCAGACAACGGTGGGATGTGTTCATGCGCTGATACGGAGTGGGGAGGGTTTCTAATATTTGCAGGAAGTTGGTCAAGCATAATTGCGATACAAATGGCCCGTAGAGATGGTCAAGCGGCTCCGGCTCTGGCGCTGGGGGCTCCCGTGGGATTTTCTCAATGTCAACCGTCGGGGCGGAACCAACGGGAACCATGGGGGACGGAAGTTTGTCTCCGGATCGAACATTTCCAGATACGTCGGGATGGAGATGGGGGTGAATGGGATCGGAGGACTTGTAGTAGATGGTCGCGACCAACTGGGGAGTACCGGCAGGAAGGGGATTGGCCTGATGGTCGAAAATGCTATGAATGATGCCGCTGTCGGTCACCTTTTCGGGATCCGGGCTAATCGGGTTTGCATTGAACGTGAGCGGCCCCCGGGCGGGCTCGGCGGCACTGCCCAAGACATCCTCAATGCTCAGGTTAATAGGAACTTGGGGCTTGTATTGCTGATGGTCTTGGATAACAGAAGTGCCTGAGAGGGTATGTCGCAGTGACGGCCGCACTGGACGTGATGTTCCGGTGGGGTTGGCTTGAGCCATTATGCGCACGTCGCGAATTTGACAGGAGGGGGGATAACGGGAACGGACAGTCGAAGCGGATGATCTCTCAAACCACCAATCTAGTGCGCACTGTTTAAATCGCACTCTCTCGAGGAACTTAACAGCGTACGGAGCTCACGTTCAGTGCCTGTCGTCCGGTCGGGAATTCTTTGCAGATGCGGCGATCGACGAACGGCGGCACGTGGGGCCACCTGATACATAATCACGTGTTTTTTTTTTTTTTTTTTTTTTTTTTCACCGCCGGGCAAAAAGCGGCAGACCTTGCGATGGAGAATCTCGGCTGTCAATCTGGACGGCGATGGGGGAAAGCCAGCGTGATATCAGATAATGCTGACCATGTTTATTACGCTGGCCAGTATGAGATTGGCCAAGGCATCTTGCAGCTAATACTAGACAATAAGGTAAATTGAATTTGGCTTAAGCTGTGTGGATTTTCTTGCACCACCGTTACGTCTAAAGATACCGTTGGCTAACGTCATTCCAGATCGGGACAAAGTCCTTATCAAGCAATGGACTAAAGACAAATCCCGAGCAGCGAAAACCTGAGCTGAAGCCGAATGCAACTGCCGGATGATTGTTCTTTCGCCCAACTTCTCCGGTGTTCGCTGCTGGACCCTCCTGGATCCAGCGCGATGCCGGGCGATGCGGCTCACATAAGCGGTTTCGGGTGACCGCAGAGACCGAACGCGCAAGAATTGCGTGATTTCCTGGGGACATGAGGAAATTGAATTTTTCAGCAAAGCTCCTCGATCCGGAAGGCGGTCACAGGCGATGTCGTGATTGCAAGCGGCAGAATGGAGGGGGCCAGTCAGTATGAAATGAGGGCACGACAGGAATTGGCTCTCTTGCGAATAATGTCATAATCGCTCGTCTTTATATCAGGCTCTTTTGCCATTGACTCCTCTGCCCAACTTCTACATCATCGTCTTGGTTCATCTATTTGCCATTTAATACCCCAGAGTCCCTGTAGTGGACATTCAATCTATATACACACCTTTGGCTATTTGGTCTGAGCTTCTTCTCCTTTCGCCTCTTCGAAAAATTTCTCCGTTCCAAATATTCAGATACACAATGCCGGCAAAGACTCCCATCAACTACTCCTCTGAGGAGGCCATTGATGCCAGAGACAGCCAAACCGAGTCTGGCTATGTCAGTGGCGGCTCCAGCGAGGACTACATGCCTGAGATCGTCTTCACCAAGCCGCACTTGCAGTTCCTCAACAGACAGTTGCAATTCCTTGAACCTCAAGGTTAGTGTTACCTGCCGGCAAACCGAAGGTCTTCGGACGAATCGGCTAACATGGCTGTCTAGATGTTTTGAGATGGTGCATTACCTCTCTCCCTCATCTCTTCCAGACCACTGCCTTCGGTCTCACTGGTCTCGTGTCCCTCGACATGCTGTCCAAGCTTGAGGTCCCTCGTCCTCAGGTTGTCGACCTGATCTTCCTCGATACCCTCCACCACTTCAAAGAAACTCTTGACCTTGTCGACCGCGTCCGCAGAAGGTACCCCAACAACAACGTCCACGTCTACAAGCCCGATGGCGTCAGCTCGGAAGAGGAATTCGCCAAGAAGTTCGGTCCTCGCCTTTGGGAGACCGACGACCAATTCTACGACTGGGTTGCCAAGGTTGAGCCCGCCCAGCGTGCCTACCGGGAACTCAATGTCCATGCTGTCCTTACTGGCCGCCGTCGCAGCCAGGGCGGCAAGCGTGGTGACCTCGACGTGATCGAGGTTGACGAGGCCGGTCTCATCAAGATCAACCCCTTCGCCAACTGGTCCTTCGACCAAGTCAAGCAATACGTCAAGGATAACGATGTGCCTTACAACGAGCTTCTCGACCGCGGCTACAAGAGTGTCGGTGACTACCACTCGACACAGCCCGTCAAGGAGAACGAAGACGAGCGGTCTGGTCGTTGGAAGGGCCAGGAGAAAACCGAGTGCGGTATTCACAACCCACGGTCGAAGTACGCCCAATTCCTCATGGACTTGGAACGCAAGCGACAAGAAGAAGCTCTCACGTCTGCATTGCAAACATAACTCTCGACTGCTCAATAAGCATATGCTGACATGAACTTCTCTCTTGCGTTTTCATTTGCATTGGACATGGCGTTTGACATTTGGGTATCTCTACATTAGCGGCGTTTTGTGCTTGAAGGATTATATACCATTGCGGGGTTTATTTTAACGATTTCGGGATCATGTCAATTCGAACCCAGGGACTATCGGGTTTTGTATAGAATGAATTGGCGAAAAGTTGCCTATCTAGGAATGACTATAATGAATGATAGATAACTGTTTATACAATTGCCTCCTTTCGCTCTCCTTTCGCTTTCTCTTTTTCACTGTGTGTTTCGCTTGACCGATACCGGTAGATCGTACTACGTGCTGTGGGGCGCTAGCCCTATTTCGGAGGTCTTTATTCCGGGGTAGTACTTTGTGTACTCTGTACGGGGTCCTTGTTCGAGAGATCAAGAGGCAATATCGTCAGACGGCCATCATTATTTAGTCCAGTTGGTTATAACTACTTGAACAAGTCTTAATAATCTTCCTGGCGCTGCGTCGTTATGCTTGTGAACTCTATGTCTCATGTAGTGCTGGTGCCAAGATATATTTCGACACAGTCCATGCCGAAGCACTATCAATATCAGCACCCACGATCTGAAAGGAAAGCCCACATAAGACTGCTGGAATGAAAGTGGGAAAAGGAGGAGAAAAAAAGAAAAGAAAAGAAAAGAGGGAAGGCCTTTCCCTCGCCTTTCTCTTCGATTCACACCGTGACCACGATACACATTAAACGAAAATAGCTAGTCTTGCAGAAGCTATTATGGTTTATTCATGATCAAAAGACATAGTTATAGTCCGGTCTGAGTCTTTTTAGTTCGTTTATAGACCATGGTGAGCGTGATCCGATCTTAACTAGTTAGTTAACTATCAATCTTATCAGTATTGCCTGCATATTCAGGCCGATCTTAATCCCTTGATCAACAGGGCATTTACCGCAAGAGTACGTATTCAGAGCATCTACGTACATGTGGCACAGTAGCATACTCTGGATGAATATCTTGATTTATGATAGTATTGTCTGTTTTATGTGGTTAAATTATTTCGTCTTTATCCTCCATTGGCGATTATAGACTGATCGGGTACGAGTATGGACCGACGACTCCTTATGTGGGATCTTTGTTCTCCCCACTAGGAACAGAGGACCTGGAGCGAGATTTGTTTTTATTATATTTGAGTGATGTCCCATGTTGCTTTACTCTGTACCCCGTCTCCCTACATGCTTGTACGTGGCCGCGGACTCGAATCTGTTGAGTAGAATCATTGGGTCGATGGATGTCAAATTACAGAACCCACGCGGGCTCAGCCGCTGTGGAAACAGGGACCAGAGACTATGGAATGGCTGTGTTTATTGTTCTTATGGGGTAGACTGGGACAGCACATTAGTGTACGTAATGCAATTAAACGTCTCTGGCATTGTGAACGGACCCCTGCCAAGATGTATTCCGTAATAGACATGAGGCATGTGGTACGCACTCAGTTTAAGAGAGGTGGTTATGCCAGAGAAAACTTATTTACTTTTTGCAAGTACTTTACATCAAGCAAACACGAGACAGCGTCTATGCAAAACGCGTCAGATGAGTATACGTTTCAACATTCGTATACCAGATGCATGTACCCCTAACCACAGGAGGGATGTCCCTGGCTAGCAAGTACAAGTACTCAGACCATGATGATACTGGAGCACTGCGTACTCACTCCTGACAATTATCATCGTGGTGAGAATTGCCAAATAGGGCTCAAGTCACGTGTTGCCAAGACCAACGTCGTCGGGATCACGCAAAGGCGGTGGGCAATGGCGTGATCCCGGGCGCCACGTGACGGCGGTTACAGCGTTCTAGAAGAATGAGGTACAGATACAAGTATCAGGATAGACAGTGGCTGTACTTGTACTGTGTTGATAGAGGACTGAACACTCTACAGATGACAGATGAACAGGAGAAGGGGGAGCATACGTATGCGAAACCGTGACGGCCTCAGGCCCCCTGAAAATCGTGACGATCGAGTCTTGAGTACTGTAGAGGATACTGGATGGAAGTCCTCCGGAGTCGTTGTATGCATTTCCTCGGAGAAGTTGTTTGTATAGTATCCGCACAGAGGGCATGAAGAGTAAGATATCTATCCGTACTCCGTACAGCACAGATATCTGACAAGCACGCCATACTGTAAGGCTATGACAAAAGTTGTTATGTTAAGCCAGTGTACAAATAATATTCCCAAGAATATTAACCATGGAAACGGCCGTGCGAAAATGAGAATCGACTGTCGTACGTAGTCGAGCTCCACCACTGCCATTTGGAGCATAAAATAAACCTGTCCTGTTTTTCTTCTTATTTTCTTCTTCTTCCCCCTCTTCCCCTCCATCTTCCCTCCTTCATATCATCTCATTCTTTCATTTCTCTATCATACACAATGGCCAACTCTCCCCACGGTGGTGTCCTCAAGGACCTCCTTGCCCGCGATGCCCCTCGCAACAACGAGCTCTCTGCTGAGGCCGAGACTCTGCCTGCTGTCGTTCTCAATGAGCGCCAGCTGTGCGATCTTGAGCTGGTTATGAACGGTGGTTTCTCTCCTCTTGAGGGTATGTCTTAATTTCCTGCAGTGGTGGGGTGTAGCGCAGTGCAGATGCTGATCAGTGCAGGCTTCATGAACGAGAAGGACTGGAGCAGGTATTTTTTACACGGAAAAATCGAGAAATAACGAAGCGAATACTAATTGACCAAGTGTCTGCGAAAACGTCCGTCTTGCCGATGGCAACCTCTTCTCTATGCCCATCACTCTCGATGCCTCCCAGCAGACCGTCTCCGACAACAATCTTCAGCCCGGTGCTCGCATTACCCTGCGCGACTTCCGTGACGACCGGAACCTGGCTATCCTGACCATTGACGACATCTACCGTCCCGACAAGTGAGTTTTTTTTTTTTTTTTTTTTTTTTTTTTTTTTTTTTTTTTTTTTTTTTTTTTTTTCTTTTTCTTTTTTCCTATTGCCCCTCCATCTTCCCGAACTCTCTCCGCCACTCGGTACGGAAACTCGCCGATATTTGGAATGTGGGAGTAGCCCGACCGCAGTCCTGTGATTCGGGGTGTTTATGGCGCAAATTACATCAATCGTCTGCTATATAACCCGAAAACTAACGCAATACAGGCAAAAGGAAGCTAAGCTTGTCTTTGGTGGTGACGAGGACCACCCCGCCGTTCAGTACCTCTACACCAAGACTGAAGAGTTCTACATTGGTGGAAAGATCGAGGCCGTCAACAAACTCGCCCACTACGACTATGTCGCTCTGCGCTACACCCCCGCAGAGCTGCGCATTCACTTCGACAAGCTCGGCTGGAACCGAGTTGTCGCTTTCCAGACCAGAAACCCCATGCACAGAGCTCACCGTGAGCTGACCGTCCGTGCCGCCCGCGCCCAGCAGGCTAACGTCCTCATCCACCCCGTCGTCGGTCTGACCAAGCCCGGTGACATTGACCACTTCACCCGTGTCCGTGCCTACCAGGCTCTCCTCCCCAGTTACCCCAACGGTATGGCCGTCCTGGGTCTCCTGCCCTTGGCCATGCGTATGGGTGGTCCCCGTGAGGCCATCTGGCACGCCATCATCCGGAAGAATCATGGTGCCACTCACTTCATTGTTGGTCGTGACCACGCCGGTCCCGGTAAGAACTCCAAGGGTGAGGAATTCTACGGCCCCTACGATGCCCAGCACGCCGTCGAGAAGTACAAGGCCGAGCTGGGTATCGAGGTCGTCGAGTTCCAGCAGGTCACCTACTGCCCCGATGACGACGAGTATCGTCCCAAGGACGAGGTCCCCGCTGGTGTCCGCACCCTCGACATCTCCGGTACTGAGCTTCGCAAGCGCCTGCGCACCGGTGCTCACATCCCCGAGTGGTTCTCGTACCCCGAGGTCGTCAAGATCCTGCGCGAGTCGAACCCCCCTCGTGCATCCCAGGGTTTCACCATCTTCCTTACCGGTTACATCAACTCCGGCAAGGACGCCATTGCCCGTGCTCTGCAGGCTACCCTGAACCAGCAGGGCGGTCGCTCCGTCTCCCTGCTCCTTGGTGACACTGTCCGCCACGAGCTCTCCTCCGAGCTGGGCTTCTCCCGCGAGGACCGCCACAAGAACATCCAGCGTATCTCTTTCGTCGCTGGTGAGCTGACCCGCGCCGGTGCCGCCGTCATCGCCGCCCCCATTGCCCCCCACGAGCACTCGCGCAAGGCCGCCCGTGATGCCGTCTCCCAGCTGGGTGGCTCGTTCTTCCTCGTCCACGTCAACACCCCGCTCGAGTACTGTGAGAAGACCGACAAGCGCGGTATCTACGCCAAGGCTCACGCTGGTGAGATCCAGGGTTTCACCGGTGTCGATGACTCGTACGAGGCTCCTTCTGACGCTGACCTCACTGTCGACGTCTCCAAGCAGAGTGTTCGCAGCATTGTTCACGAAATCGTTCTCATGCTCGAGAGCGAGGGCTACTTTGACCGTGCGTAAATTAGCGTTGGCGCTTTGGGATTGTTTTGGTTTGGGTTGGATACAGATGTTCTGTATGAATAAAATCTGCTTTGTTAATAGAATATGACTGTAATTTTCTTTTTACCATACTGCTCCTACCTCAGAGTACCAGTAGCTAGCGGAAAAGTCATGTGATATTCACAAACATGACAAACAATGCAAATACTACAAACACAAATCTACTCCGCCGACTTCACGATAACTGATGACCGAATTCCTCAAAAACCTCAAATCAACGCCACAATAACACAATGCTATCACCACGCAATACCAGCCGGATACCCCGAATTACGCGACCCCTACGACCCCCAAGCATCTGGCCTCATGCCCACCACCAAAACCGACCCTTCACCCAAACCTCGAACCACCAACTCGTCTCCCCCGCGCTAACCCGTCCTCAACTCCCCTTCCTCAGCACAAGCAGCCGTCTTACACCATGGCCAATTCACCTCCGTCAGCACTTCGCGCGTCTCATGTCGACAGAAAGCCGCGACTACTACCGCCGCCGGATCTCCCGCGGCCTCCGCATCGGTCTGAGCTTCTATGCGATCCTGGTGCTGTTCCAGGTGATCAAGCTGGGGATGTACCAGGAAGGCATTGAACATCAGTGGCCGACGCCGGAGGAATGGACGTGGAAGAGTCGGTGGTGTTTACGGTCCGCGCGGGCGTTGATGCATCCAGAGGATATTGGGAAGTTGATGACGAATTGGCCCATGGTTGCGGGGTATCTGCGGGAGTTGGTTGAGCGATTGGAAGACCTCAATGGGGAAGGGAAGGGGATGGAACTTGGAGAAAACGGATTTGATGTCTCGGGCAAGAGTGAGCCCTGGAGACGTGGGTATTTCCAGGCGTTGATGGGCGCGGCCAAGGCCGCGGAGAATCTGGATGGGTGGTTGACGGATCGGAAGCAAAGGATTTCGGCGCCCGTGGAGTATGTGGTTGGGCCATCTAACCCCAGGCCTAAGCCTATGCCTGCTGGGCAGAAGAAGGTGCCGAGGGAGGATGATAGTGAGGCTGCGTCGCCGGGTGCGGAGAAGTTTTATATTAAGATCTTGACGACGAATGGGTTTGAGACGGGGCAGAAGGTTGATGCTGCGCTGGCTTATGCGGATTGGTTGGATTACAAGGGGCTGAAGGAGACGGCGGGGGATATGTATACGTGGGCTATGGATATCGCGGCTACGGGATTGTCTGTGGATGTGGGTAAGGTCGTGGACCGGAAGACTGGTGTGCTGAAGAACAACAGCAACGCACCTGTGTCTGAGAATGTCATTCGCGTCTCTACAGCTCTTGCAGTCCACCATGCCAAGCAGGGCAATCTATCCAACGCCTTGTCCATCTTCGCCTCCGTCCTAAAAGCCCGCCGCTCCTCAACACCCGGCGACACATCAACAATCCCAGCGCTCCCCTCCCCCGCTAAAGCAAACGACGACGCCATCTCCTCCCTCTTCTACTCTATCAGAAACATGCTTGTCCCAGCCGAATACCCACACCCACCACTATCAGGCAACGACCCGCCTCTCCGTACCCCATCCTCCCTCTGCGACGAAGCAGCCCTGATGACCTACATCGGCGAAATCATCTACGCCTCCTCCTCCAAAGAAACAGGCCTAGCCTGGACCCGCGACGCCGTCGATACCGCCGAAGCTACTATCCTTGAACTGGGCTCTCCAGCAGTCGACTCCGAAGACAACCCCCGCCAACGCTGCGCAGAGTGTCTCAAAGTTGGCCTCGAGAACTGGCGAACTATGGTCGGGAACTTGGTAGCGCATGCTGAGCGCGAGGAGATTCAGGCCGCTGACAAGGCGCAGGGTTCCTGGTTTGGAGGGGAGAAGAACGTTAAGGCTAAGGCGCTTGAGCGGAAGCGGTGGGAGGCTGAGAAGTTGATTCTGGAGGATCGGGCTAGGAAGCTGGGGTCGATGATTGAGGGGGAGACTGGGGTTGAGGGGATTATGCCGGGGAGCTCGTTGTTTGTTTAGGATTCCCCTCTTTTTATGGGTTATGTATATTAGGTATTTAGGTTGGTGTGGCAGTGTAATATACCCTTATATGTATAAACATACCCATTCATCAATCCTTCCTCGGATCCATATAAACGGGCGCCTCGTCTGGAATCGGACTCTGCCCATTACTCCAATGCCAATGCAACTCCGCAATATCCAGTGCAACCCTCCTATCCTCCGGCACACGCCTAAAAACCCTCCACTTCCCACTCCTCCTCGACAACCTTAGTATATAAACCGGCAACACCCGAATCCTTTTATGCGCAGTGCTGTAGTCATAGCGGTGGTTTTTGATGTCGATTACGGTGAATGTATGGCAGGGGTATGCATCGACGGCGAGGAGGTGGGTTAGGTGTGTGGGTTGCCAGGTTGATATGAAGGGATGGAGGAGGGTGGAGGTTGAGAATGTGTAGTCTTGTAGGCTTAGGTGGGAGGTTGGGAGTATGGCGACGATGCGGATTGAGTGTTTTTCGCTGATGGTGATGAGGATTTCTTGGTTGATTTTGGTTATGTTGGAGGGGGTGTTCGTGTTGGAGGACATAGTGTAGTGTGGGCTAGTTTCTGGCTTGAGGGGATATATTACCATGGAATTTTGATACCTACGTTTACAATTTATCATCGCGTTCTCAACTGTTTCTCTATGGTTGTACTCCGGAGTACTTGTGCTACAAAGGGCATGGCAGTCACGTGCCGAATCTGATATCCTTATTAAGCCCGATGTTCAATTAGTTAAGATCCCCAAAAGAGTTATTTTTTGCGGTCAAAAGTGGATCCCAACATCATACTCGTGGGGTATGTACAGAGTAATTGGGGTTATTAAGAACAATTGGAAGATCGGAGCATCCCCGAGTGCATAAAATGAGGGGCTCATATCTTGTAAAAATTTGTATCTCCAGCTGTATATATTGGTGTAAATATCATTGAACCTCATCCATATTGTACCTATTCTGTACATACTACACCCTTCTTGTTGCCCTAAAGATCATGGCATTCGCACGCAGATTAGCTATTATCCCCGGAGGCCTAGGTAGGTATCAAGATGTCCACACTGGCAATTGAAGACATGTTAACTCAATGGAACACCAGGTGGTCTCGGCTCAAGCATAGGAAAGAAACTCAGACAACAAGGCGCCCGTCTCGCAATTCTATATGCCCCATTCGAGGCCGATCGTCGAGACGAGCTTCTCGAGGCTGGATACGCGGGGGTTCCAAACACAGCAGACGATATCCGGGCATATGCATGCGACATCACATCTCCGGAATCCGTGCAGTCGGCGTTCGACACATTGGAGAAAGAGATGGTCGCGCCTTCGACATCTTCTCCAAGCGAAAGGGCATTCCCAAGTATCCTGGTTAACACCGCGGGATACGTTTCTCTGAATGACATGGAGACCACACCCCCCGAAGAAACCATGAAACATCTCACCACCAACGTGATGGGCCCAATGCTATGCTCTCAAGCATTCGCAAGACTCTACTTCTCCGCATCAAAAGTCGCAGAATCGTCAACAAGTCCTCCCCCACCAGGCAGAATCGTCAACATCGCATCCCAGGCAGCGCACGTAGCGCTACCTAAGCAGAGCGCGTACTGTGCTTCGAAAGCTGCACTTCTGGGTTTAACCCGCTCTATGGCATCTGAGTGGGGAGGTCGTGGTATTACCTCGAACACGGTATCGCCTACCGTGGCGTGGACGGCGCTGGCGCAGAAGGCTTGGGGAGAGCCTTCTGTGAAAGAGGCTATTTTGCAGGCTATTCCGACGGGCAAGTTTGCGATGCCGGAGGAGGTTACGGATTCTGTGCTTTTCTTGTGTCAGGTGAGTTTTGAAAGAAAGGGGTTTTGGGGTTTGATCTGGGCTAACTGGTGAATAGGATTTGAGCGCTATGATCAATGGTGCGGATATTAAGATTGATGGCGGTTATACCATTCGGTGATTTCTTAGTAGGGTTGTGAATGTACAATGTTGAATAGCCAGGGCTGCAATATCATCCTTTCTAACGTAGTTGGCTCCATTGCCTTTTTTTTTTTTTTTTTTTCACTCCGCAATTCACTTCACCCTCTTTTTCTCTTTCCTGTATAATGTGCGTATAGAATAATGCTTTTGACTTTTCGTCTACCTCAGTTGAAGGAGGTTCATGCACCTTACAGCAACCTGTTGGCTCAAAATATCTATGGCACCAACAGAGATGACTGCAAACTTGCTGTTCAGCTATGGAAAGGTTTGATACAGTGGCTCCTCTGTGCTCTGAATTTGAATTGTGAATGCATTGACTCTTTTGTCTTTCCCATAAGGCGAAAATACCATGCGCCTGGAAACACCTATAAAATAAACATGCATATGAATCTAGTATGCAATCAAACACTTGATAATACAAGGGTATGAGCTTTTCCTTCCTACGATGACCCTCTCAACCGATGCGTCCCTTCAACCAATCCCCGTAACCCCGTCAGGCCCAGCCAGACTGCTTCCTCCGTACGGATAGTCCTACTCCCCTGTCCGGGGAGAATATTAACCCAGTGATCGAACAATTTCTCCGCCTCAGTCGGACGAATACCCATATCGCGGAGTTGGTGATCATTCCTCACGGCGGTCTCGAGACCCGCGACACCGCCGAAGATTATGAGGAGATGTTTGTATCCTAGATCGCCTCCACCGCCATCGCCTTCATCTTGCTTCAGGATCTCGGTAAGAGGAGCTCCGCGCTCTGATGTACCGAAGGAGAGATCGTATCCGCCATCAAACGGACATTCCGTAAAGACAGATGAGAGAGGTCCGCAGCGGCGCACGGAGTAACCCCAGTAATAACCAGCTTCCATACGAGGTGCGGAGGATTCAACGGCTTCTGCATTCTCCGGATCATCCTGGGACGAAAACCGCACAGTGACGCGCGATTGATCGGAAAACTGCTCGTTCGTAATGTTCACTTTCTGCGGTAACCCGGTATCCACGACTGTTTCAGAGACAGCAATTCCGTCGCGGTAATCGCACCATTCGTTCGCGCGCAGATGATGCGGCATATCCAGACTAGGTAGTAAACCGGCAGTTCGCAGATTGGGATGCATGGGGAAGAGGTGTTTCCGCAGATACGGCGGGGTTTCGAGGTACGATAATAGATGGGCGAGGTAGTGTGAGGGGTCGGAGTAGGCTGTAAATCCGCCCGGTTGGGAGTCATCCTTGCTGATTTGATGCTTTAGTTTGGTTATGGGGGATTCGTTGGCGTCGTTCGAGTCGTTATTGTTCTTCTTGGTGTTAATGCTTTTCTCATCGTCGTCGAAAATGATAACTTCGTCGACGCAGAAAACGGCGAGGGCTCGTGCGATACTTCCGGCTAGGAACGATTTTTGTTCGACGGAATGGCAGCTATCGCAAACAAAGTACACTGTCAACTAGGTTCGTTGTTGACTCAGGACTCGGGGAAGACATACTTGGCCACAATACTCCCCGGGATCGCAATGCTCAGGGTGTGTGACCGGCCTCCCTTTGGAGTGAAAACGGCCGTGGGCTTCGAGGTGAAGATGTCATCTTGGTTGTCATTCCGGCCATTATTTTGGTCATTGGACGTCTTGCGCTTCTTCGGGGTGTCAGTGGGTTGCACGAGGGCAGGTATAACAACACGCGTACCTTGGCATTGGGCCCTTTCATCTTGGAGGAGGCTGGTTAGCTAAAAAGAGAGTTATACTAGGATACTTGTTGTGACAGCGGTCTAATGGGATCGGAGAAAAGCAGAGTCCGCATTTCCCAAAAATTTTTGTGGTTCCTGGGCGATGACGTCGTGCTCCACCGACAATACATACAGATGAAAGATTGAAAACGGATGAATTCCACATCAACAACTATTTTTAATCTATAACACCACAATGGCTAATACATGGAATGTGATGCACCCTGCTCGTGCAATTCCTCGCCATTCAATTCCTCCAGAACATCCGCCGACGAAGAACTAGCCACCCGATCAGCCCCAGCCTTCATCATCTGAATAATCTCCTCCGCGGTCTTGAAATCACCACTCGCCTTGACCTTCGTTCCCCTACCAACAGCATCGACAGTAGTGCGCATCAGACCCACAGTTTCAGTCGATGGATACGGCTCCCTAGTCCCCGTACAAGTCTTGACGAAATCCGCCCCCGCGAGGCTCGCAATGATACAACCCGCAACGACCTCGTCGCGAGTCAACACCGGCGTCTCAAGAGTGACCTTCAGCTTAGCATCTGCTGCGATCTTGCGCACCTCCAGGACATCCGCATAGACCTCCGAGTACCTCGCTTGTTTCAGGAGCGAGAAGTTAACAACCAGGTCGATCTCCGTCGCGCCCTGCTCGAGCGCGATCCGCGCTTCGTCTTCTTTGGATTCGGTGTCCTGCTTGCCGTCCGGATGACCCACGACACAGTCAACGGCGACTTCGTGGGCTTTCTCGAGACTTCGTACTGCCTGCCGCACATGCCTGGGACGAACGCAAACCGAGGCGAACCGGTGGAATTGGGCGTCGGAGCAGAGCTTTTCTATGTCTTTCTCCGTTGCAGAATCGAGCACTAAGGTGTGGTCGAGGGAACGATAGATAATGTCGGGGCGTGGGGTATGGTATACGTTGTAGGTGCTGGGTAGGGAGTCTCGCATTGTCGAGGTCAGAGCTGCCCAGTCGGCATTGCTGTTGGGGGTGCTGATCGAAGTCATGGTGGTATACGTCGGCCAGGTACCTATATGAATGTCAATGGCCGTCCCTAAGACTCAACAAGAGAACATACCAAGTGATTCGGATTCTAGCTGACCTGCAGATATTTTCTTAAAACAACCGGGTTCGAATTGATTCACTTTGGATGCGACTTTTCTTCAATGGCAACATCGTGAATAATACTGCATCATGATGCAGCGATGACCCTCGTTACGGAACTCATCCCGTACCAGAGCCACGGGTACCATTACCAGACAAGCGGACAGAGAAAAGCCATTTAACAAACGTCCCATTCCTACAACCCCAGAAAACGCAATAAAACCATTCCATTTTACCCACTGACACCCTCGTCAAACAGGTCTGGTATCAAAGCACGCTCAATCCTGGACACAAGCGCTTGTCTTGTCACCCAATCCTTTCATCATCATCCCCGGCAAGAACCACACTCCGGTCCCCGAATATCATCTACCCGCCCAAGCCTTCCTGTTCTTGGCCCAGGACCTCCAGGACCACCGGGACCTCCTGCGCCACCCCCGCCAGATCCGTAGCTGCTACCTCCCAATCTGTCTCCTCGGCGGGAAATGTTGAACTGCGAGTTTTGGGCGGTGGTGTAGGGGTCAAACTAGTAGAAAAAGTAGCAGGGTCAGCTATGTTCTGATTTATCGTAGTCGTAGAGTGATGTGGTTGATGGACGGTGCACAGTCGCGATGCGACTAATCCCACCACTCCTTCAAAATGAAGACAAGGGAACGTACCGAGAGAAGGGTTGTAAAGTAAAGACCGAAAAAGATATAGACAGACTCGAAGAAGCGCGAGATGCGAACAGAGACCGGTGGTCTGCGACAGTTCGAACTTGTTAGCTGCTTATCTCTTTCGTCTCCTCCACGGTGGTGATTCTTCGATAAAGCTAGGTTATTTTAACTTACCCTCCAAGGACTTCTCCGTTAGATACGTAAGTCTTGTTGTCTCCGGCCATGATGCGATGGGTTGATGGTGGTTGTTGATGATGTTGGATGATCGGCGAAGTTGTTGGAGAGTCCACTCTTTAGCGGCGGCGGGTCCCGTGACTTTCATGTGAAACAAAGGAATTTGTACGAACAGAGGTCCAAGAAATAGATAGAATGGAAATTCATGAATTTAAATCTATGTACGGGTATCTTTACTTTTCTTTTCCCCACATCCAACTCCGTTGTTGAAACCAAAATAATTGTCATGATCATAATCCGTTGGACCGTTATCAATCCATGACCATAAGCCATCTAGAAGTCCTTCCATTCCTGCTCATTCATCGTAGACGGATCGCGCAGTTCATCCAGACCTTTGAATCCCTCTTCGACAACCCATTTCTGTTTATTAGGTTTATGCAAGACATGACAGCTTACGCCAACCACCAACAGCCCTGGAGGCCGCGAGCCCTCTGCCTCAAATGCTGTACATACATGCTCCAAAGTTGTACGGATAACGCGCTGGTCGGTGCACGAGGCACGCTCGATGATAGCACACGGTGTATCCCTGGGCCAGGGCGTGCAAGGCCGGGCACCGCTGTCCTCTGCTGGTGCGTTGACCAAAGATTCTATGAGTGCTGAGAGCCGGTGAAGGGCCATCAAAAAGACCACTGTTTGCGTAGGCACGTAGGTAGGGGGTTCTGGCGCTGCGCCCTTCCGGCCGGTTCCAGTGCAGATCAGGACCTGGTCCGTTGCGCCTCGATGAGTCGCTGGGATTTCAGCGAATAAGGAAGCGCTCAGTGCGCTGGTGATACCCGGTAGGACCACGGGGATGTGTCCTTCGTTTCGGAAGAATTCGAACTCTTCGCCGCCACGGCCGTACAGGTAGGGATCGCCCTGTTTCAGTCGGAGTACCTGTTTCCCGCTGCGCAATGCCTTTAGTCCCATTTGGAGGAATTCCTCTTGCGCCTGGTCTGCGTTCCCGGGGAATTTGCGGGAAATCTGGACTTCCGTCCTGCGTGGGATCAAGTTCAAAACAGGCTCTGGCACGAGCTTGTCTGCCAGAATGATGTCTGCGCTTTGGATGGCATGATATGTGGCCCGAGTGAGCATATCGGGGTGCCCCGGACCAGAACCAGCCAAAATGATCTTTCCTTTCCTCGTTGTTACGCCGTTAACATCTCGCGCATCGCCATTCACAGACGAATAGGCCTTGAGTATGTCGTCGATATCAGAGTCGGTAATAGCGGCGAGTTTGCGGAGTGGCCAGTATTCGCAAATCTGAGAAAGCCAACGCATGCGTCTCGTTTTGGCCATGTATATTTCATCGTTCGTCGATAATGTGTTAAAAGTGTGCTTCTGGCCCGTTGCGTCATCATCGTCTCCCTCGAAAGCCGTATCGCAAAGCCCGGCAGCTTGATCTTCTTCCCACAGGCGACGTCTCACTGCGCCTAGTCTGTCGATGGCGCTTCCGAGGTTCGATGGTAACGAAGAAGAAACTTCCCTTCTCAAACGCGAAGCCAACTTACATCCTCGTCCTGATGTTGTAATGCCAACGTGGAGAGGGCCATCCGAGTACGTAGAAAGCAACATAAACGTGCAAAGCCCCGGGGCATCTGATACATTGACTGGAATCCTGAGACGTCGACACAGCTTCGAAATGTGTGGGCCTGTGAAGATGTTAGAAACCGGGCCATGACCTCGAGCATACGCATGATCTACATACTCAGTGGGTGGCTACCGCCCAAAGTAACAAAGACCATGTCCACCACTTGGTCAACTTCCTCCCGCCCCAAAGTTGTCAAGTCGTCATCTTGGAATTCTCTGCGTACCCATTCTGCTGAACCATTTTGAATGCGCTCAGACAGGGTATATTGCAAATCAGCCGTTTCCGGTGCAATGATAATCGGCCTTGCGCCGGCATCCAGACTCTTGCTGCAACGAGCTGCTGCCAGAGCGTTTGATCCGATGATCAAATGCACCTGTGATTCGGCATTCACGGCCGCCAGCAATGGTGCCCAGGGGCCGTTATCACACGATGCGTCCTTCATCGTGCCGGTTTGCCACAGTAAGGTTCGTATGGTTGAAATTGGCGAACGATCACTTAGTATGGCTTAAGATAGAATTGAAAGCGTCTTGACTTAGTCCAATTTCAACACCACATCGAAAAGAGCCGATCTGGACACAGACGATATTTGAACCCTGCAAACTCCAAGCTCCGCGGAAAAATGCCCACGAATCGACGATAACAGCAACACTTTCCAGTGACAGACAACGATGACAGCCCGATAAGCGTATCTGTGGCAATTGATAACACACGAGGTTCTTCCCGAATGAAACTGAGATTTCTTGCAGTGATCGCTGCTCAAAATTCTTCTGTTTATACTCGATCTGATCCTAATTGGCAAATCCCGATGCAGTCAATTTGATATTGCGTGATCGGAAATGGCTTACTAAGCGTCCCGGGGACCAGTTGACAGCAATCGCTCGATGTAAAGAGAATAGACATGGTTTCATTGGTCTGGAAAGGGTCATAATATTAGTGCAAGTTATGCTGGAATTATTAGTGCAATCTGGATTGTTAGTTCGTTTGGCATGGTGAGAGCGGGCTGCCCCATATTGCTCGTAAAGAGTCCTGTACGGTACTCTGTCCTGTAACGGCATTGCAATTGCATTGTAATTGCAACATAAAAGACGTTAGTTAAAGAATAGATCTTCAATAATCTCAAGCTCTGTCCTTAAGCAAGTGTCCAGAGATGAAGAAGATGTTTGTTGACAACGCGAGACCAGCTGTAGATCTCGCCGATAGCGCCCTGGTCACGTGCATCAGAGCTTCCGCCGCCAGCTCGTCCTCCGCAAAGGGCGTTGATGATGTCTGTCGTTAGAGCTTCATCCATTCTCCTCCAACCCACTTTCTATCCTCATTCAACCTTTGACTACGGGAAGGTCGCATTTGCCATTTGCGCTGAGTCACGACAACCCTATCTTTCCATTTTCGATCCCAGAAACCAGTCTGAAGCCGTGACGTAGCAGCACCTCGTCACCATGTCCGACGGCATTCTCAAGCCCGAGAAGGACTACAGCAAGGATGCTGACAAGTTGATTCCGGAGGCGGAGCAGCTCGCAAAGGTTTGAACGACCAGTGTGTATACTGGGCTTACCCGAATGCTGACCGTCCACAGACCGATGTCCAGGGTGCCATCGACAAGTTGCTGGGATTGGAAAAACAGGCAAGACAGGTACGATATCGATCTTACTTCTATCGATCAACAATCCAGGATTCGTATCTAACTCTGGCTTGGCTTCTAGGCAACTGACTTGGCCACTACATCCAGACTCCTTGTCGCCATTGTCACAATCTGCAAGAATGCCGGTGACTGGAACCTCCTCAACGACCAAGTACTCCTTCTATCGAAGAAACATGGACAACTCAAACAGGCCACGACGCGAATGATCCAGACGGTTATGACGTTCATTGACCAAACACCTAATATGGACGTGAAGTTGTCGGTTATTGAAGCTTTGCGGACAGTGACGGAGGGCAAGGTCGGTTCTATCAGTATCTTCGTGGTGGGCTGGTTGCTAATATGTTTACAGATTTTCGTTGAAGTCGAGAGAGCCCGTGTTACCCGCATCCTATCCCACATTAAGAAGTCCCAAGGCGACCTTAATTCTGCCGCCGATATCCTGTGCGAGCTCCAGGTGGAGACATTTGGTTCCATGACCAGGAGGGAAAAGACCGAGTTTATTCTGGAGCAAGTTTCTCTGTGCATAGAACGGGGCGACTGGACGCAAGCTACCATCCTGAGCCGCAAGATCAACAGACGCTACTTCTCCCGCAAGCCGAAGAAGACCCCCGAACAAATCGAGCAGCTCAAGAAGGAGGCTGAGGAGCAGGAGAAGACTCGTGCGCCTGACGAGGCCCCGATGGAGGTTGACGATGATGTGACGGATTTGAAGCTTCGTTACTTCGAGCAGCAGATTATCCTTGCCAACCACGAGTACAAGTATCTCGACGTCTGCAAACACTACCGGGAAGTCTTGGATACGGAGTCGGTCGAAAACAACCCAGAGCAGTTGCAGGCTGTAAGTTGGTCCTTCTATCAGACTTGAATGTCGTTTCTAACAAACGTCAAAGGTACTTGCACGGATTGTTTACTACATTGCCTTGTCGCCATATGACAACGAACAATCAGATCTGTTGCACCGCATCCAGCAGGACAGTCGTCTTTCGACTGTTCCCGTTGAGTCGCGGTTGGTGAAGCTATTTACCATCCCTGAATTGATGCGCTGGCCTTATGTTTCGGAGGAATTTGGCCCTCATCTTTGTAACACGGATGTGTTTGACGCCCAACCCGGCCAGACCGCCGAGGACCAGGCGCACAAGAGGTGGCAGGACTTCCGGAAGCGTGTCATTGAGCACAACGTGCGCGTTGTTGCCAAATACTACACCCGTATCCAAATGGGCCGTCTGACCCAGCTCCTGGATTTGGCTGAGGAGGAAACGGAGAAGTACATCAGTGACCTGGTCACATCGAAGACCATTTATGCCAAGATTGACCGTCCAGCCCGTTTGATCAACTTCGCCAAACCCCGCGACGCTGACGACGTTCTGAACGAATGGAGCAGTGATATGAAGAACCTCTTGAACCACCTGGAGCGCATCGATCACTTGATTACCAAGGAGGAGATGATGGCTAGGATCCTTCCGACCAAGGCTCGCTAAGATATATTTTTCTTTTTGTCTCTTTTATCTTAGAAGATGGATGTGGATATGAATGAACTAGGCGCTGAAGGTTTGCGACAGCGTGTAAAATAATCTATCTGATGTAGAACGCGGAATGACTTCCTCTTAAATGTTCAGGTTCTAACAGAACGTAGTGGTATATTGATGCAGTATATATCCAAACATGCACAAAAACAGTATCACATTCAAAACGGCAGGTCCATGTTATTCACATCCTCCTCTTCCTCCTCCTTACCCTTATCCTCCTTGTTCCCCAACCTCTCCTGAATAAAATTCACAGCAGCATCCAAAAACGGCCTCTGACTAGGCAAGAAATGCCCACCCGGATGCCAAACAATCTTCCCCTCCTTCTCCGGATCCCCCACGCAAGCCTCAACCAACGCCCGACTCCGACTATCATCAACAACCGCATCCAAAGACCCCAACACATGCAACACAGGCGTCTGAATCGCCGGACTCTCATAAAACGCACGATATCTCGGCCCCGGTGCCCGGAACCCACTATAACACAGCGCAAACTTCAACGGCGGATGCTGCACCTCCTCAAACGACCCCGGAAACGCAATCGAAGCAACATCCTTCTCCGTCGAACCACTCAAATCAACCCCCTCACACGCAACCCTCGCATCTGCATACTTCTCAAAAGCCCCTTTCCTCCCACTCTCCAACAACCCTGCAACCATCGCCGCCAGCGCAGCACCCTGCGAAAACCCAACCACCCCATCAAACGGCCCCTCCTCCTTCAACACCTTCGCAACAGCAGCCAAACCGTCCTCAATACCAAGATACAGCGGCGGATTCGCGGTGTTCGAGCGTCTCCACCACCCGTACGCTTCAATCTTCTCTTCCTTTTCTGAGGACGGGGAGGGCTCGTAGCCCGGGATGTCGGCGGGGTCGAGGTGGATGGGGCCTGTTGGGTAGATGGCGGCGACTTCGTGGAGGGGGAAGGCTTTTGTGATGTGTTTGATTAGGGCGCGGGATTTGGCGTGGAAGAGGGTTCCGGATTGGGTGTAGCCGTGCAGCATGAGGAGTTTGAGGGGTTGGCGGGGGGGTTTGGAGGTCATGGTTGGTTGTGGTTGTGGTGACTGTGGTGGTGTAAATGTGGATATGTAGCAATAGGTAATATGGGAGGATTTTCGAAAGGAGGGTCTGGTAAATGGTCGGCTTGAGAGGGACAACAGGAGCGAGGGTCTGTTATACATGGACGACCGGGGAGGTTGTTGGTTAGTTTTGGGGACGAATCTGATTCGGTGATTTTATGCGATAAGATAAGCAGTGCGGAGCGCTTGATTGTGAATCACGTGCGCTGTTTAGGGTACCTTTTTCGATCTCTAGACTACTTTCAGTGTTCCAAAGCAAAAGCTAGTTTTGAAACAAATGAAATGCAGCACCTTACGGGATTCAAAATGGAGTCCTTGATGATCAGGCTCCAGCTGCAAAGTAATGCGTTGTAGAGTAACTCGACATCAATGCCTTTATCCAGTAGAAGCCTCACTATTTCGATATCGCCACTCGATATAGCGTTATATAAAACACCTGACCAGATGTCGGCACCTTGGGCACTTGGATCTGCGCCATAGTCAAGCAGCATCGCAACCACATCCATGTCCCCATTTTGCGGCAAGGGCAAGCGGTAGCTGGAGCTCATCGATATCATCGTGCAAGAAGGTACGTGAACCCCAGGGTTTCGTATCTTCATGGGGCTTCTCTTTTCAAGGATTTGTTTGATAACAGACACAGACCCGCACAGTGCTGCTAGATTCATGACCCTATCCCAACTGCCGGCATCGGAACCATCAACGCTTTTATCAGAACTCATGGCGGGATGAGCTCTGCAGCCTTTGTGTCCCATTCTGTGGTTTCTTTCTCTCGAAGCCAAGTCATCTTCGGCCAGTTTTCTATGAGCCCACGGTCACACCAAACGTCCCAAATGCGGGCCCCATGGCCAAGGAGGAGCCGTAAAGTCTCCAGATTTTGGTTATATATCGCCCAAAGTATCACTGGTGCCATTATAGATTCGTCGATGTTTGGGTCAGCTCCAATATTAAGCAAACAATGAACTGCGGCCGTATTGTTCTTTTTACCAGCAGCAGAATACAGTGGCAGAAAACTAAGCATAGCGGTGAACTCGTTAGCCGCTTGTGATAAATGCACCTTGATAAACTCATCCATACTGAGATCCACACTCCTTTTTGCTTTTGCCATCGTTCCCCCTTTCGTAAACCCATGCTTGACCAAGACTCGCAACACGGATATGCCCGCATATTCTAGCGCTGTACACAAAAGCTTGCAACCGATATGGCCGGTAGTGAACTCTCTTGGATAAACCCATTCCTTTCGACGAACATCAAGAATTGATTCAATTCCGTTTTGCTGCAACAGGTCTACCATAACAGCATCTCGATTTCGAACCGCCTCGCCCATCATCTTCCATCCGTCGCGGCCCTCGACAAGACCCCTTCGTCGAGCATCTTATGAGCAACCCGGATCCTGCCATGCTTAATTACCCATCTGAAAATTTCAACGCCGTAATTGTTGCGGATGGCAAAGCGATAGAGGACGGGGTTCAGCAGGTCATATAGCCTTCTGCTCGTCTGCATAAGAGGGTTGATATGGCCAGCATATTCGAAATGGCTCACGACTTCCAAGGTACAGTTCAATTGGGGGGCCTTGTTTCGAGAGCATAATGGAGATACATAGTAGTGGTCGTTTGTGGATGGAGGAGAAAAAAAAATATAGTGACGAGGGTACTAAGCCGAATTGGGACAAAGTGACGTACCTCCGCTATCCACTAACATTGATCTCGAGTACTCTTTTACCAGCCAACAAATCTCCTCAGAAATTCACCAATTCACAAACAAGAAAGAACTACAACCAAAATGAGCGCCGACCAACTCAACGTCAACCTCGACAAAGTCGACTCCCAAATGGGCGAGCTCCTCACGTATGCCTTGCCTTCCCCTACCAACCCTACCCTTCCCTCCCCTCTCTCACAAACCCCCCAACTAAGAAAGAAACAAACAGAGCCTTCGAATCCCACCCCCAAATGCAACCCCCCGCCACCCACCCAACCCTCTTCTTCCTGTTCGACTTCGTCCGCACAACCCACCGCACGCTAAAGTCCATCGACGCCGAGAAATTCCGCACCGGCGACCGCGAAGCCCGCTCGCAGGCGCAGGAGGTGCTTTCCAGAAACCAGTTTGCGAATATGCTGGTTAGTGATCGGACCGGGAAGTTGGCGTTGATGACGGGTGGGGATCCGGCGAATCCGTTGGATTTCGGGGATGAGATTCGGGGGAAGGCGAGGGCGTTGACGGAGGTCTGAGTTGGTTCGTGTTATAGTTAGAGGCGGTTGTCTAGGTTATGATAGATATATGGGAGGTTTTCTGGTGCATGGTTGTGTTAGCATCTAGATTATGTTACAGCAATGATTAGAGTACGTACGGAGTATTTTAGTGCAGTATACGAACTACAGTCGTAACCTTGCATAGCCTACTAGCGCCGGTGGGGCACCGGGTTAATCCGGGGTGATGGGCCATGACATACAGATCGAATACGAGATTCCAGAAAGTCATTGATCGCGTGGGGCGTAGGGCAAGAAGGCTACGAACAGACTACAGACGACCACTCGAGACAGCAACAGAGGTCATGGATATGTATGACTTGGGCCAGCACAAGGTTCCCGGAAACGTGCTGAACCTATCCGCCAACCCAAGACAGTATCCATAACCAATTCCGCATCCCTCATATCCCATATCGAAGTCGTCATGGCTGGGGTGCGCGTTGCCGATGTTGTTGGTGTCTTCGTTGCTGTTCTAGTGGTCGATCCATCGTTGACAGTTGTTTTAATTGCAATCGCATGTGCATTCGTCGAAACAAGTCGTACAAAAAAATAAACACGTAACAGGACGATAGTGAAAAACGTATTGACATAGCTTGTAGACCGACCATGTGCTAGATATCCGGAACTCCCCATCGTAAGAAGTTGTAAGCAAGAAAAACGAAGCCTAAACAGAAATGCCACACTTTTCAAAACATTTTTTGTTGTCGAAATTTTGTCAAATTTTTGGAGGGGGATCTGATCTGGGCGAGGATTCCATCTTCTATCTGCTGCGGCTGCTGCTCATTTCATTCCATTCCTTTCATTGTAAAAGAAAAGAAAAAAAAGGTATTAATCCATCCGTCGAAAAAAAGAAGCAAGAAACGCCACATTTCTTTTCTCATCACATCACATCAAATCGCTCCGCTCCGTTCCGGCCGACGTTCGTTCGCGTCACATTTACTTTCTCCGGAAAGAGCAGCCCTCGGTCAGACGAGCCTTACCACCGGTGGGCTGACAGAGAACGGTCGAGCAACCGGCGCAGATGACAACGGTCTGGGCGTGCGAGAAGACGGTGGTGATAGTGAAGCAGCCGGGGCACTTGACGTCCATGAAGAAAGAGCGAGGCTGGGGCACAAGGGTCTGTTGCGAGAAGAAAAAATCGAATCAGTCTTGGGACCTTGGTGGACGGGGGGGGTGTGGTGTGCTCAGGATATGTAGCGACATACCTTGAGCTTGTGCTTACGGGCCTCAGCCTGAGGCGTAGGGTTGAGGAGGTCGACCGCGAGAACCTATTGACACGAACAAAGGTTAGTTATCTCCTTCTCATCCTTCAATTTGCAATGAACGGTCGGTCGGTGACCAGCGACGGCGACGGCGATGAAGTCCCCCCATCTGACAGCGACAGCATCCTCGTCGTTGTAACGTAGATACGACATCGAACAGCATCCTGAGGAATAAAAACAAAACTCACCATCTTGACGAGACAAAAAGTCGATCAGCGAGATAGGTTGAATAAAGGCGCTGATAGAGATGGCCTGCTTGGGGATGGTTGGTGAAAAAGCGGAAGAGAGGTCTCGTGGAGAATGGGCGATTTCGAAGCGAATTCTCAATTGGGGGCAGCACACCCTCACTAGCCCGCGCCTGAGTTTGGGGGGCAAAAATTACTAGGGTTGAAACCCTCGCTTACTTGCCTGTTTTGGGTAGGCCTTGGTGTGACCGGTACGGCAAGGGGACCGGCCAATCAGCGGCGCGGGATCGGACGGAGAAGATGCCGATTCGCGGGTTCATACAACGGCCTAGCAACTTCTCGAGAGATCTATGGCTTTTAGAGATGAAGAAATGCAGTCAATTGCTAAATACAACGCTCTATCGCTAATGGTAATTACCGCTGTTATACACATGAATGATATCAACCTTTTGAATGCAATACCTACGCGCGCGAGATGGTCTAGATTCTCCAAAAGCCCCATCTTGGCCGTTGGTCATCAGGAAAGAGAAAGAAATCGAACTATTTCACCCTAGAAGTGTCGCATAGTTGATATGCGATTGGTCAGGCACCCAACGAGCCAATCACTGGGCCTTCTTCGCAACGGCAACGCCTTCCCTGGCAGTGGCCTGCGCTTCCTCGACGTGCGGGTGCTTGATAGTCAAGCACCAGATATCGATATAATCGCAGATCGTGGTGATAACGTCATGCTGCAACACATTAGTCTTCGTCGTAAAGATCAATGGAACCGTTTAGACATACCACGAAGCTTCCATAGATACCAACAGCCAGACCAAGCGAAACAAACACAAACGCCACCTGGCTGCTCAAATCGGCTCCAAGAATGCTAGACCAGAGACCAAAGAAAGGACCCGCACTGTCGAACACGGCGAGAGCCAATGGAACCTGAAGAATGTTAAAGTACGGGAAGGGAGTCTTGACCAGGTGTCCCACGATCATCCGGCCCACAGAATAGGCGTTAATCAAGCCAACGTACAGAACGAATGGAATCAAGTGATTCTCCAAAATAGCCGGCTGCAAGTACAGGTAGGCCGGGACGAAGATCCAAGTCGCCACAAGAGGGAGAAGACCGAACAGGGGCTTGATAGGGTCCTGGCCGCGTTCCCTGCGGACTTGCACGACGTGGTAGATGCTGGATCCGGTGGCGAAGAAGAGAAGCAGACCACCATAAACCAGGTACCACTGCGTAAAGGACATTTCATAGGCGGCTTCGGGGATCCAATCCAACTTGGGCACGCCGACGGTGTCGAACATAGCACGGTGCCAGAAGCTGCCGCCACCTTCGTAGGCCGTAAATGCGAACACCACGCAGAGCGTCAGCACTCCTTCCACGGGGCCCGAGACGATACCCAGCGTCAACACCTGGGTGTAGTACTCATCCCAGGTCTGAACGTAGAAGGTCATGGTGGCTAAAGATCAGTCAGCCTCTCTCAAACGTACAATCAGAAGCTGCACGTACATCCAAACAGAGTCAACACGGTAGCCCATGATTGACCAAAGTTCATCGTAGAGCAGAAGATCAAGACACCCAATGCGGTGTTGCAAGCATCGACGCTGTGATCAAACAGTTCACCCAGAGGACCACTCTGTCTCGTTCTCCGCCTAACACAGATACTTCAGTACGCGAAAACCGGGAAAATGGGGTGGAGAAGACATACGCCTGCATGCCATCTACAGCATCGAACGTCTGGTAGAGGAAAAGACCCAGCGCGCAGCTGGCATAGACCCAAGGGGGACAGTCCTGGTCCAGCGTCGGGTTGTAATAGAGCACGGTGAAGAGATTAATTACCACAAATAAGAAGCCCGTCAGGGTGATCTAACGTCATACGGTCCTTGTGTTATTATCATCATTGACGCATTGGGCAAGAGGGCACAGAAGATGCAAAGGGCTAGAGTAAGAATAAACACTTACGGCATTGGGCCTGCGCGACGGTTAGCCATGACCTTTCATCATCATCGTCATTTTTCCGCAATAGGAAAAAGGGAAACTCACGCCATGCTCATGGGAAAACAGTGGATCACAAAGTTATTGTAGAACGGCTTGAGAATGTACCGGCTTATGAACGAGTGGTCGACACCCGCATACCGGTAACTCTTCAAATTAGGCAATTGATGCTGGCGAATGTACACCATCTTGACGGCTTGCTTTCCCCCTGTGGGAATACCTCAACTGGGTGTTTTGCCGTTCTGTGCCAGTCAGTAATATCGGAATGGGAAAGAGAACAACGAGAAGTACGCGACGGATTGGGCCGGACAATGCAAAGCGGTGAAGAAAGAAAACAGACGAGCAGTTCGAGAATTTGAAGACGAATGGCGAGGAACAGGGCAGGTATATGGGATTTTGGACAGGTGGGTGCTCAACAAGAATATTATACCAGGCGAGAAGAAAAAGAAAAGAAAAAGAAAAGAAAAAGAAAAGAAAAAGAAAAGAAAAAGAAAAGAAAAAGAAAAGAAAAGCAACAGTGCCCGATCCGATGTAAAGAAGCGCCTGCGTTAGTCGAGTCTGGCTTGTTTTTCTGCCGGCGGAGAAGCGAACCCCTCGAAAAAGCGCGTATGAGCTGTGCACGTAGACACTGTCGCTGCAGACTCTAGTTGCACGTGCGTGACTTGGTTTGCAATCAGTTATTGATTCAAGATGGAGGGCGATAATCGAAAAGACACGATCTTCACGGAGAAAAATGTTTTGAGTGGAGAAACGAAGGATTTCCGAAGCAAGAAATCGCGGTGGCCGAGGCTTAAGCTAGAAAAGGAGCTAAGAAAGGAGATAGTGAAAAGTTTAGAGTACGGGTCACGCTAAAATATTCAAGTAGACATTTCTCAATTGAATTTCTCGAAACTAAACACTGAACATCATATGTGATACACCAAAAAAAAAAATATGTACGATGGCCGATGTCCCAGGTATCAGGAAAATGTAAGACATGAAGTCGTCGACAGTCAACCAATTCCTCTTCGGAACCACCCCCAAACAATCAAGCTTCCATATGAGTAAAATCACTTCCACAGTCAATCGAGGTTGGTTGGCTGGAGCACCTGGGCCCGGCCACGGGGTGCTCGAGATAAGGTTGCGCTAAGAAATAGATTAATAGCGCCCCAGTGTTCCAGATTCGCCCTAGTCATGGCACTCTCCGGATTTAACCAACTGGGCTCCACGGCATCGGGATCAGGATCCGACTTTGCATGGTCTGGATCAGTGGAACCGTCTTGTGAACGGTCTCGGCCCAGCCTTCAATCTGCCACGACTGTTCCCGACGGATTTTGCGCTCTTCCAAGTTCGCAAACTGCCACAAGTGGTGCACCGTGTTCAAGTCGCCAATCTGCACGAACCATGCGCCCACACCTTCCATCACCTCCCGACGAGCTGTGAGGCCACGTCGCCAGTGCGTCTCCCATTCGAGGAGGTTTCCGGGGTGAAGAGTGTACGATCGGAGCTCGAAGATACCTCCCAGGCGACGGGGTGGGGTCGTGGGCCAGAAAGAGAATTCTTGCATGAGGGATGTTTTCTTGCTCTTGATCAGCTTCTTCAGCTTGCGGTCGAATTCGGGGAACTCCGGGTGTTGCGAGATGCTATGCAATGAGGAATGGTAGCCATCGTATCGCTGGTACTCCCAGATGTGGACTTGATGGCCTTGTTAGCAAAAAAGAAGTCCCTCACGAGCAAAAGAACCTGAAGAAAGAGCTTTACCAAAAGTATCGTTATCGCCCACTTGCGTGCGCCAGCTGCCAACCAGGTGCAATTTGTTCTCCTCCATTTGGGCCATGCGGGGATACCAGGTGCTGATGAGGTCGACATATTCATCCACCTTGTCGGGCTTGACTTCGTGGAAGACGATTGAGTGGACGTATTTTCCGCGAGCGATGACTTGCGAGAAGGAGCGTTCAATGTCCTTGTCGAGCTGCTGGCCTTCCTTAGTTCCGTAGATGAGCGACGACAGCGCACCACGCTTGGGAGACTGATTCTTCAATTCTTCATCCCCTAGAGAACGGTGCATGGAAAGTGAGCCCAGTGCCTTATTATCAAGAACCGCAGCGGCATCAAAAACATGTTTATTGGTACTGCTCGTGTTGCTCGAATGAGGAGCAGCGGGAGCGGTAGCGTACTCACGGAAACGATCACGGGAAGTAGGGGGAGGGGAAGAGGCAGATGAAGCAGAAGCATCGACAGACTGACTCTCTTGTTCCTTCTTCTTGCGGGCCACCTCCAAATTCTCACGAAACTCCTTTTGACGCGCGTTGAACTCGGTAGCCGAGTCGGCAGTGATGTCACGAATGGAGGGGGTTCTGGAGACCACGGCAGACGAACTGAAGGGTCGTGCCAGAAGGGAAACAGGACGAGCAACACGCGAAGCAAGCATGATGGGAAACGCTGAAAACAACCACAATAGCAGGACGAAAGAAAATCGACAAACGAGACAAGAACGGTGTAAGTCGGTCAAGGTGAAGCTGAGGAAAGCTTCGTCAACGACAGTCAAAAAAAAAAAAAAAAACACAACGATTGATCACACGACTTGAAGTACAAGAGAAAAGTCCCTTGTAAGACACAGAGGAGAAGAAGCGGGGAATTAGAAAGAGAGCAACAGGGATTGGATGAAGGGAAGGGAAAGTGCTCTTGTGTCTGGGCAAACGGAGAGGAGGAACGTTGCAGTGCGAGGGTAAGACAAAAGCCGGAGAGGAGTAGGAGTTAGAGAGAGAACTGGAGATAGCCGAGAAGAGGAGCTCAGAGAGGGTGAAGATCGAAAATGTCGTAGAATTGGAAGATAGATAGCTTAGAGATGACTGCAGATATAGCGAAGAAATAGAGAGGGGGAAGAGAGAGAGGAGACCGAGTCGAGAGCCGATAAAGTTGCGAGAAACCGGGGAAAGGTGCGGAGAGCGCCCGATTGGAATGAAGTCACCGCTTCACTGCTACCCCAAGGGTACCTAGCTGTTAATAATACTATTCTGTAGGTTTATACTTAGCAGAGAATATTATTATGGAGTATCTTATGGAGTAAAGAAGATCTCTGAGTTCAGTGTGGAATGGGGTTGTTCATTCTTGAAGCCACCATGACGACAGTCTCCACTGGTTATCTGTAGGATGTTGTACAGACTACACAGCACTCTGTAGGAATACACAGAAACTGCATTGAGTATTGTTGTTTCTCCATTGCATTCAGAGTATCTTCAACAGTGTATAACCCCTTATTAGAGATTGTTCCTGTGTCTAAACCATCACAGTTATCCATAGCCATACCTGCCTCTATCCGGACTCTTATCAGTGACATCAGCAGTGGTGCAACCAAACAGTGCCGCCCGCCGGGCATCCACAGGGAACCTAAAATCATCGCCAGGATTGTCACTTCATCCTCAGATCCTCTATCTATTCAGTCTAACTCTTTACAGAGTATTGTGTATGTCCTTTGATAACAGAACACAGCCATGAACGACCCCTACAATCCAAATCCGCCCCTCACCTACGAGGCGTCCGCCACCACCACTCATCCCCACATCGCTTCAACTCTACCGCCAGAGGTAGTCTCTTGTCTGAAAAATTCACGCTTCGTATGATCTACACCTCAGATGGCAATAAGAAATTAAACAAACTGACCAATACTCAGCTCCATCTCGCAACATGCGACGGCTTAACCCCCCACATCTCCCTCATGTCCTACACCTACCTCCCCTCAACGCCTTTTGATGCGCACCCAACTATCATAATGACTACTAATCCGTCATCCCGGAAAACAAATCACCTCCTCACAAACCCCCGAGTCTCCCTCCTCGTCCACGACTGGGTCTCTCACCGTCCCCCGCTCCGCGCCTCTAACCCGGGGGATCGCGATGGTTCTCCTCCGCCCGCGGCCACCCGTTCGTCACTAGCTGGTATGTTGCTAAACCTGAATACCAGTGCACTGTCTAGTATTTCGACAACTCTTGCGGGAGAGGCACGGTTCCTAGAGCCAGGATCTGAAGAGGAAAGCTGGTGTAAGGAGAGGCATTTGGAGAATAATACGTTTGAGGAGGAGGAGATGAATATGTTCGGTCTGCGGCAGCAGCAGCAACAGCAACAGTCAGGAGAGGCAGCCGGCCAACGACGTCCCAGTATGACGGTCGATGATAATGCGCGGGTTGTTACGGTTAAAGTACGCGAAGGACGGATTGCAGATTGGAAGGGTGGTGTTCGAGATTGGACAATTGTCACGGATGGTCAGGAGCAGCCAGCGACAACGTCTGTCAATGGTGTGCCGTCTTCGTCTTCGTAGCGATCTCCGGGCTTATTCTCTTACTTTCATTGACGTTCAACACAACATGAAACTAAACTCCATACTACATGGCGATATCCCAACTCATTCCACTGGTATTTAATCCAACTAAGACATACAGGGGTACTACTCTCCCCGCTAAACTGCTACGTACCAATCAACCCACTTGTAATCCAATCCTCCACAATCCAGACAAATCACCTGACCTGACATCACTACCCGAGCTGTCAACCGATCCGATTTTCAATATCCACCAACGTCGAATGCGACATCGCCAGTCTACGATATGATCTAGCAATTGCAATCCTATCTTCTATACCACCAACTCTACAGTCCAACCCCTCCTCCCTCGAAAAAAAGACCACAACAACCACAATGCGCCTCGCCCACCTCCACCTCCCAAACATAACCCCCTTCTCCCGCGTCTCCCACCTCCAAGAAACCCTCACCACCCGCCTCCTCGCCTACAAAAAGCTCACATCTCAATCGCCCTCGCAATCACCATCGCCAACACCAACATCAACACCCTCAACACCCCCAGACCCCACAATCATAACCTTCACCCCAAACCCCGTCTACACAACCGGCCGGCGCGACCTTCCCCCCTCCAACACAGCGAGTACCAAGACACTCTCCCTCCCGCCGGGGCTGGAACCGATTCGGTCGCTTTTGGTTCCTGATGGTGATGGCCATTCTCATTCCCCAGCTGGGGAGAGAAAGGCAGAATACCACCCCACCCTCCGCGGCGGACAGACGACATACCACGGACCAGGGCAGATGGTCGCGTACACAATCCTCGATCTGAAGAGACTCGGTCTGACACCGCGGTGTCATATACGGGTGCTAGAGAATAGTGTTGTGGATGTGCTGGGGCGGTATGGGATACCGGGTGCTATTACGGAGGATCCGGGGGTTTGGGTTCCCTCTTCTTCGTCTACGGGGGCAGGTGCGCCGAGAAAGATTACTGCGGTGGGGGTGCATTTGAGAAGAAATATTAGTAGTTATGGGATTGGGTTTAATGTAACTGAGGAGCCGATGTGGTATTTCCGGCAGATTGTCGCGTGTGGGTTGGAGGGACGTGAGGCGACGAGTCTGGAGGGGCAGGGGGCTCAGACTTCAATCAATGATGTGGCGGGTCAGTTCGTTGAGGCGTTTACGAGGACGATTAATGCGGATTTTGCTTGTGGGGATGGCGCCTCTGGGGAGAAGATTGATGAGGTCTATAACGTTCGAGAAGAGGATCTTTTACGGGCATGATTAAGCCTGGATATGGCAATCTATTCAAACGAAAATAGATATCCGCAGCAGATAACGATCATCAGGGTGGTACATATGGGTAATCTCTGGAAAAGACACAAATCGCATATAAAACATTCCTCGCCTCTTTGGCGGACTGGGTAATAACGGAAGTAAAAGAACAAAGCCTGGGTATTCTCCGATAACGTACCCGTCTTGAAACATTAAAAGTAAAAGTTAGGCCAAAATATATATAGAACGAAGAGAATAGGGCAATAAAAAGAGCCCGCGCCAAGGTGCTGAACAAGCAAAGGCTGATGCATGGTCAAATTGAATCCCGAGGACGAACGACTGACAATTTGGTCAGGCATTGGACCGAGGGACGCGATCACATGTTGGGACGGTCAGAGAATAACACATCCCTGCTTGCTCGACTTGGACCCTTGGGTTTTGACGTCGAGGGCAACCTTGGCGGCTTCACCAAAAGTTTCTCGGATGCCACGGTTTTGGACGGCAGAGCATTCTAACCTTTGTCAGCCTAAGTCCAATTCTTGGAAATGAGAACCATATCTTACCAAGGTACTTCACCGCGCCAATCTCTTTTGCCTTGGCCAATCCCTGCTCGAACGTAATGGCGTTTGGGTTGTCGTTCAGATCCTCGTCTTTCCTCAAGTCGCATTTCAATGCTGTAAGGACCATCCTCACACCCGGGCAGTTTTCGGAAATCTCCTCCACCCACTTGCTGGCGACGTTCTCAAACGAATCGGGGCTGTCGACCTGTATCACGAATTAACCACCGCAAACTCGACAATCAGATATGAAGTCGATGCTTACGCTAAAGCAAAGCATAATCACGTGGGTATCTTCATATGAAAGCGCGCGCAATCGATCGAATTCTTCCTGACCGGCCGTATCCCAGAGCGACAGTTCCATATGCACATTATCGACGAAGATATCTGAACAGGATGAGTACGTGAAACGAACGCGACGGGATATGGATTGTTAATTACCATGGACATAGTTCTCTAATAACGCAAAGACGTTAGCATATACATCAATTAATAGCTGGGAATTGGGCGCGCGTACCAAAAACAGTGGGTTCACTATACTCCGCAAAATCCAGTGGTTAGTCTCCTGTCGCGACCTGAATGTCTCAGTGTAGAGTCGCCTTACTATACTGTAGGGAAAAACCTAGCATGAAGAAGTAAATTAGCTGAATTGTACTCAGTAATTAAATTGAATTGAGACAGTCCAAAACTCACCCTCTCGTAAACACGTTTAGCGCCGAGGTCTTGCCACAAGCACCGTCGCCTCTACCCCAGAGTTAGCACCCTTCCAGAAAACCGACAGGCCATGGATATCACTGACAAGAGAACCATCTTCCGCTGAACGACTTTCTGACGCCCGCAAAGCTCCATGGTGGTGAATGGTGTCAAGGTCACGTCAAGGTAATAAGGTGGCGCGAAGAGGAATCAGGGGAATTGAATAGCGGCAAAGAGAGATAATCTTGGATCGAGAACAATAAAAGCGGGTATTAATTATATATATAACGAGAGTCGTGTCGCAATCGCTTCAGGTAATGATATAGAGCAGAAAATGAATAATTTGAAGAAAAGATGAAAAGAGAGAATCAGGCAGTGCAGAGGCAAGTATCGTCGTCGATGACATACGATCCCAAAACGGAACAGCGAATAGGGCGAATGCCTGCGCCACAGTAATCCACCAACCTAATCAGGAAATACGAGCAATTCCTGTCTTTGGGACTAATAACACGACCTAATAATCAGCTTGTGATATTTATGGGTGAGAGCGGCATCTGCAGAGTTCTCCGTGTCTGGCCTCCCGAGTGAGTTTTGTTCCTGGGGAATAATGAAATTAAAGGATGGAGACAATGGACCCGTTCTGTCACAATTTAAAGATCCCCACTGGTGATGCTGAACAATGAGGCTTGATCCGGGTTTTTGCAGTCAAAATTTGCTGTATCACTGGTTTAAAAATAGGATTGTGTAGAGTTTGTTGCCTATGATGCTGTAAAGATATATATATCTCTTCGCAGGAATTGATGTACATATTCGTATGGTTCGAAGTAAATCTACGCTGTACAGAGTACAAGCCACAAGTAACCCAATAAGCGCTGCCGCACGCAGAGATCAATCATATCACACAGTTGAACCACTCATATTTCTTTAATTTGGTAGTGCTTTCAATTCCTTCTAATACTACTCCGTACTATGCGGTAGTAATCAACGACCTCGATGGACTGAACAGTGTCTGGCCTGATATAACAGTGAAATACTCACATACAACTGTATGCCGGTTTGCTAACATTCATTTCCCCCAGCACCCACTTCAAGAGGCTCAATAGTGGGAATCAGAGGCCGATAATTTCAGCTCCTTGCAATCGCGTATATTTATGCCTGCGCATGGACAATCTGCAAATCCTTTAAGCATGGAGCTGGAAATATATTTCTTGCTGGAGCGCATTGACTCAGCGCTAATATAAAGCTACTCCGGTGTTTTAAGCTATTCAATATAGCTAGCATAAATCTGCAATAGATATTTATAATGATCTCGATCATAGAAAATTAAAAAGAATGCGAAGATGTTGAGATTACAAGCACTCATACTAGGCGGCCATTCTGAGCGCGGGGAACACGGGACTCCGATAGGCGCGGGAGCTCAGTTTGGAAGCTCACTCTACCATCCATCTGTCAACACTCACTACCTGCGCCTCTTGCCACAAACAGCGACCGGATTTTCATCTTTAAAACTGTCAAGAATCATCTCAAAAACCGTTAGACGTCATTTATTTCGCCATATAACCTTTCACGATGTCCGACGACGATGATTTCATGCAGGACTCTGGTGACGAGGAGTACGCCCCTCGCGCCCACCAGCTATCTATCAGAACAGAACTAACCGGTACCAACTTAGTTATGACTTCGAATACGAAGACGCCGACGACGATGAATCTGGAGACGTTGGAATCGAAAATAAATACTACAACGCCAAGCAGATGAAGGCCGATAATCCAGAGGAGGCTATCGATGAATTTTTGGGTGTACCTGCACTAGAAGAAGAGAAAAGCGACTGGTACGGGTCCCGTCGCTTTGTGTCTGGAGTGATATGGTAATAGACGCTGAAACTTTTGTCCAGGGGATTCAAAGGATTGAAACAGGCCATCAAACTTGAATTCAAACTGGGAAGATATGGCGATGTACGCAGTTTCCTCGAAAGCACATGCCCACCCCATGCTGACTATCCCAGGCCGTCGAACACTACCGCGAACTCCTTACCTACGTTAAATCGGCCGTCACACGAAACTACTCGGAGAAGTCGATCAACAACATGCTAGATTACATCGAGAAAGGCTCTGACGACGCCAAGGCCTATCAGTGCATGGAGGAGTTCTACTCGTTGACCCTCTACTCTTTCCAAAACACCAATAATGAGCGTTTATGGCTGAAGACCAACATCAAGCTGGCCCGTCTTTGGTTGGAGCGCAAGGAGTATGGCCAGCTGAGCAAGAAGGTGCGGGAGTTACACCGCGCATGCCAGCGGGAAGACGGCTCGGATGACACCAGCAAAGGCACCTACCTTCTCGAACTCTACGCCCTTGAGATCCAGATGTATGCGGAAACGAAGAACAACAAGCGACTCAAAGCCCTGTACCAGCGAGCGCTCCGTGTGCGGTCGGCCGTGCCACACCCCAAGATCATGGGAATTATCCGCGAGTGTGGTGGAAAAATGCACATGAGTGAAGAGAACTGGGAGGAGGCACAGAGTGACTTTTTCGAATCGTTCCGGAACTACGACGAGGCGGGATCCATGCAGCGGATCCAGGTGCTTAAGTATCTGGTGTTGGCGACCATGTTGATGAAGTCGGACATCAACCCGTTTGATTCACAGGAAACGAAGCCGTACAAGAGCGACCCACGCATTTCGGCCATGACCGACTTGGTGGATGCATTCCAGCGGGACGATATCCACACGTACGAAGAAATCCTGAGCAAAAACCCAGACGTGTTGGCCGACCCGTTTATTGCGGAGAATATCGATGAGGTCAGTCGGAATATGCGAACTAAGGCCATTCTCAAGTTGATTGCCCCGTACACGAGATTTTCGTTGAACTTTATCTCCAAAAACATAAAAATCTCCGTGCAGGAAGTTCAGGACATTTTGAGCTTCCTAATCCTGGACAAAAAGCTCGATGCTAAAATTGACCAACAAAATGGTATTGTGGTGGTCGAAAATAACAGCGACGTGGATCGATTACGATCTCTCCAGGAGTGGATCTCGTCGCTGCGGACGCTGTGGGAAGCGACCCTGAACGGCGAGGGGTTCAAGGCGGACGAGGCTGCGCAGCTTCAGGGCATGGCAGCCGGACCCATGTTCCCATTGGGGTTTGGCGATGACGGTCCAGTGGGGGCAAGTATGCGCACCCGATCACGGGGCGGATTCAAAGGCCGGGGAAAGGTCGGATCGAGGGCGTTTTAGGGCGTGCATATACACGCGCGCTCCGCCGCGAAAAAGAAAAAAGACAGATTTCTTTGTCTCATCCATGATTGCTGCAGGTCTACACCGGAGGTGGGCTGAACGATGCATGTAGGCGAAGAAGCTAGTTGTCTGTCTGTCGGCCTGTCTATGGGCGTGATGTGTTGTGATCGCCGGGGGGAAGCAGACGATGCGGTGTGTTCCCGCAAACACCGTACTTTTTTTTTTGTTGCTAGTGTCCCATTTGCTTTTTTCCCCCCTGCCAAACTGGATTTTGACTGGATAATGATAATGAATTACGAAGATAATGAGATTCTAACCAGAAGTCCGATGGCTTGTTTTTGTACGGCTATGGCGCGTCATGTACCGGGTACTTGCACCCTGGTGGCTGGCAGTACTTACTTCAGATGAAGTACTAGTGACAGTTGGCGTCTGTCAACGAGTCAGGACTCAAATTTTTTTGTTTTGCTTTTTGTTTTGCTTTTTTTTTTTTTTTTTTTTTTCTTGTGCAAGTTCTCTCGAAATGCCCTTTTCGTACCTAGAACGGAGCCGAAGATGCCGGGATTGTTGAGAGTGTATTTCTGTTTATTTTCAGCGGAGCCACTTCCGAGGGGCCCCCCTGTCACTGTACAGATGGATTCAGATCGGGTCGAAGAGTAGCAAACAAGCATGAAGCTGCAGTCCCGTCACATCTCAAGCCATCTGGCGCAGACCAACGAGGGCTGTGTGGAAAAGGAATGGTAGATCTAGCAGTTAGATATCAATGTATACCTGCATCATGACAAATATCCACTGGAAGTGACGGCAATACATGATGTGACACTGGAGAATACTATCGATTCTATAGTGGTAGCCTTTATTAGTGGGTTTGTTTCTTTTTTTTCTCTTTCTTGTGTGGTATGCATACAAGTAGTACTAGTAGTGTGTATATACTTGCTTGTTATTATTACAATTTATGGTCTGTTGTTGACATCGCAAAGTCTGGAGATAAACCAAACCCCGCTTATTTTTTTCTCCTCTTTTTTTTCTTTTTTTTTCTTCTTTTTTCCCCCCTTCTCTCACATCCTATTAATTCTCGTCTATTTCTTTTAAATCCCATCAAGATCATCTGTAGCTTTCCAAATCGCATCCCTGTTGTTGGGTCTTTTTGTCCATATTAAACCAATATATATCATCGCTTGGTTCTTATCTCATCCTGGCACGTGCGGAAAGCGGATTGTGGCTGCATCTCGCCTGGAAAAGAAACAAGGTATGTTTTTTTCTTCTTTTTCAACTGTTTGTTCTCATTCTCTCTTTATCCCTCGAATTATCCTCTTTTGTCGGTAAGATGTGATATCGGGTTTGTCATCATTCGGAATCTGTTTCCTCCACTCTTTCTCACTGTCTATACGCATCTCTCTTCTGTTACGACCTATGAAGGAAAGAGCATTGCGCTTTCGATGGCACCACCGGATAACCATCTGTGCTTCTTCAGCGAACGGGCTGTACTTTTGATGTGTTGATTTTCGGGTTTACTGACGGTCTATCGGGTCCGATACAGCTGCTGATCCTCCCCGAACTTCTCCATCCGGCGCGCAACTCCAGAAACCAACTTGAGGTAGAGCAAAAGATGCTGGCTGGTCTGGTGTGTATAAAGAACAATCTCTTTCTGCCATTATTGATTCATGGTGGATGATATCGAAGCTGACAATTTTCTAATACAGGCAACTGCTTGTCACATTGAACTTTAAGAAGCGCTGTCTCCAATCTTGCGATGTCCTTATCGGATGTTCCGTTCGCCCATTTCCTACCTTACAACCACAGCCACTACTTCACGGATTACCACGACCTATCTGCCGCGAACTCCATCTACCAAGACCCTACCTTTCACTCTCCCGCCCCGGTCCTCTCCCACGGCGTGTCATCGCATTTCTCCACTTCCGTCAAGAACCGTAGCGTCGCCAAGTCCGCATTCAAGATGAACACATTATCGACCGAGGAGATGGAGCGGTTTCAGAAACTCTCGAACGAGTTTGAACCAGACGTTCAGGTACGGAGTGCTTGGGAGGATTCCGCTTGATTCCGCATCAGAACAACCCGGCTGACACCAGGTGGCAGGGCCCGCTCGTATCGACAAAACAATCGACTCAGGCAATTACGATGGATTATGCGAATGCAGATCCTACTCTGGCTACAAAGACTAGCGTACGACACTTTCCCCCCTCAATTTGCGATAAGGGAACCTCGTGTGGTCTCTAACTGCTCTATTGTACAGACACTTGCCCTCACACATCCCACGTCGCGTATCATGAAAGGCGATGGCAATTGTGGTTGGAGAGGTATGGCCCGGTTTTCGGGAGAGTGCTTAATATCTTTGACTGATTTTGTTTAGCGGTCGCATTTGGCTACTTCGAGAATCTCTTCGCCCTTCGCGATTTGGTTTTGATTCAGAACGAGCTAATCCGGATCAAATCGTTATCCAGCCTCCTCGACCAAGTCGGCCATCAAGACTACCTTTACGAGATCTTTGTCGATGCCACAGAACAGGTCTTCACCCAATTAATCCAGGCCATTCAAGATGGCGTCCGTGACGATTCGTTCCTCGTCGACACGTTCAACGTCGAGTACAGCTCGAACGCAATTCTTACTCACTTCAGAGTTAGTATACTATAGCTGTCTCCCTGACAGAGTGAATATTGACGATGTCTTCAACACAGCTTCTTACAGGCGCGTGGATGAAACTGAACCCTCAGCGGTATCAAGCGTTTGTCCCCATGCCGTTGGATCAGTACTGCGCAACACGAATCGAGACGGTTAAATCGGAAATCGACGAAGTCGGGCTTCAAGCATTAATCGATGGTGTCATTGAACGATCCGGGTTTGCCGTTGAGATTTTGTATCTCGACCGCAGCCAGGGCGATGCCGTGACGCCTCACTTGTTGACAACAAACCAGGCCAGCATTGAAACCATCCGACTATTATACCGACCGTGAGTTTACATGCTGATTCGCGGTGCATTGAATAAGCTAACTTGTACCACAGAGGTCATTACGATCTGCTTTACCGCCCCGAACCAACTGTGAATATGGAACCCGTGGTTAACTACCAATACGCAATGACTTCTAACTACTCCCCCTGGGATCAAGGTGCCCTCTCCTTCGACGTCAACCCAACCTTGATGTCAATTCCCAACCTAATGATGGATCCGGCCTTTGCGATGGGTGCGCCCCCGATGTCTCCGGCTCCGATTTCTCCCCCGACTCCTTCAAGTCCATACCGCGTGTCTTCCCCTCATGAAGTCTACCAAGCTCAAATTCCCACTTCACCACCGCCACCACCGGTTCAAATGCCATCGCCGCCTGCGCCTCGGATGTCTGCTCCTCCTCCGTCAGGTCCTCCTCCGCCGATGAGCAGTCTGCCGAATCGGTCCTCCGATGGGCCTCAGATTCGATTGAACCCGTTGGTGATGAAGCCTAATCTCAGTCGTTCTCTTCCGATTACCACCCCATTTAAGAAGTGAGTCACATCCTCCCCATTGGGAGACACTGAAATGGAAGCTAACGTGCGCCACAGCTCTCCTTACAACCAAGCCCACTTCCAAAACCAAGATTTCGAACCGATCCACTGGGAACCCAGCGACTCCCGCAAATAGATTCGCCACCATCTTCATCAAATAGAAAGGAAGCTTTGTTGAACGAAGCCCTTTCTAAATCGCACCAAGCATCACTCGCATCTCTCGTTTTCTATCATGGACGAGACTACATTTACACAAGACACCATCCGTTATGAGCACTAGCGTTCCGGGACCTACCTACCTGTTAGAAGGAATCTACCATTTGTTTCTGTTGGATTAGCATGGGTGAAATTGAGAACCGCTCTTGTTTGTTATTGTTTGATTACTGTTATGTTGTTTTAGCGCTGTTGCATGGGCATGTGTATACTTTTTGATATTATTATTATGATATTGTTTATTATTTCGGTTGGGTAGTTATTTGTATGAATCAGTGACCAGAATGTATCTGTGTTGTCTATGTATGTATGCATGTATGTGAAAATTGAAAGCAAATGTCAAATGGCAAATGATACTGGTTGGTAGCCAAGTATCTCTATCTATCTGCATTGGTATTGGTATCAAAAAGAAAAAGAAAAGAAGAAACATGATCATTACGAAATCATTCAAACTCATTTCCAACTCCAACATTCATTTTGGGAGAAGACGATGTTCGGTTCGGTTTTCGATGGTTTTCGAATTCGATATTCTGTTTAGGATGGAAGAAATGCGCGTGGTGGGTGTATTCGAAACTCAGATAAGAATAGTGCTGAACCCAGCTAAGGCGTAAAATTCAACCACTCCGAGAAATCCATCCCCGACATATTCAAATTCAACTCCTGATCCACATCCGGAAACATGCCCCCGAACGTCGGATCATTGAACAACTGATCCGGGAAATGCATGAGGATAGGCGGTTGCTGCTGCTGTCCCCCGTCACCTGCACCCCCAGTAACTGGTTTGTTTGCTACTGCGGGGATCCCCGGCATGGAAGCTGCGCCGGTGGTCGTGTTGGCGTTGCCGTTATTGTTGGGGTAGCAGTAGCAAGAAACCGGTGTGCAAAGCTTGTTGACGACTGCTAAACAGCGGGTTGCGAGACGGTTGTTGGATAGGGAGGGATGGGAGAGGAGTTGTTTTGTCGTTTGAATATCTTGGAGCCAGGCTGGGGCGTCTGTGCTGGTTGGGTCGGTCATGAGGAAGATAATCGGGATGAGGCCGGCTTGGAAGAGGAAGTACAGCATGTACCAAGCGCCCAATCTCGTGCAGATGTAGTTATCCATGTACTCTGAGATCGAAGCGATTGTCAGCCTGGCGTTCCGGAGACAGAGCATCCGACAGTCTCCTTCGAATGGGTCCTCGCGCTCTGGTGGCGGTCCGGGCGTAGGCGTCCATCGTCTGGCTGCCCAGCGGAGGAGAATCGGGCGGTAGATGAGGGTTCGCAGGTTCCAGTCTCGCCACATTAGTCGTCTGCGGACGAGGGCTGTGGAGTCTGGTTCGGGCATTGAGACGGGTTGTTTGAGGTAGTCGGGGAGGTTATTGTACCATTCTTCCATTGGTTTTTGGAGAGAGAGGGTTTCTTCGGGGGTTAGGGCGGGGCTTGAGATTAGGCGTTGGTAGACGCTGTTTGTTAGGAGGTGAAATTTGGCTTGGGCGATTATGCCGGAGTATAAAGTTGGGCCGTCGGATTCTTTGGGTAGGGTCGTTGTGCTTGGTGTGAGTGCCTGCGAATCATTAATTAGCCCTTAGTTCTCAATGGATGGGAGGAGAGAGTGTTCTCACCTCGTCCTGGATGTTAAGGACATGTTTTGCATCCATAACCCTATCCTCTGGTAGGAGAATCGGTCTGCCAAACGTTTTGGCCGCACCACTGTCAAAGATGAAAACGCCCCACCACAATCTCCGTCTGATCTCCCGCTGCAGAAGACTAATTCTCCACCCTGGAAACTCCTTATGAAGACCAAGACTCATAGCCATCCGGACAGCAAGACCCAGGAAATTCCACCCCGTATTCGGCTTGTTTCGTTTCTGTGCATAGTTGCTCATCAACAGCAATGCCTGAATCAGAGTCAAGTTCCCGGTTTCGAACACTGAAACTTGCTGCAAATGGCCTCTGGCTTCTTGGTAGAAAGTGATGTCCAGATCTGAATTGTCGTCTCCGATGCTCCATGCTCCCAGGGCTAGAATCGTGTTAAGGAGGATTTGCCACGAGAGGCCGTGTGGGCGGGGGATGTGCTCATGAAACTGTGCCCTAAACGTAGCTTCATGAACGAAAGGATAACTCGAATGATAGTTGAGGAAGTAAGCGTCCATGAAAGCCTGCTCGATAAGACCAGATGGAGCAGAATTCAGAAGTTGAGATTTCAATGGAACTCGATCTGTGTTTCCGTTTGGCTTTGCCGTACTCGAAGGAATACTGAGATCGAATCCATGTTTCATCAAAGCTCTTAGTGGCACAACACTGGATGAAGCACCTGTTCATGGATTAGCAACTGTACAGCAAATCTAGGAAAGAGATACAAACCAAAATACCCCGAACCTTCCGGCTTGATAGACAACGCAGCCATGCCATCCGTCAAACCACCGAGTGAAATTTCCTTTTCAGCCCAGTCAAACCCATCCGCCTGTTGCGGTAAAGCTTCTGGAGCTGCTTCAGATCGATCCTCAGTTTTCGCCGGAGTCGAATGCCTTGAGGATGATTTGGAAGATGCAGTCCTTGGTGGCGTTTCATGGTCCTGCAACAGCGAACGGACAGTCGCATCCAGATCGCCCCCTGGGAACAGTCTTGCTAGAGCCGTCTCAAATGCTTGTAGACGATCTTCGACATGCGTCAAGTGTCTGAACTGTCAGAATCATGATCCATGGCTAATATAAACTGTGATACTCACTGCCGCGTAAGTGGGCTTCTGGTTACTTTGGGGCTATAACTGCACTCCTTGCCCAATTGCGAGCACTGCAGGCATGTTGGGCGCCCCTTTGAACACTAGTCGAATGGTCAATAGACGAACCATCGTTTGGAAGCAATAGTTCTCACCTTCGACTTTCGTAGCCGACATTCATCGCACTGTCGTCACGTTAGCGCTCTAACTGTCTTTCTGTCCCGCGCAACTGATACTTACAGCGTAGGCATGAGAATCACGAGTACTAGTCATCTTTATCGGGGAAAATCTGCTTTCCTGAATCGCAAATCTCTTTCACATTGGATATTATCACGCCAGACTGATAGCATCTGAAATCGAGGTTAGCCATGGACATTAATTTCGCATCAGAAAGAGATGCGCGAGAATTCAAGACAAGAACAAGCAGGCAAAGATACAGGCTTATGCATAGTAAGACGCGCTGCTCGAGCGGTTCCAAACAAGAACCAAAAAAAAAAAAAAAGGCAAAGATTGACCTCAGCCTCAGGGATACAATACACTCAATGCGCACCCTCAAGAAAACGTTGAATAATGAAAATACACCAGATCTGGAGGGGACGGCATAAAAAAGTACCGGCGAACCACGGGCCAAACTCACGGTAGGCATGGGAATAATCTGTGATCCGCGATCCCGGGATCAGAAACAACGCTCGTCGAGACCAAAAGCGAATGACAAACCCATCAGAGGCAGAATAACCGATATAGGAAAGGTCGCAGCGATGGAGTTGGCGATGGGGAGGTTCGAACTTGAAGAAAGACTGTATCATGTGGGGAGCCAGTCACCTGACCCGTGAAAAATCTCTCAGGGCGATTCGAATCCTCAGGCACGAACTGCTGCTGACATGGTCAATCTGATATTGAGTTATAAGAATATTCTAGTGTTCTATGGGATTTATATCTACTATGATCCTACTTTATGGTGTCTTTTATACGGATTACTCTGTACATAGTACAGCATGTAGTATTACGCATAATGCATTGTGAGTAGTCCAATGCACCCCATAGATCGGTAGCCACGATATATACATCCACCAGTGGCAGTTGAATGCATTATCCAATGGCATATCCACCAATTAGACGCTATATTCAATACCTTGATCAAGTAAAAGATGTCCCTTGAGTACATCTCTATTCCATTCTTCTATGTATACATTTTATGCCACTCACAATCGCGCCCTGGCGGGACAGTGCTTGACCAATCAGATCGCCTAGCAGAGCTTTCTTTTTATACAACGTCATGTGAATTTTGATAGCAGTCCTCTATCAACCCGCCAACACAATCCATTTACATTAAGACGACATACAGTCGATAAGCCCCTAGCACATTGAACCCTTGCATATTTCCGAACAGTCATCAGCTGCGACACCTCAAACAAACTTCGAACATGCCCACACAACCCCCACTACCACCCCTCCTCACACCTTATGTATCATCTCTCCCACAATCCTCCCTCACTCTCCTCTCCTCAGTCCTCGGCGCAACAGGGAATTGGCTGGTCCTAAGGTACCTCTACGCCGCGCTCAGCGCATCCTCTGCAAATACCACGTTTGGTGCAGACGGCGTCGATAATGGCAAGAAGCGCAAGGTCGTGCTCGTGAGTTTCTTGCGGAGTTGGGAGTTTTGGAGGTCCGAGGCCAAGAGATTGGTAATTTCTGTTTATAGATATTTTGAAAGAAATATATTGACCATGACTAGGGTCTGGATCTTGCGCGACTCGCAGACAAGGGCCAATTCGCGTTCGTGGATGGATTATCGGAGCTTTTTTACACCCCGCAGGCGCAAACAGCGGCTCCGGTAGCACCATCCGCGCCAGCACCATTCGCGCCAGCACCATTCGCGCCAGCAGGTCGTACTATTCCTCCCCGGACGGCACTGCCTGTTCGTGGACCGCCTGGAGCCACTGCGCCTGCGCCTACTCCTGCAGCTCCTCCGGGTGGTGGTCTGAACAGAGCCGCAACGGAAGCCGGACCTGGACCTGGACCTGCAAAGCGACTGCACCTGACAGGCCACGGGACCGCAGCACTCGACGCATTGGAGAAGGATATCTCGGACGTCGTCAGCCAACTGAAGACTACGGTGGGAGGGGACGATGGAGAGGAAGCGGAGGTGTTGTTGATCGTCGACCAACCCGACTTGCTACTTGCTGCTACAGGCCCAAGCAAAGGGATAGGAGCTACGGAAATGGGCGAGTGGGTCATGGGACTACAACAGGTACCGTATAGGCTGCGCATCGATTGAGAAGGTGACGGGCTGACAATTTCGATAGCATTCGCACGCGACGATCGTGGCTGTTTCTGCCGATTCGCCGCTGATACATAATGCATCCGAATTCGCCCATCACCCAGCAACTCCGCTGGAGAAGGAGCATGCCGCGTTCGCTGTGGGATTGGCGCATAGGGCTCAGATGGTCGTGCAGCTTCGGAACTTGGAAACGGGTGCCGCTCGGGATGTTAGTGGTGTGCTGAGGGCAAGCAAGGGTGGCGCTTGGAGTGACGATGGCAGCACCGACGCTGAGACCAAGTGGGAGGAGAAGGAAGTGTTGTACTTCATCCAACGGGACGGGAGTGTGAATGTCTTCGGAAGGGGCGAATAGAATAGGGATTCGTATAGACGTAGATAGAGCTCAAGTATAAACCTGTTCATGAGTATTTGTGTTGATGGAACGGGACCTGTTTTGAATCCAGACAGATCACATTGGAAGCATATCTCAACCTAGTATCTGCCACGACCAGGGATATCCGCCAGCGTAAACTAAAAAGGAAAATCATGAAAAGCTTCCCCTTATTTTTATGTCACCCAAAAGAAAAAAGAAAAAAGAGAAACCCATAAAATTTTCTTTGTCATCCCTTTTGTCGTCGAATTTTGTGACTTGGAAGAAGAAATGCTATGGCGGCAAAAAGAGAAGACCGTCGCAACACCAACTCCACTGGAAAAAAGCGTTCATTTTCATTTCGCCCTTGCATTGAAACCAGCTACTTCATATGCTAGGCCATAATCATACCAGTTCCCTCCAGCCTCCGAGATCGAAAACGCGACGTCGAGATATTAGATTCGCTTATTGAGCGGTCTCGGGGCCACGGGCGCCCTTGGGAACACCAACACGGAAGCCGTTCTTGAAGCGCTGGTGGACATCCTTGAGGTGACGGGTGCGGCCGCTGCCGGTGGTCTTTCTTCTCTTAGCCTTCTCACCCCAGTTGACTATATTCCAGAAGAAAATTCGTAAGCCAGATAGTTCCCAATAACCAACGCCATGCTAAACTCAATCGACACATTGTTCCGTCAACAGGGAGAGGGGTTCGTACACTTGCGGGTCTTAGCGGAGGGGTAACCGCAGTTGGCACAAGTCGACTTCTGGATGTGGAAAGAACGCTGTCCTGTAGATTCCAAATCGCAACCGGTCAGCCCATCTTTATATTCTTTCCCAGTATATCCCAACTTATTCCCGTATCGTCCATGATCCGCGAATCCGTCGGGGGTTTCGGAGGAGTTCTTTATACTGACCACAACGCCGGCACAGGGTGTGCGTCTTGTTGTGACGCTTACCGAAGCTGGAGGTACCCTTCGCTGTTATCGTTGTTAGTGATGTCGACGGGGAGGTTGATCGCAATCGCAGGACGCATCGGATTTGCACATACTCATTTTGAATTAAGGAACTGTAAAAGATAAAATCCGATATGTTAGCCAACGCAAGAACCGTAAAAGAAAAGAAAAATAATTCCCCTCGAGGATGCGCAATGTATCTCCAAAACAACGACTTAACTTACCTGGCGATTCCGTTGAAGGGCTGGTTGTCGTCGTTGTCGTCGTCGCTGGGCGTATCGTGAGTTCCGCTGAGATCTGGGGGTGTCGCTTAGCGAGTTGTGGTATTCAGGGCTTCTGCCCTGGTCCCGTGACTTATCTGGCCTAATATGGTTAGCGGTCAGCTGACCATGGCGCTACTCGGTGGAACCACCAGCCTTAACCCGTGCGCTAAGCCACTTTGGGTTTGGTCCATTATCGACCGATGCTCGCCGATAAACTTCTCTATGGCAGATGGATTCTTTAAATGCTTTGAATTGTAAGATTCATGACTGACGATCTTACTCTGTGACATATAATGAACAGTCTTGTTGAGGTACTAATAATTCTGAAGTTCAATTTTCTATGCAGAGATCGGTACAACCCGTCAATGTACATTGCAAAAGGGTATGCTAACAGCGCCAAACGCCAAATATTGCAAATATGATATCTAAATCTCAAAGCAATTACTGTGCAACCTCATCTTTCCCAATGAATGCAGCCATCGGGTCATCAGCGGCAAAACGACTCCGTTTGTATGACTCGAGCTCCTCTTCATTGATTCCAGATTGGATCTCCATAAGTGTTCTCTTCTTCCCCGAGCTTGAGGCATCCTTGCGCTCGTTCTGGTCATCCATATCGCGGAGTTCGCGAGAGCCATCACCTTCTTCGGGCCTACCTGACGGCTCTTCAGCTTCGTCTTTAGCCGGCGGCAGCATCAGCAAGTTGTCAGCTTCCAGGAAAGCCTTCTTTCCATCCTCCCCCGTACAGTAACTGTTTTTCACAACTGAGAAACAGCATGCGTAGCCCCAGTCGAAATTATGCCACCAACTTCCCCAGACACTCGTGTGGTTGTTGCTGAGAATATCTTCTGGGTACTTCGATTTGGCTGCCTTCTTGGGTGCGCCCTTGACAGCACCCGTCTCATCGTACTCGACAAACTTCTCATTCTCGACGACCATCGTGTCTCGTAGCGGCGTTGGCGCCATATGTTCCTCGCCACCATATTTCGCTAGGAGAGCTTTGCGCTGCGCTTGGCGCTTGCCTTCGCTTTCTGCCTGCGTCCTCTTGCGCATGACCTCTCCTGATGTTGGGTTCGCTTGAAGATGAATCTGCGGCTTTCCTTGTTCTTGCGACTCCCAAGCGTACCGTTGCGCTCTCTCAAACTCTGCGGCATCACCCGAACTGCGAACGAAATTCTCCTCGGCAACTAGCGCTGCAGCATCGTCCTCCGAGGCACCCCCATCGACCATTCGCCGTGTCTTCGGATCGTACTTGGCCGAGTCGAGATCAAGGTTCAGCAGGTACTTCGCAGTGTCTTCTCGAATACGTAGGTTGCGTGTCGCTGTGCTCTGTTGTCGTCCCATGTCCGATTCCTCTGCATAACGAGCTTCTTCATTCTTCTCTTCGTCATCATCCTCATCTTCCCCATGCTCCGCTTTGGTGCTCTGTTTTATATCCTCCATCTCTTCGTATTCCTCGACAACTTGACGGTATTCGGTCGGGTCATAGCCGTTCCACCGGTCTCTTTTCGCATCCCACCCGAGCTCCACATCCTGTAACACTTCATCTGCCTCAATATTTTTGCCAGTCCATTTCGCACCTTGCTTCCGAGGTCGACTTAAGCATTCTTTCGTCTTATGGGTCATTGCGCCGCAGTTTTCGCAGGCGCCTTTTCGGTACTTGGTGGCGGCTGGGCCGGCGCGCTTGCCTCGGTCGTACCATTTCGTGATATCTGATTTTTCTGCCTTGTGTAAACGTTGGTGTTCGAGGTAGTCGTTGGCTGTTGTTTCATCATCGATATAGAACGGTTTCTTCGAGATGAAAGAAGGAATGTACTCGTTGCGCTCCTTCGACGCCACATCCGCAGGCTTTCGCGACGACATTGTGGCGTAGGACAGCGATAAAGACGAAATTAATGCGTTTCAATAGGCAGAAGAGTTAGATATCAGAAATTATCAGGGATATAACCCCCTTCACAAGTTGTGGCGTGAGATAATCAAAAGTCTCGGAAGTCCGACGTTGAAGTTGGTGATAACATCGGCGAATTTCACGTGACCAGGCGTTCCCTTCCCGCGCTCCGAGGCGCGTCCGCTATGTTGATGTTCGTGTACGTCATGCTTTTGGTCTAAGAAGAGGATCTGGATGGTAGCGCTGGTTGTCCTGACCTGACGCCCACCGATGGAGCCCTTTCAAGTGCGCCTCAACTGGGTGGATCACTACCAAGCAACCCCGTCAGAATTTGATCCTCTACAATATGGGAATGAAAATTCTGGAAAAGATGACAAGTCGAAGGTACCTGTCATCCGGATCTTCGGAGCTACAGAGACCGGCCAAAAGATCTGCGTTCATGTACATGGTGCCTTCCCATATCTATACATCGAATATGATGGTCCTTTGACATCTGAAAAAGGTTGGTTTCGCGCGCATTGCTACTCTAATTGATCTTACAGCTGAATATTCGTAAAATGCAGTGAGTTCAACAATTCAAAGTCTCCATCTGTCAATCGATCACGCGCTGGCAGTGAGCTATCGCCACAATGACAACGGTAAAAAAGCTGCATTTGTTGCTCATATCACCCTGGTCAAGGGTATTCCGTTTTACGGGTACCATGTGGGATATCAGTTTTTCTTCAAAATATATCTCCTAAATCCTTTATACGTCACTCGATTGGCAGATCTTCTACTTCAAGGTGCGGTGATGGGGCGTTCATTTCAGCCATACGAGAGTCATATGCAGTATATCCCCCAATGGATGTGCGACTATAACTTGTACGGATGTGCGTATATCAGATGCAGCAAAGTCAAGATTCGCTCTCCTGTGCCAGACTACCTCGAACTCACTGATTTGTCTCACCGTTGGCATGACCGGTCGATCCAGCCTGAGTGCGTATCAGACGAAACGGTTCTTCCGAAGCAAAGTCATTGCTTACTAGAAGCGGACATCTGCGTTCAAGACATTCTGAATCGCACGGATACCAAGGAAAGACCTATACACCACGATTTTACGGAGATGTTCAAACCCGTTGCTCCCAACGAGCGGCTGGTTCCGAGCATGGCTGGCCTGTGGCAAGATGAAACCAGAAGGCGCAAAAAGCGACTCGGTATTGACGAGCCGGGAAGTAGCCCATTTGGCCCCGAAGAGCTTATTTCGATGTCGGCCGATCCACGAGGTAATAGTGATGGAGGCTGGATCCATGAAGAGGAATTTCGCGAAATGGTCCTTCAAAGTGCTGCCGAGGAGAAGCGCCATAGCGGCGGTAAAGATGTCAACTTTGAGAACTTCCTTAAGAAGAATCCTTTCGAGGATAGCGTTAAGACTGCACTTGAAAGCATAGAAGACCTTTTCCCGGAGAAACTTGAGCAGTCGAGCTTCGAGATGTATCAAGCTCGCAACGCAGGCGGGCGAGGCGATGCGGAAATTTCTGTGGATGAAAGCGCGGTCCTGGCATCTCAGCGTGACGGGGATCATTACAGCTCAGATGGCGATCTTACTGACAAACTTGATGACACTGACGAAGCCGCTGATCCCTTCGATGATGAGCTTGGTGATGGGCTTTTTGACATGAACTTTCAGAACCTTAAAGGACAGCAAGGCTCAAATAAGGAGAACTTCCCTCAAGTTGATCCCAAGGACTCCTCAGAAGACCATCTTGGCGAAACTTCCGAATCAGAAAGCGAATTAGAGCGCGGCAATACCAACGGTGATCCCCGAAACGCAACCCTTAAACGGTCACGATTTGTAAAAACTGATGGCGACATCTCGTGCAAAAGACAAAGAACCCCTAGGGGACAGCACCTACACAGTTCACAGACGTCCTCATCCCAGGATCACCCACAACCGGCGAAGTTAACTACCCAGGACGTAAATGGTACCACTGACCGTGCTCCTGGCACACAGGATCGTAAACTGACACCTCGACCAAAACCATCCTCCCAAACCGCCAATCGACCCAAAGGGTCCACGCAAGATAGCAGACTCAATTTTCCCGTTGTAAAGAATTCCAATAATCCCAGCCCAGCTTTGCGATTCAGCCAGGAAGGGGATCTTACTCCCAAAGCAACAGCGGACACTCTCGCGACCCAGGAAAACCCAATCTCGTCAAAAACTGTCGCCAAGTTTTCTCAAGAAGCGCAGACAGGGACATCTTCGCAGCTGCAACCATTCTCTACGGATACTGGCTCGGACATCTATAGCTCGCCCGTATATGAGGTCGCATCGAATATCTACCAGTCTTTTGACAATCTCCCCGACACACGGATATGCTGTTTTCGAGCTCCTTGTCCCACCCCCGATGAAGTATCTTTAACGCTCAATGATCATGGTTATCCATCCGTTATCTACCAGAAAGCCCATTATAGCGATGAGAAGGATGTACATGATCGACCACGCGAATATGCAGGCCGCGAGTTCCGCTTGGAAGGGACCAGCATCCATTATCTTCCAGACTTTGATCCTTCGGGAAGATCTCCCGCGATGCTTGGCGAGCAAGGTGCCGTTTCAGTTGATCGGGATAACCGAGAAGTAATCGATCAGCAACTACGGGAATCCACTTCCTGTAGAGTCTGGGAGTTTGCACCTGTTCCGCCCAGTCGCTCAGAGGTTGTGGAATGGTTTGAAAACATGATGTCTGATTTGAAGTCTCAGCCAGCACAAGGAAGAGAAACCCAGATCGAACCAAACCTGAAACCTAATGTGCTTTCCCAAATCGAAGGCCCCACGCAAAAGGACCATAGCACCAAATATACCGCCAAAGATCAGTCGACAAGCATGGAGCATCAAAATCAGTATATGAGTATAATGAGCTTGGAAGTCCACGTGAACACCCCTGGGGTGCTTTCGCCAAATCCCGAGGAGGACGAGGTTTCATGCGTATTCTGGTGCATCCAGTCAGAAGATGAGGGTCTCGACCCTAATGATAACATTCCTGGCGTCCACGTGGGAATGATATACCAAGGAGAAGGCGACGTGCCAGAGACAAAGATCGTTCGGGCCCTAAGAATCGAGACGGACCAGCAAACTACCGAACTTGACCTTATCAACCGGGTGGTGGATATCGTCAGATATTACGACCCAGATATCATCACCGGGTATGAAGTCCATAACAATTCCTGGGGCTATCTGATCGAGAGAGCACGGAAGAAGTACTATTTCGATCTATGCGATGAGCTATCGAGGGTGAAGTCTCAAGCACACGGAATATTCGGCAAAGACAGTGACCGTTGGGGCTTCAACCACACTTCCTCCATCCGCGTGACAGGCCGACACATAATCAACATCTGGCGAGCTATGAGGAGCGAGCTTACCTTGCTTCAATACTCGATGGAGAATGTCGTCTTCCACGTCCTACAGCGCCGGATACCTCACTACTCATTTCGAGACCTTACAGCGTGGTACCAGAGCGGGAAACCTCGCAACCTTATGAAGCTCGTCAGTTACTACGCCTCTCGCGTGCAAGTGAACTTAGAGATCCTGGAGTCAAATGAATTGATAACGCGAACCAGCGAACAAGCAAGACTGCTGGGCGTGGATTTTTTCTCCGTCTTCTCGCGAGGCTCACAATTCAAGGTTGAATCTCTGATGTTCCGAATTGCAAAGCCTGAGAACTTCATGCTTGTCTCTCCGAGCAGGAAACAAGTCGGGCAACAAAACGCGCTTGAATGTCTCCCACTGGTTATGGAGCCTCAAAGCGACTTCTACACGAGCCCTCTCGTTGTACTGGATTTCCAGTCACTATATCCTAGTGTTATGATAGCATATAATTACTGCTACTCAACCTTCCTGGGAAGAGCACGTCAATGGCGAGGTCGGGATAAGATGGGCTTCATGGACTACGAACGACAACCACGACTTCTGGAACTACTCAAGGACAAGATTAACATTGCACCAAATGGAATGGTGTACACAAAGCCCGAAGTGCGAACATCCCTTCTCGCAAGAATGCTCACGGAGATCCTGGAAACCCGCGTGATGGTCAAAACGGGCATGAAACTGGACAAAGACGACAAAATTCTACAACATCTCCTCAACAACCGCCAACTAGCCCTCAAATTAATCGCAAACGTCACATACGGTTATACCTCCGCCTCGTTCTCGGGCCGCATGCCTTGCTCAGAGATAGCAGACAGCATCGTTCAATCCGGACGGGAGACACTGGAGAAAGCCATCGCCCTGATTCATTCTGTGGAAAGCTGGGGCGCTGAGGTCGTCTACGGAGATACAGACAGTCTCTTCGTCTACCTCAAGGGCCGAACACGCGAAGAAGCATTCGACATTGGCGAAGAGATCGCAAAAACCATCACTGACATGAACCCACGTCCCGTGAAACTCAAGTTCGAAAAAGTATACCACCCCTGCGTCCTCCTCGCCAAGAAACGATACGTAGGTTTCAAATACGAACACCGCGACCAAAAAGAACCCGAATTCGACGCAAAGGGCATCGAAACAGTCCGTCGGGACGGTACACCAGCGGAACAAAAAATCGAAGAAAAAGCCCTCAAAACCCTCTTCCGCACCGCAGACCTAAGCCAGGTCAAGAGCTATTTCCAGAAACAATGCACGAAGATTATGCAAGGCAACGTCTCCATCCAGGACTTCTGCTTCGCTAGAGAAGTTCGACTAGGGACGTACAGCGAGCGAGGTCTCCCTCCACCAGGTGCACTCATCAGCATTAAGAAAATGCTCCTGGATCCCCGTCTTGAACCTCAATATGGAGAACGAGTTCCCTACGTCGTCGTCACCGGTGCCCCAGGGTCAAGACTGATCGATCGATGCGTGGCGCCCGAGACCCTCCTCAACGACGCACAACTAGACCTCGATGCGGAATACTACATCACGAAGAACATCATCCCGCCACTCGAACGGATCTTCAACCTCGTAGGCGTCAATGTCCGCCAGTGGTACGACGAAATGCCCAAATTCCACCGCATCCGCCGCATCGAAGGAGGAACCACAACCGCTTCCTCATCTTCATCCTCTTTAATACCACAAACAACAATGACAATCGGCAAAACTCTCGAATCCTACATGAAGTCCTCCCTCTGCCTCGTCTGCAAAACCAACAAAATCTCCGAATCCACCAATCCCAGTCACAAGAACCTGCCGCTTTGCAACAACTGCCTCCAAACACCGCACATATCTCTCCTCGCTCTGACTTCGCGCAGACAAGTATCCGAGAAGCGCGTTCTGGATCTCCATCGTATCTGTCGCTCGTGCATGGGCGTTTCGTTTGGTGATGATGTGAATTGTGATAGTAAGGATTGTCCGGTTTTTTACTCGAGGACAAGGCATATGGCGAATTGGAGGCACGCGAGGGTTGTTTTGGAACCGGTTGTGAAGGCGTTGCAGGATTGGGGCGATGATAATTTTGTTGGGAGCGCGAATGGGAGTTTGGATTGGTAGGGCGGTGTTTTCCTGCATATTCTGGGCTATATTGCTATATGAGTGACAGGCGTTTGTTCCATTTTGGCTTTCGGCGTCTGGTCATTGGATTGGAATTGACATATTAGATTACTTGAGTACCGATTGTTTTCGCATACAAATAATTCACAAACTACTCGAGATGCTTAAGATGCCATCAACTGCAATAAAAGTACTTTATTCTATAATAAACCTATGGATATGTCCATCAATTTTTGTCATCAACAAAACAAGCGATAACGAAGGAAAGAAATAAGAAAAAAAAAAAAAAGAAAAGAAAAGAAAAGAAAAGAAAAGAAAAAGACGATGACGACGAAAACGAAGAAGCTAACGCCAGATTGAAACGCCAGTACATACCATAGTAACTCCCCCCTAATTCTTTCCTTTCACCTGTTTTAGAAGCCAAGCAGTGCGTTGAGCTTGTCGACCGGGTCAGGCTCTAGATCTCCTTCGTCCTCCACGATTTCAATACATTCTGTTTCCGTGCCCTCAATGACATTCTCCGTGATACCCGTCTTCTCCAAATCGTGCTTCGGTGCTGCTGCTGCTGCTGCTGCTGCTGTCGTTGGCGTTGGCGTTGTTGCTGTTGCTGCTGGTTCGTCGCACCCAGGTTTTAAGTTCTCAAAATCAAGTAGATTCGAATACACACCAAGGTCCGTATTAGCTTGAGCGGTGATCGTCTGTGGCGATTTCGAGAATCCGAAGTCCATCAGTTGATCTAGAGATCCAGAACTTTTTTCCACTCCAGGAGCCGGACATTTGACCGCGGGCGATGGATCGTCGGGCAGATGGTTGTCACCAGTGAACAAACCGAATGGGTCCGATTGAGTTGGTTCGGTGACATTGACTTTCTGAACATCGGATTCCTGATTTTCTGGGACAGGTTCGGCGACGGTGTCATGATTATCTGGGTTAGGGCTCGCCTCTTCGAGCAAATTCTGATCGGATTTTTCGGTAGGTTTCTCCGGCGACTCGTAATGACCCAATGCTATCTTTCCGAGAATATGCGGTAATAGCCACGGGAAGCTGATGAGAGGCAATTTGTCCATCTTGGGTGCTGATCTATGGAAAAGCCTCTCATCCGGTGGATTCTCCTGGCGATGCTTGCTTAACGCTGCAGCCATCTCCTCATGCGTGATTCGATACATGGCTACGGCCAATGGCGCCAGCTGTTGGAAATTGCGTCCGCCGACCTTCTCATAGCACTGTTTGCGATGCATCTCCCGAAGTGACACTGAAATAGTTCCTAGCTCTTCGTGAAACTTATAATCCTTGCTCATGTTCGCATGGCTCAACACAAAAGTAGACCAGACCTCGAATTCGGTTTTGATTTCATGCTGTGCCATAATCCGACGCATTGCCGAGTCATATTCATACTTGAGCTTCCTAGAAAACTCCATCAAATCTTCGGTAACTTCCAGATCACAATCCAGAATCCGTTTGTCAAAAGGAAGTTCAAGACCAGGAACAAAGTCGACACGTTCTACTGCATCGTAAAGCTGACCGAGGACCTTCTTCGAATGATAGATCTGCTCCCTGGGCTTATGCCGTTTCTCCATGAAATGAGGCCACTTTTTCGGCTGTAGGGTGCGCACCATATTTGCCGGATTCCCCGTCTTGTTGTAGTCGACTGCATCGGAGTGAAGCTGTGCGAGCTGCATGCACTTGTCGTTATCGACGCCTTCTTCGAGGTAATCAGCCCAAGCAAGATGGGCATGCGCGATCCGAGGGAGACAGTCATTCTTCATGTAAGTAACGAAGAATGAGGTTATTTCGTCCACCGTCACGTCGTGGTCAAGGTCTCGAGCCTTTTTACTCGCATAATCCATTGGCTCGCGAAACCAATGGTCCGGAACCAGTTCCTCGTCCCAGATTACCAGATAGTCATCTCCATCGAGGTCACCTCCAGAACACATACTTGGAACGTCCCGATCTCCGGTCTGAGGCATGACAACTACATCTTGAAGATGACTTAACTCCGGTACATTGATTGCCTTGACGACACGAATGTCTCCAGGATGAAGGGATGGGTTTCGAGCCAGGATGCAGACGTCTTCGATTACCTCGTACTTCCCGCCTTTGTCAGGTCGGGAAATTTGAAGGAAGATTTCCGGTAAGGCAGCCAATTTCTCTTCGTACGAGGCATCCTTTGACGGTATGGCATCATGGAGATAACCCTTAAGAGTGCCCGTTTCGTCCATGCAGCCAAGTACAGAGGCACCTTGATCGACCACAATCTTTGCCTTCTCTTTCAAATATTTCAGATGCCAGGCCCGCCATAGTCTCAAGATTGACGTCAAGAACGGCTCCTGTGACTTTCGAAAACCATCCAGCACCATTTGACTCACAGTGAGAGTCATCTGATTCGGATCCACGTATTTCTTGAGCAAGTAGATAGCCTGGGGATCACTTGTCATGGCCTCATCGAGGCTCTTCAACATGGTTCGCAGCCTAGCATGAAACACCTCGTCTCGAATACCAAGTGTCGACAAGACAATAATCAATTGCCTGTTGAGTGTTGCTAGGGAGAACTGTGACCAGCGAATAATTTCTAGACCATTGTGGACCGCGGCGAATTTTTCCTGGCTGTTGCGGATGTGCACTTCCTGGCGTTGAGCTTGTGAAGAAACTGTGAGCATTCCCTTGCTTCCTCCCAGACGGAACTGGAACGCTGAAGGTACATCGCCTGTAAGGGTTCTGATCTTCAATTCTGATGTGGCCATCTGAGCGAGAAATTTGGAGATCCGACCGACACCATCCGAAAAGGTGTATCCGTTGCGAACGACATCATCGATCTTACGAACTTGGACGGGACAGCCAGCAACGGCCCGAGTAGTCGAAAAGCATTGCCCTAACCTTGCGGCATATTTGGCGACATTTCTGATGTCGTTGAAATGCCCCATCCATGCACGAATGTTGGCGGCTGTGAGATTCGGCAAGGGTGCAAAAAAGTAAGCACCGTGTTCGCGGAATTGGGAGTTTCCGAAGGCAAGAAATTCGTAGTGTCTATCACCTATCGTGATACCGTTGGCCAAGGTGCGCTTAACCCGGGTAAATACTTCGTTCATCGTATTATTATTGGTCGAATTTATACGACCGATCAACTTCTCATCCGTGAATCGAATGCGGAGGAAACGATCAGCATATTCGATGAAGTATCGAATGACGCGATTCGAGATGTCGACAGTTGGAGTGCTGTAGTAGATGGTACTCGGAGTTATTCTGGCAGAGCGCATATAGCAACAATATGGCGGTATCTTAGCATTGGTCACTCCTCGGATAAATTTGAGATCGAATATCTTCATTGGATCGTGGAAGACTTTCTTCTTCGTTGCCACATGCTCCAAGAGCTTTCTGGCATCCTTCTCACCGAGCTCGAACAGCTTAGATGCAAACTCCCGGGGCATGGTGAATTCCGAGAGGTACCCATTCGAAAGGCAGACCTCGAGCTGGTACCGGACAGAGAAGGGAAGATTGATATAGTCTTCATCAATAAGGTCATCCAGTGACGACGACAAAGCCTTGTTTCGTGATTCTGACAGATCTATCCATCTCCAAATAGGCGGGCTTTTTTGCTGGGCACCGTCGCACTGAGTGAAACGGTCCGTATCCTCGATTGTCACATTGTAGTCTCTCAGGATACTACAAGCCAGCATCAAGCTCTCTTTGTCATTGGAATTCTTAGGATACATGATCTTGAAGGCATTCCAGCGTCCTAATGTTAAATTATCAGCCTACCAGCCCTAAGAACGAAGTTACCATCTTACTTACCGATGTCAATTACAGGATTTTGCTTCCGTAGACTGATAGGCAAAGTAGCTTGTGCCTGGGGGTTGTGGACCACGTGCGTTTGGCGGTACCAAGTGTCTCCATCCCTCCAGGAAGCTTCGTCAACGAATGTGCTCTGGATGTTCTTAACGCGTCGATGGTAGATTGCAGGGGATTCCAAGAACGTAAAGTGAGACGTGCATCCGGACACCGGATCGCGGGTTTGGAAGATCCTTATCAATTGGAAGAAGGGAATTTCGAGACGGTACTCTTGATAGACATCCGCAGACGAAGTCGGCTTGTATATGGAATTGAAGATTGGGAGTTGAAAGTAGACAAACAAGGCCCTGCGCTTCAGGTCGAGAACTAGAGATGGTTGCTCGTTAAGTCCGGTCCCAACAATACGCATTGGCAACATCGTGGTCTCGTTGATAAGAACTCCGATGTCCAATGACACGATTGGTATGTTCTGTGAAAGAAGTCAGCATGCTGACAGCTTCGGGGCGGGAATTGGACCAAACTCACAACTTCCGCTGGAAAAGAGATGTTGTACTGGACTGGGCTGGGTATACGACAGATTTGGTGCTTGTTATCGAGCCTAACGAAGATAGTAGCCGGTTGGCCATCGGGGAGGGTAATTATGTAGGTATTCGCTCTCCAGAAATCCGTATGAGGTGCAGGTCTGTCAAACAGTTACATGTTAGTTGAGCCGTGTCGAAAAGAAAGAGAGAGAAAAAGAAAGGAGAAGAAGTGTAAATAGAAGTTGTCAAACTCACTTGAACCGAATCTTCCCTTTAGGATCCCTATTACCGTGAATATCCGTAAAGAGATCAATCGAAAAGATATTACCCTCTTTGTTGAACGCCTTCCAGAGAGTGAACGTGTCGGCCTCCAGAGGAACATTTGCGAGAGTGACAGCTACCGTCTCCCAGTGCTTCCACCAGGGAAGTAGCTGAGAGAAGGGTTGTTCTACTATCTCTCCAGGACGAGTAGCAGCAGCAGCAGTAGTGGTGGTGGTAGTAGTAGTAGTAGGAGGAGGGCGACGAGGAGGAAGAGCCACAGCAGTTGTCATTGTCGTTGCCGTTGTCGTTGTCATCCTTGTATCCGCCGTCCTGGGGAGTCGCCTTCTGCTCTTGCCCCTGCCCCTGCCCCTGCCCCGCGAAATGGACGGGTTGTGGCTGCGAGGAGGAGACAGAGTCAGCATATTCGCATTCCCGTCAATGAGGACTGGCTCTTCTGAGGTATCAACGAGAGGCGAAGGGGACGAAGATGGGTATGAAGAAGAAAAAGTAGAATAATCCTCCAACGGTGAAGAGGATGAAGGAGAAGAGGAGAGGAAGCCAGGTGGTGCGGGTGAATTGACGCGAGACTCGACTGCCCGGTGTAGAAAATTGCCCTCGGACCTTCCTCGTCTTGCATTCTCTCGTTGAGAAGGATGCAAAGTGAAATAAGAAGATGAAAAACCGGAGGAAGAGGATAAAGAAGCAGAGCTCTGTGTGTCCATGGCCTCATGAGCTGCTGGATAGTGGTGAATGGCAGGATGGTCCTTTTCATTCACCTTGTCTGTCTCCAGCGCTTGCTCATGGAACTCCAACCGCTGCCGCTGCATCTTGGGGTTTCTGTAAGCGCCTCGACCGCGCTTGCTTGCGTTGTATCGCATCTTATTCTTTCCCCCTCCCTCCATTGCGATCGGTGATTAATGGCTGTCATGTAATTAGATCAAAACAAAACAGAGCTCAGTGCGTAGCAGGGTATATATAAAATCTATCGTTTGTAGAAAGCAACCCAGACACGTTGTTCCTGAAAAAAGCAATACGTATGTAGGTTATGCATGGTGTTCAAACCTATTTGGTTCCACTGTAGCAGCATGTCTGATCGGTCTTACAGGTTATTGTGGATGGCTTCTTGCATCGGGAGTTTGAGATAGGCAGGAGAAGGTCCTAGTTGTCCCCAGTGGACAGAAGAGACAAAGGAACAAAAAAAGAAACGAAAACTAAAGATCCTTTAGAAATAAAGAAAACATAACAGACATCAACAGTTCATCTTACACTAAATATGTGCTTGTCATGCAAAATAAATTATACACATGAAATGAGACGTGGCATATATCATGGCGACCCCGGGTCAATTGCGTCTGATGGAGAAGTGCTCGTGAAGAGGAAATCCTTGGTGAATTCCACTTCCATATCCAGGTCCAGCTCTTGAAGTTTGTTCCTATTGATATCAACCTGGCTCTCTGGAAATTGACTCTGGCCCTGCGACGGCCTAGGAGTCCGCTGCGACGCTGCTTGAGAATTTTCGTCAACGTCGCGCAGAGGTCTGCGTTTACGTTGCGGTAGACTGGTGCGACTTCGGGAAGGCAGGGCGTTTGGCGTTGGGTCGTGGTTACGGTTACGCGGCGCAGGGGTCAAATCCAACGGGATTGAATTTGCCCGTGGTCGCTTGGGGCTACGACCGTTGGGGTTGGGGGTTTCGGAAGCAAAGGAATCGCTGAATAAGTGGTCGGTCTGGGTTGGAGTTCCATCGTCGTCTGGGTTGATTGCTCGCTGCATCGGGGTAATCTGCGTGGGCTCCAAAGTGGACCGAGATCGCTGTTGTTTGCTAGACGCTTTGGTCTCTGTAGAGTCGGGTTTGAAACCCATCACTGTCATGAGGCGACCAATATGCTCCTGCGCTACGGAGAATTCGCGGGCCTTGGAGGCACGTTCATCCCGCAATGATTGTATCTAAAATACGCATCAGCTCGGAGTTTTGCCGGAATTAAAAGATGGAAGATCACCTTTCTCTCCAGGTGACGGATCTGCTTGTCCTTTGTTTGTAGCTCAGCTGCGGCATTGGATGCGGCGGCCTGCATAGACTCATGCAAAGCCTTGTTGTCCTCTCTTTGTTTAGCATTCTGTTGGCGCAGACGAGTCAGCCAAGGCTTAAAGAGAAAAAGCAAATAATATTTACCTCTGCACTGGCTTCAGAAAGCTGCATTTCATGTTGCTTTCCAAGCGCGTCCGTCTCACTCCTGAAATGCTCTTCAGCGTCGCGAAGTGTGTTCCTCAGCCTGTTGGATTCAGATATTTCGCTCTCCAACTATACAGAGCGTTAGCAGGCCACATTTAAGTTATTTCCAGATGCAGAAGGGCGATTAGCATTACCTTCTGTTGTAGACTCTCCATCTCCGAGCTCATGTGCTCCTTACTGGCCACCAGACGGGAGATTTCCTCATGCCTTTGCGCCACAAGTCGCTGGTTTGATACCGAAAGACCTTCAAGTCTGGAAGTCTCTTTTCTCAGTGAGGCGACAGTTTCCAAAGTGGTGCCATTGTCCTTAGAGACCAAATCAAGAGTTTTCCGTAACTCCTCATTTTCCGCCCGTTGTTCATAGTTCTCTACTTGCAATTCTTCGAGCAGGTCTTCTTTTTCCGTCAAGGTGGCCATAAAGTCGAGTTCTTTAGTGCGTGCCTTTTCCTTTTCACCCTGGCTTGATTCCTCATAGTCGCGTCGCTGGTGTTCCAGTTCCCTTTGTGCAGCTGCAAGACTGGTAGATAGCTCCTCGACCCTCGTAGATGCAGCTTCTGCATGGCCCTCGAGATAGGACATATTCTGTTGCAGATCACTTATCGTACTGAAGGCCTGCTGGAGTCGAGTTTCCAGCTCAGAGTTTTTTTGCAGCAACTGCTCTGCTTCGGAAGATGCCTTATCCCGTTCTTCCTCGATTACCCTGAGCGGTGTTTCCGAATTATAGCACCGATGCTCAAGATCGCGACAGACCTCTTCGACCTTCTTCATTAAGCCATCGTGCGACGCACGAGTGCTAGACATGAGCGTATCTGATACCTCTGCTTTCCAGTCACGTCTTGGATTAGACGACACTTGGCGGGGTTCGAGATAAGAGAATTTGTCACGGGCATCAGAAGGCTTCACGGTAGCGAGAAGGCACTTGCTTTCACACGTGGTATTCTTGACCTGAGCCGTGAATTTAGAGATGATGCCGGCTTCTACCCGGCTCGCGCCGCCATAATCCACATTCTGTGACATAGAAGCGCGGCAGTAAAGATCGAACAGGTCGATAAGCAATCTGTTTTCAGCTGTCGATAGTACAGCATAGCATGTCTTTGATTCATTACATTGCGACTGGCGAGGAGATCGTGGGAAGCTCTCGATCAATTCCCCCATAGAGTCCCTTACCAAAGCAAGAGAGGCTTCTATCACAGCAGGAGACAAGTGAAGTTCTGAACTTTGCAATCCGGAAAGGATCAAGGTTGCGATTTGTATAGTGACCATTTCCGGAGAAGGTGACTTCAAGGCAGAAAGCACGTAGTTAAATGAATCATGGATCGCGGATTTCCCAGAAGAAATCTAGAAGTGTCAGCGAAGTGTATAGCCAATCGCGAGCGAAAGAAGACATACAGCATTAGTTTTCACCAAGCGTGGGATAAGCCCAAATGGTATAGCTTCCATAACCTGGAGGCTATCCTTTGACAACAGCCCTTGCAAACCAAGTGCGAGTATTTGAGGAGGCAGAGTATTTGTCGGCAAAAGGGATATGAGAAACATCACGCCCTGCCATAGTTAGTTGTGTTTATTCGCATAATTTATCTATTCACCATACCATAATCTGCACCTCATAATCGATCCCGTCCCTTGTCACCTTTTCGCAAAGTTTCGCAATCTTGGACGCATTTCCGGAGATCCACACCTGCTTCTGCTCAGACTCAACAGTGTCGCAGACTGCAATAGCCAATCGTACACTCTCCGCTGCCTCGCTGGGAGTCAAGTTGTTGCAGTTAGCAGAGCAAGCAAGAATCACTCGCAAAACAACTAGATCTAGAGTTTTGAGGCCGCGCTTGGGCCCAAAGAAATGTCTGACATGGTTCAGCCAAGATGGCGGTTGAGGTCCGTGTTCGTGTTCGTTGTCAAGCTTTTGCGATGAAGCGATACATGCGAAAGTGGATAGACAGAGCAGGTTACCCATGTGGTCATCCATGTTGCGCAGCGTCTTGATGAGCTCTCCTTGGAGTGTGGACATTGTTTCAACGGGGATATCATAGAGAATTCCAGGCGATGTTTTTAGTCCAGTCAACAGTTTATTGATTGGTCGAATGGCATCCGCATTTGGGCACTCTGCCATGCGATGAACTAGTTTTGTGATAAGACCGGCAAGACGCGCTGGTGCGGTGAAACCCGAGGGAAGAGGTGAAGACAGCAGTGCCGTACACGTCGAGAGGTACTATCTTTGTGTTAGTCTCCCCTCAAGGAACAGAGAATGAAGAACTGACCTTCGAGTCCTCAGGTTCGACGGCCTTTTGGAGGAGTTGGTCCAGGATCGCTGGATACCGCTCCAACAAGGCATCGCGGAATGCTGCTATCGGTGCTATATAAACGAGTCAGACTGTATCATAAAGGCACTTGTAGCACCATGTATATCTCACCAAAGACGCTTATTAGTTCTAATGCAACGTTCGAGTAAGATAGCCCGTCAACAAGGACGTCGACTAAAGCCGCAACTTGGCACGGTTTGCAAGACGACCAAGAGCTGATTACTGAGAAAGAAACGTTACAGACAATGCTGTAGAGGTCCTAAGATTATTCCATCTTCAGTCTACTGATTTGAGACGCAGAAAAGCGATTATCTGCTGGTAAACTGACCTGAAGAGAGGGCACATAAGAAGCCGTCACCACGCGCTCCACCTCGCGTACCAGAGGAATTAGCCTGTTCTGCATGGCTTCCACAATGACCAGTTTTTGTATATAACGAAATTATTTAATATTCTCGATTCCTAGGCCAGGAGGGCATCATATTTTGTCGACTTGAGCTTCAGTTTGAATGAGTGAAGATGGAGGTTTGGTCGGCCGCTGGTTGCCCCATCAACAAAACCGAACCGAATCAGCTCCTTTACAATTGAGCCTCTACGACTACAAACTACAGCAAGAATATAGTGGATTGGACATTGAACATATGCCATAAAATTGAGATACAAGTTTCTATCATTGATTAACGAAAAGGGAAGGAGAGAGTATCGATGTCCACTATTCTCCTACCATCGGACCTTGGGCCGACTCGGACATACAATCCTCCAATATCTCCTCAATGAAGCGGGGATGCGGACCGCAACGACCGTACGGAGTACTTGTATTCAGGATGGACGAATCCCAGAGGACGAAATGGTTCTTTTTATCCGAGTTTCTTCTCGGGCGAGTTCCGGATTTCTCATATTTAGCCTGGATGACGCTGCAGGGGAGTGTTTAGCCCCGAGCACAGCTGCGTTGATCTAGCAGAATATCGATATCGCTTGAACCTCGCAGCTCAATTGACTTTCATCTTTTGAATATTATCTGCTCACAGTCTTCATGACAGTAGCATAGTATATACCTTTCTCTAAAGACGTCTCTTCTACCCATTGAACTATGCGACTCCCCGCCGTTCCTCGGAGGCTTCCCCCGCATCTCCGTCTACTTTATCGCCGACCCCAAATTTACCAGTCCACTTGCGTCGGTCGACTGTACAGCTCAAGCACCAACAGCGAAGGGAATGGCGACCACAAAGATTCTGCGCGATCAGAATCATCGACAAACAATTCCTCTTCTTCTCCCTCCTTCTGGAATACGAAGACATCTCTCATCGCCGCTGCAGCCACCGCTGGGCTTGGATACGGTTATGCGACCTTAAGCCAGCCTTCGCAGTCGCAAAGCTCCAGTCTCTCACAATCGCAAAGCGCCAAAGAACCTCAATATGGTTCGATACAGGATTTCGAAAAAGTGAATGGACCTCGCGATGAACTGTATACCTTGAAGGAGGCACTGCTGACGTATTTCGTGAATTAGGCCATTGCCGAACTGCGAGATAAGCTAGGCGACGATGCGATTAGCACAGAAGAGGACGATCTGGAGCTTCATGGGTATTCGGAATGGTCCAGCGTAAATGCGGACCGTTTACCAGTTGCTATTGCCTATCCGCAAACTACGGAGGACGTCTCGCAAGTCGCGAAAATATGCCATAAATACAAGATGCCCATGATACCATACTCTGGAGGATCTAGTTTGGAGGCCAATTTCTCTGCGCCCCATGGTGGCATGACAATTGATTTCGCTTTCATGAACCGGATTCTCGAGCTACACGAAGACGACATGGACATTGTTGTTCAGCCGTCCATCCAATGGATGGACTTGAATGAGAAAATCAAGGATAGTGGGTTGTTCTTCCCCGTTGACCCTGGCCCATCTGCAATGATCGGAGGTATGGTGGGCACAAACTGTAGTGGCACGAATGCTGTGCGCTATGGTACTATGAAGGATTGGGTGATCAATCTGACTGTCGTTCTGGCGGATGGTCGTGTCATCAAGACAAGAAGACGCCCACGAAAAACATCAGCGGGTTACAATCTGACTGGTCTGTTTGTGGGGTCTGAAGGCACACTGGGTATTGTAACTGAAGCCACTCTCAAACTGGCCGTCACCCCAGAGAAGACCCGCGTTGGAGTCGTCGCATTCCCTACCATGCGTGACGCTGCATCGACCGCTATGCAACTCATCCGGAAAGGGATCCCAGTACAATGCATGGAAATTCTGGATGACGTGCAGATGGATGTGATCAATCGGGCTGGGGGCACCGGACGTCCTTGGAAAGTCCTTCCAACGCTTTTCTTCAAATTTTCCGGAACCAATGTTGGAGTTTCGGACAGCATCAGCCTAACCACTGAATTAGCCAAAGGTAACAACGCCAGTTCCTTTGAGTTCGCGCAAAACGAGCGAGAAGGCAATGACCTGTGGTCTGCGCGAAAGCAGGCTTTATGGAGTATGCTGGCCTTGCGAAAGGAAGGATCTGACGTATGGTCGACGGACGTTGCTGTCCCAATTTCCCGGTTGCCTGATATTATCGGTATGTTCACATAGACGAAGCCTTTTGTCCGCCTCGGCTAACGGACATAGATATATCCTCCAAGGAGATCGCCAGCCTGGGCCTTTTCGCCAGTATTCTCGGACATATCGGCGACGGGAATTTCCACTCAAGTATCATGTTCGACAAAAATGACCCCACAGAATTAGCGCGTGTTGAGAAAGTCGTTCATGACATGGTTGACCGTGCTATCGAGATGGAGGGCTCTTGCACTGTATGTACTCGCCGTGAAACCCAATGAAAAGTAGCTAACTCTTGGATGTATAGGGAGAGCATGGTGTCGGTCTGGGTAAGAAGGGATCCCTCAAGAAGGAATTGGGCCTCGATACCATCAACGTTATGCGCAGTGTAAAGACATCACTCGATCCACATTGGCTGCTCAACCCCGGGAAGATCTTTGATTTCGATAACGAGTCATGATATGGCGTCTAGCGAGGAATGCTTTAAATTTGACCAGCATTTGAGACTATTGTATACGATAGCTATTGGTATCTGGCAATACATCAGTAGAGTAAGTCGCCAATAAAGGAGGCCGAGGCCGTAGCAAAATGCCGTAGACAGTGGGGTATGCCGATCGGCCAATGATATGTGCTATTATTTTTTGAGCGCTGAGTCACCGCGGGGCAAAGAGCGATATCGCAACTCGAGACTGGATCGCCACAAGTTATCGTTCTTCAACTTCTCAAGAAGCCGTTAAAGTGGTAAGTACTAGCAGTTTGTTTTGTTAGAATATGATTAAGAAGTTCTCTGTTTGGCCAGGATTCGGCGGTTTGCGCATTGGTATCGCTGAAATGACGAGACGCGCATTCGTCCCTTGCGGGGCAGAGGAATGTCGAGCCCTTGCTTAAGTCTCATGGCGAACTGATCGCAAACTTCCTTCCTGACCGAATTGTTATCATCTGGCCTATGTTGGATACTTCTGTGACATTTAAAGTATTTCAGACTGACAACCAATATACAGTGGATTGACAGATTCAGCAAAATGTCGCCCGCGATCACTAAGAAGAAGTGCGGTACGAATTCCCTTCGATTCTAGCGCCTGCCGTTCCCATTGCTTATGACGAACAGGTGTCCTCGGAGCTACTGGCTCTGTCGGCCAGCGATTCATCCTTCTCCTCGCAGAGCACCCTCTCTTGGAGCTCCACGCCCTCGGTGCATCTGAGCGCTCTGCCGGCAAAGCGTACAAGGATGCTGTTAAGTGGAAGCAGGCCAGACCTATTTCTGAGGCCCTGGGCAACCTTGTCATCCGCGACTGCAAGGCCGAGAGCTTCAAGGACTGCGATCTCGTCTTCTCCGGGTTGAACAGCGACATCGCCGGTGATACTGGTGAGTAGACGCCATACTCCAAAGGAGGACGATGAAGACCCCGTTACTGACGAACATTTCTGTAAAGAAATGGAATTTATCAAGGCCGAGATCCCCGTCTTCTCGAACGCTAAGAACTACCGCAAGCACCCCACCGTTCCTCTCGTCGTCCCCACCGTGAACCCTCAGCACATGGACTTGATCCCGCACCAGAGACAGCAGTTTGGTTTGAAGAAGGGATTCTTGATTTGCAACTCGAACTGCGCTGTTATCGGTGTCGTTATCCCGTTCGCCGCCCTCCAGGCCAAGTTCGGCCCGGTCGAGGAGGTGGAAGTCTTCACAGAGCAGGCTGTGTCCGGTGCAGGATACCCTGGCGTTTCGAGCATGGACATCGTGGACAACGTCATTCCCTACATCAGCGGCGAGGAAGACAAGCTTGAGAACGAGGCACAGAAGATCCTGGGTTCTCTGAACGCAGACGCTACCGCTTTCGAAGAGCAGTCCAGTCTGCGGATCGGCGCTACTTGCACCCGCGTGGGTGTTACCGACGGCCACATGGCTTTCGTTTCCCTGCGTTTCAAGAACCGCCAGGTACCAAGCGCAGAGGAAGTCAAGCAGGCCTTGAGAGAGTACCAGTCTGAGGCCCAGAAGCTGGGCTGCCCATCTGCTCCTGAGCAGGCCATCAGAGTGTTCGATGAACCCGACCGTCCACAACCCAGACTCGACCGTGACATCTCCAGAGGATACACTGTTAGCGTCGGACGTGTCCGTGATGGACTGCCAGGTGGCTACTTTGATTTGAGATTTGCTGCTCTCTCTCACAACACTGTCATCGGTGCTGCGGGATCGTCTATCCTCAACGCCGAAGTCGCTGTTATCAAGGGCTACATCTAAGTGATATCCAAAAAGTATAGATCTAGCAGTTTAGATGGCGTTAAATACCATTTCCTTTGTACAGTCCATAAAAAATTGACCATCGAGAATTTCCTGTTTGGGTTAGCGCATATTCGTACAGGACCCACAGGGCTAAGAGGCCGCAAGATCCTGGATCAGTACTAGCGCTAGGGCTCACCCCACAAGCACTGTCCGCTAAGCGAGGATTGGATTATCAGCGTTGAACTCCCGACTCGGTCTGGTTTTTCTCATCGCGACACTACGACAACTAATCCGGTCAAGTCGACAAAGCAGTCAAGATGCCTCGCGGACCGTAAGTACTTACGCTATTTGCATGCAGACGCGGAATTCGATCGTTTGAGAAAAAAGAAAAAGAAAATTTGGGAGGAGAGCGAATTCGAATTGCCGTGGCCTGTAGCCATTGTCGCAAGTATCAAGACTGATATGATGACTTTCACAGTGTTAAGCACCAGAAGCGCCTTAGTGCGCCCTCGCACTGGCTCCTGGACAAGATGTCCGGAACCTACGCCCCCAAGGCCTCTGCCGGTCCTCACAAGCTCCGGGACTGCCTTCCCTTGATCGTCTTCATCCGTAACCGGTACGAATCGATATCCCGATGATAAAAGAAATTCAGTGAAGGAGGATGTCCGCTAACGCGTTTGGTCGAATATAGTCTCAAGTACGCCCTGAACGGTCGCGAGGTCAAGGCCATCCTGATGCAGCGTCTCGTCAAGGTCGACGGCAAGGTCCGCACCGACACCACCTACCCCGCTGGCTTCATGGACGTCATCTCCATTGAGAAGACCGGCGAGAACTTCCGTCTCATCTACGACACCAAGGGCCGTTTCACCGTCCACCGCATCCAGGCTGAGGAGGCCGAGTACAAGCTCGGAAAGGTCAAGCGTGTTCAGCTCGGCAAGGGCGGGATCCCATTCTTGGTTACGCACGATGCGAGAACGTGAGTGCTTGCTCTAAAAGTTCCGTGTCATTCAGTCGTTGGACCAAGCTTTGGTTGATCGGCGGAGGACGAAAAGAACTTGCAGTATTCCCTTTAGGAGTTTTTGCTGCAGAGATCAGTAAGAACTCTACACACTGGAACAAGTGATGCTAATTATGTGTTTTCTACAGCATCCGTTACCCTGACCCCGCCATCAAGGTCAACGACACCGTCAAGATTGACCTTGCCACCGGCAAGATCGTTGACTTCGTCCGCTTCGACACTGGCGTTGTTGTCATGTGTACTGGTGGTCGTAACATGGGTCGTGTTGGTGTCGTCACTCACCGTGAGCGCCACGACGGTGGTTTCAACATTGTCCACATCAAGGACGCTGTTGAGAACTCCTTCGCCACCCGTGAGTCCAACGTCTTCATCATTGGACAGGACAAGCCCTGGATCTCCCTCCCCAAGGGCAAGGGTGTCAAGGTATGTTATTCTTCAATATCGAAGTTTTGAATATTGGTACTAACTATGTTCTAGCTCACTATTGCCGAGGAGCGTGACCGCCGCCGTGCCCACGCTATTGCTCAGTAAACTTACCACTAAATGTGGTACGGTGAGTGCATTCGGATGTCAAGACTCAAGCATTCTCCACCAAGTCCGCTGGGGAGACGGCGTCTTGTCTCTGCTTTGTGGGCCTGTATGATGCCGGTTTATGACCAAAAAAGTCTTTCCTGCAGGACACATAATAGGGTCCATTCACAGTTCCGTAGGAATAGATAGGGAAAAACAACGGGACGGAAGTCTCAATCTCAAAAGCTATGATACCACTTTGTTTCTCAGCGACTGAGTCATTTGCATCTTTGTTTTCTATCCTTTACCCGTAACCTCCGTAGGGCAGCCGGACCGCCCGGTCTCCCCGCACACATGTGCTGCTAGCCCAGAGTTTGTCGTCGCCGGTCCCTTGAAGATCCCTGTATCCCTTCAGGCCTGAGATGCGAAGCTGCATAATGTATCTACTAGTACGGGGTATCCTTCCTTCGATCACCGTCTTACGACTCACATCACCAGACCAACCCAACACAACCCCTCAGTTGGCTGGTTGAGCACGGCATACAGCCTACTCATGTCCGCGTCCATGTGGTCTGTCTCCGAGTCAATCCCAGACCGACATCGCGGGGATAACGGGGATGACCAGCCAACCTTGTTGAGGTGCAGCAGACCCAAAGTATATCATAGTTTTAGCGCTCTATATACGGAGTCTCTGTTACCGTCTACCAGGATCACGTCGCGAACCGGACCGGGCCCGAAATATGTGTTTATCAGGTTGGATATGATGCATCACTATTACCGGCAGCCGCTCGTACTCCACCTTCTTATTCGAACTGGGTGCATTGAGATAGTAAAAGGTTTGGGGCATGAAGATGAAAATCACCATCACCAATTGACTTCCCTAATGGACACGGCGTACGGAATAATACTCCGTGACGGTTTTTAATATAAATTGTGATTAATAGTACCGTCTGCTATGATGATCTCACAATCCTGACCGACTAGAATTATACCCTCCTCCACTTTTCCTTGTATTCAGAGTCCTTTTGGGTTATTTTCTCAATGCAAATCGGGAGGAAGGCGCCAATCATGGTGGTTCACTACAACGAATGAGAAAGTAGCAGTATGATCAATTCAGATGATCCCGTGGTCAGACAGAGTCCAGGGCGGGATGCGGAGTACGTAGCGTGTACAACAGGTAGACATGTTGCAACTGCGACACAGAGTAGTTATGGAATATCCTGTCCCCAGCTGGGCCTTCCCAGATGATTGATTGCATCGAGCAAGCAGCAAACAGCAGCGATTTCGACTCACTGCAAAAGATCTTCAAAAAGCCTTACTCCACTCTTGCGCGGGATAGACGGAGGCGAGATGGGACAGGGCGGCCTGCTTGCTGGTTATCCGAGATTTGCAAGATATGCAAACAGCGTGCAGAAGATGGACTACAACTACTGCAATTACTACTGCACAGCACCAGCACACAACGCGAAGTCGGTGGGCATTTCCCTCGTCCGAATCTAAAGATTCAACTTGAACGTTGCCTCCACCGACAACACTTGCAGTCTTATACGCATGACTTCCTGCATATTTTGTTTGCTCACTGGGCTCTTGAGTGGGATGATTGGTACACGAGATAGACAGTTGTTACACAAGGCCCGGAATAATGGAATGATAGGGGTGATAGAGTCGAAAAGATTTTTCTCTTAGGTGTCTTTGGCCTCATGGCAAATCCTGGAACATGGCAGAGCACGCACAGACAGAGAAAAACCAGCCATTAATTTCCAGCTGGTCCATGATGAAATGCAGAGCGTGCCGATTTTCATGCAAGATGGCCCACTTGGCTAGATATCTGGAGAATCGAAAAAGAAAACTGGCAATCTCGGCATTTTGACGAGCGAGTCAAACCCGGGAAAGTCAATGTCAAAGCCAGCAAGCTCCAGACTAGTTGTGAGTCTTCGCGGTCAGTCCGAGTTGGGATTCTGAATACGGGGAGTACCGGGAAGTAGTCTTTGAACCGTTTTGGGAGCACCGGATAAAAAGGGAAAGCTCAAAAAAACAGACTGAAAAAGGGATACATTACTCATACCCAATGAGCATCTGTCGTTGAGTCGTCTGTTGATCCCAGATATCATGACTATCATCGACACTACGCCGATTTATTGGAGACAGTCCGTCAGTCAATCAAACAATCCATCCATCCGCTATGGGTCACAGACGGCATTCAGCATCCGTCTCGGTTCTCTCTTCTGTCTTACGAAGTGTCTCCATCATGCACCTCAATAATACACGACTCCTTTCGATACGCTATTGTGTACTGGTATTACAATGGTTTAATATCGGTCACAATTAATTACATGACGGCGGGGACCTGGAACCACCATGACGGTAATGCCATTCAATTCAATCCATGGGACTGCACCGAACGGATCTGATTCGGATCGTCGCGCCTCCCGACCGATGATGGGCATAGACTGATGCAACAAAGACACGGGTCACGGTTGCTGTCAATGTCGTGGAAACGTGTCTGGATTTTGATTGCGCTATATTCCAAACCCCGTCTATTATACATGCAGAGACGGCCTCCTGATCGTTCCGTATGCCGTGCTGTGGCTGAGTACGGAGCACTCAATGTGGCAACAATTGATGGCCCCGCTAAGGTTTACTCCAGTCCTTCTAGAATAGTTCGGATCCCGTTCCTGGAACGACTCTCCCTAGTCGTTTCCTTAATACCCTACGGAGTACCCGCCATGTGAAGTAAGTGTTACCTACTATTGAACCTGGTCCACGGTTTCGGTAACTCTAGGAAAGATTGGACGTCGAATGAATGAGTTCAAACGTCTTACCGGGGAAATGGATGATCATCCAAGTCTACGGATATTCGAATATACGGAACCCTCTTAGACTCTCGGATTGAATCTTCCAGAATCATATTATTCGAGCTCTGTCCTATGAAACCCGGATATTGCGATTCTTGACTCCTCCAGTGGAGGGCACCCAATATTGTCCGATGTGGAAGTGATTTTATTATTATTACAACCGTTTTCATGACTATTATTATATACCCCCGTATCGGTCCCAATATCGGAGCATGTGTACAATACTTGTACAAGAAGCTAACGGCAAGGCCGAGAAGCAACGCATGTGTCTCCATCGTCGATGGCGAATTTCGCCCAGCTGAAGCTGAACAGCTTGATCCTGTGCTCTGTACGAACACTGACTCGTACAGAGAATTGAAAGATAGCCCCTGGACAGCATATCACTAATAGAATTGTGACGAGTTAGCTTTTTGAGTGATCCCAGTGGTGGCTAAATGGATTGCGTGCGGCTACTCCCCCCTAAAGTTTCCGTGGACTTGAAACTAAACCGCCCCAAGACCCGACCGTCTGGGACCTGGATTAACGGATTTTTCTTTTCTTTTTCTTTCTTTCGTTCTCGTATTTGACTGTTACGTATTGGGTTTGTATTGTGGAGCGGGGACGGAGTATGTACGGAGTAAAGTATGGAGTCGCTAATATCAAGATTTTTCGCTAGGGTGTTTAAATTCCACTCACTTACGTTTCGTATTACGATATTATGGTAAGGAATGTTTATTACTGGTAACATGCAATATAACCGACTCAAGTCTTAACGAGCATTTGGATATGGTCATCCTGCTCGCTTTGCAATCGAGATTAAGCGCCGATGATACTGTCGCATCCTTCATTCTTAGGGACCACACTATGCCCATAGAGTTGTGTCATTTGCCAACGGCAATCCCTCGGCGTGCAAGTCCATAGTCCTGAATATCCCTTGGACTATGACGCAAAATCGTAGATTAGTTATGGAGATGAACATGGGGTACATAATGCAATGGTCCCTTCTTGCGGTATGACATTTACAACGGTCCTTGGTTAACTCCTAAGGAGGTTGGTAAACATCTTCGGGTGGTAGGTATCCAATGACATCAGATCAGATGAGGGACTGCTCAGGACCATGCAGGAACAACCACCCTTAGTACCTCTTTGATCTGGAGAGACGAAAAACAACCAATTATGATCTCAACCATAGAGCGTCTTCATGACTCGAGTACGATGCGATTCTCATGCTGCCTTATGCATTACCACTAACTCACTAAGTCTGATCGTACCTGACTGGTCAAAAATACCGGGTGGGATACCAATACCGGTAATTCGCCGTACCCCCGTGGTAATGCCACCACTTCCCAGTCAATTTCCACGGCCGACGACGACTTGGACTTGCAGCCCAGAAACTATTGCAGGATGATATTCGATATACACTGTGCTCTGTGCACTCTCGCCATGCGTTCTGGATTAATTACAGCCGTTCGTTTTCCTCGTGTGTTAGTAATTTCGCTCAACGTGGCAAAAAATAAAATAAAAATAAAAATAAAAAAGAGAGAGAGTTAGATAAGGGCAAATCATTGAGCACCAGTCACCTACATAGTATAACTGTCCCCCAGTCTCGCTCCGATCTTCACCTTTCTCCTCCTTCTAGTAGCTGTCTGTGTTGCTGTCGATGTCGGTTATTTCTTATTTCTAGTCCAGGCTGCCCCTCTTTTTCTTTTCTTTTCCCTCCACATGATTTCTTCTGCATATCTCAATACATACCTCTTCTAGTACTCCTCGTACCAATATCCTCTCTTATCCACTCAGCTGGCTCTGGTAATCTTCTTTCTTTTTGCAGGGTATAACAAGGGAGTATAGGAGGAGAGAATACTTCACGCGTGACCATTTCCCATTAATTCCATGCTGGTCAACTATACCCCTCCGGTCCGCTGAGATGAATTTCGTCATCAGCCCATACGAAAAGACCATTTTTGGGCCTATCTTTACTACAGCAGGAGACACCAGTCCCTATCCCGCAATGGATAATGGCATGGACTCCCTCATCTCTCTAACTCCCCAGTCTCCCCTAGCGGGATCGACTTTCATCCCGGTGCAGTCGACCTATCCCTCCTTGTTCCGGCCAAATGCAGAACGGCCTCGCTTCTCCGTCTCATACAAATGGTGGGAGGATGAAGCCACGACGGTCCTCTGGGCGTTCGACGCTGGGGAGATCCAACGGGTGATTCGCTACGGACTCTTTCCGGATGAGAATCTCCCGCGTACGGCTTTGCAGAGTCGGAATGAGAGCACTGTTGACAGCTTCCTGTTTACCCTTGTGCAGCCTCATGAGAGGCCTTTCATCGCTAATCTGTCGCATGTCCAGAAGGTCGAGGAGATCTTGCGGCGGTCCAAGGGCATGAGCCCGGCGCTTGTCCCCTGGAGCTGGTTTCCGTCGGTGGTGAGCCGTGAGCAGGACCCGGGGGCTATTGCTAAAGCAATTGATGCTGAGAGTCGGTTGCATTTTACTCGGATTCCGTTTGAGGAGTGGGTGCGGTATTCGTTGGGTTACCGGTCTATTTTGGTTGAGTCATTCTTGGAGGAGCATACGAAGCTCTTCCACTATCTCCTCAATTACTTTGATGCATTTCCAGAGGAGCTTAAGAGGTATGCTGAGGTTGAAAAGGTTTGGTTGCTCCCTGTTTTGTCATCTTATCATGGCCAAGGTTCAGTGGAAGATACTGATAGTTGTCCATAGCATTTGCGAAGGCGAAGCCCGTTTGCTCACAGGGCTTTGGTGCAATCCTTGCTTACCGTGCAGTCTGGTGGAGAGCATCGGCCTCCATTAAGCCCAGTACCTGGATTCGACTTCATCGCAGGCCCAATCCAGCGCCTTTTCAAAGAGCATCCCCCAAGCCTGACGGCCATTCTGAAGGTGCTCTGTGTCCTCGAGGTCAGGTTTGAACGGATGTATCTGCACATTCCTGAAATGGACTGGTATGAAAGGTTTGACACCACCGTCACTTTCTTCGAGGACGTGCTCGCATCAACTTCGGCCGTCGACTTGGCTCGCACGTTGACCACTACCGACGAGGGCCACTTTTCCGAGCTGGACGAGCGGGACCTCATGACAGAGGGCCCTGTGGCCCGCCAAATCATCGTGGAATGGCACACGTTGAGCATGGCGGTCTGGGAAGTATGTTCCGCATTGCCGGACTTGATACCCTATATCCAGGAATGTGTACAGGTGAGTGAACATTTCAATTGATGCTCAAGAGGGGTATTCAAGCATTCCAATAGCGGTCATGTGTGATGTCTCTTCCAGGGTCTCATTTCCTTCCCTCTTCATGTCCATCTACTGATCAAAGTATGCAGACTCTCTTTCTCATCCGAAACTACCATTCATTAACGGCGATGTTGAATGGCCTCCAAAAGTACAGCATCTTGGCTATGACATTCAACAACGTAAACAGCGCCACAGGAACAGTAACCCTGGGCCCCGTCCTCCCAGCCGACTTATTCTACCTCCTGAACCCCTTTCACAACTACCTCGCCTACCGGCAACAATTCCACGAGGCTCCCGGGATTCCTTTCCTCCTTCCTCATATTAGGGAATTCAAACAACACGGCCAGGGCGTACTACGCCAGTTGTTCCAGGAAATCCAGATTCCTCTTCCTTGAGCTACCGGTATTTTACAGTATGAGCAGTTGTTGTCGTCGTCGTTTTGCATATGCGATCTCACGAGATATGACCGCTTCCATTGTGGTGATTGATTAATTGGTTGATTGGTTGATTCAGCATAGTACGTGGTACATGGTGCTTCTGATTATTTGGTTTGGTTCTGGGTTTTATTTGGGCGTGCCAGCCGCGCTTTCTTTTCTTTGTTCTTGTTTTACCAGATTGAAGTTTTTCTTGCTTTGTAGGCTATTGACTGGGATAAAATCCTTGGATAGAGGCGTATGGGTTAGAGGAGTAGTGTATTTTAAGGTATGGCTTAGTTGATTGTTCCGCATGACATCATTCCCTTGAGTTCTTAGAATCAACCAATCAACTTCAATGTTAGCCTCGCCCATGAATATAACCAATCTTTCTTCTTCATATCACTGCCCTCATAACCAAAAACAACAGAAATGTCCGCCCACTCCCTCCAACCCCCCGTCTCCATCCGCCCATCACACATCCCCTCTCAAGAAACCTCCCTCTACCTCCTCCCCAAAGCCTCCCCCCACTCCGCAACAGACTACACAATCAACAACGCCATAACCGACACAATAGTCTTCACAGTCACAGGCAAGAAATACGGCTCTGGCTCGGGACGCGAGTTCCGCGATGACTCCGGGTTACCGCTCTTCGAATTAAGGAGGGTAGCTGTGCTATCTCGATGGCCATGGCGAGTGAGATTACCGGGTGATGAAGAGAAGGACTTGGGGAGGGTTTATGTGAGGAGTCCTTCGATGAGGATTAAGCTTGATATGATGTGGAATTGTGTTGCTAGTGGGGATCGGAAAGGAGAGGGGGGAGAGATGGTTCGGTTGGAGGTTCGGCAGACGACGGCACTTTATATGTTTGATGTGCTTGTTGGTGATGGCGATGGGGAGGAGAAAAAGAAAGTTGCGGATATCAGGGAGAGTGTGGAGAGGAATAAGTCTGTCGGGTATTGGCCTCGCGGGCCTTGTAATCATGTGCCTCCGAAACGGGTTTTGGATATAAGGGTTGCGGGGCGGTTGGATTTGTCTATTGTGAGTCGTTATTGTTGATTCATGGTCTGTACTGGAAAACTGACGGGATGCGTGTAGGCAGCTCTGGTTGCGGTGTTTATATCGGATATGCATTTCGGGGATCAACTTGAGACCTAGAGAATGCAATCATGCAAATATATATCTTTCGCCCACATCTCATAAATCTACCATTATGGTATCGTGTATTCTCATCTAGAATCAAACGGCCATGATCGATCAGCCTTCTCTACCGTCAACCCATCACCGTTAGCTCCAACCTCCCTCGCAGTCTCAATCCACTCATCATACGCAGCCCTATGAGCATATTCCGCAGCATCCCAGACCTCATTCGGAACCCGCCCATCAGAATCATTGAAGGAGTCCTTGAGCCATATTTTTAGCTTTTGAACAGTTTCAAAATCCTCGTAATCCTGCGCATGTTGTGCGATTTCTTGCTCGTCTGGTGAATATGGACATGTGCTTTGCATTCCTAGGTCTGTCCATCGTGCTGATAATTCCATCAGCTTATGGCGGAGTGCTATAGCACTATCCCTCCGTGTTGTATGGCAGCAAAGGAATGGTCGGTACAGAGCAGGATCAAGGAGTTTTGCGGGACGTAGTTTGGGGATGAGGCCTTTCATGATCACGTCGTAGATTTGATGGCAGATCTTTGCGTCGTTCAGCCTTTTTTGCTCCTCTGGAGTGGTTGATTTGTCTTCTTCTAATTGGTATTCATCTGGAAGGGAAGCAAAATCTGGGGTCTCATTTGTGTATACAAATGCAGGCTCTATGCTCGTTGACTGCCAGTCGATGATACCTGTGATGGTTGTTAAGTCATAGGGATGGACGTAGATGTTCCGCTTATATAAATCGGCGTGGATCAGTGTGGGCGAGGAGGCATTTTGTGTTTGAAAGTCTTCAACTAATCGCTCCAAGACATTTTTGCTTGCTTGAAGGAGGTGAACGTGCTCATCGATTGAACCCTGGTAGGAGAGTGGCTCTCGTTTGATTGAGTTGCTTTGGGGGGTGCGCGAATACCCTGTTTTGATCAGACCGGAGGCGTATTCGGACAGTGTTCTCCCTGGTAATATCAGCACCACGTCCTAATTATTAGAAACATGAAGCAACTCACAAGGACCGCAATCAGGGCTCGGTCCCCCATACAGTTCAGGTTCCCCAGGGCTGCAATTCCAAAACACCGGACTTCAGCTTGGACCAATGAAAAAGCGCCCATCATCAAGATGTATTTTTCTTGACTGCTCAATGGGAACATTTAGAGAAATATAAGCTCCCATATGCGGGGAAATTGATAGATGCTATTTCCTTGATCTGCGAAGAAATGGCCTTGGTACAGAGCATATGCTGTTGCGAGGACATGGAAGGTCATATTTCATGTAACTGGGACCCAGCCACGTGTTTTTGGATGATGTATTCTGAATGAACTGGTTTTGACGGTTTATCATTCCATGCCAAAATCTTTGGGATAGGAAGTGAGGTCTTGAGACGTACTGGAAAGCAGTTAGTACCAGTCTAGGCCGAGGAGTAAAAATAGCTTTTGACATACAGTACTACATAGTAGTAACCTTCGAATTAGTAGTCAATCTTGCCGGGCCTGCAATCTTGATTGGCAATTTTGCGGCTACACAATGCCCCGAATCCAATTTGATAATGAAGACCCGGTTGAAGCCCCCTTCGTTCTTCTCACATGTAACGATCTTAGTCGCTCCTAAATTTGAGTGTAATTTGACAATGGTATTACAGAGCTCGTCGAAATTAAACTGGATGAAGCGAGACTCTCGCTGCAGCTCATCGCGATGGAGCCATCGTCCGCCGGTGTATGAATAAGGGTCGGGTGCTGTTGATACCAGCGAGGCCTATGTAAAAGTCGCAATAAGTATACTCACGAGAATTTGAAGACATTGTGCTGAGGTTTGTTTTAAAGAGGTGTTGGAAGAAGATAAAAGACGCTTGGGGGCACTATTTGCTAAGCTAGGTATACTTAGAATCAAAAAACGGCGATACCCATGTAATGTAATAGATATATTCGTTTTCTTAGGTCGAAATCTGAATTGCTTTATGAATTGCATTATGGAAGATTTCTTGAGAGCAGGGTTAGCGCCTTAAACACAGTGGAAAGTGTGGACTTTTTATGCGGTCGTTGATACGCCAATAACCGCGCTTAGCGCCTTGAGTATGTTTGTCCATATCTCCATGTTTATTGCAGCGGTAATGGTATGTACAGGATGACTTAGGCTGGGAATACTCTCATGAATCCTTCAACCTCAACCAAATACAAAATCATCCATCTGTCAGGCATGCTAGATAAGCAAAGTCACACTTCACACCAGCCTTCCCAACAAGCAAATTCATCAACCAAGGAAAGCCCCAAAAGCAAGCAGGAACCCCATTAAGCCCTCTTCTTCTCCTCCAATGGCGCCTTAGCATCCCCGAAAAACCCCGCCAAGTACGCCACTCGATTCGCAAACAAAAACCCCGTAATCGAGACATTCCCCCAAGTCAACAAGTTCCACCCCGCAACATCAAAAAACGCCTCAGCTCCCATGGCGAGATATGTCACGTAGATGTGTCCAAAGTCCGCGATGGCAAGACAGATGAGGTAGTTGCGCAGAACCTTGGGCTCGGTGGTTGTGTAGCAGATTCCCACGCCAAGGAGAAAGAGCAGGCCGTAGAGATTGGCGAGTTGGTAGGCTAGGGCAATGCTGCTGGGATGGATGGTGTCTGAAATCAAGTTTGGGTTGGGGGCTTGGTCGAGGATGAACCAGTTTAGATCGATTATGGGGAGGGCCCAGCCGGCGATTCTGAGATTTGTTAGTATAGTAGCGTTTTTGTTTCGAACGACTCTTACAGAGAGATGGGCTCGATGACTCCGAAGAGCAGGTGAGGCCAGGTGGGAAAGATGGTCGAGACCATGTTGTCAATGTCAGGTTGAGAAGGTTAACAAGGATTAAGAGAGCTGAGCGATGGATGAGAGAGAAGGAAGAAAATAGATAGTGTGAACACAGGATATTTATCTTCCAGTTCAACTGCTGTGAATCTGCTAAATAGTCAAACAGTAACAAACAGTAACAAACAGTAACAAACAGTAGTGAATGCTTGTTTCAGAAGCAAAAAAAGGCGCTTCAAAAAAAAGTGCTGTATACTCTTAACTATTCCACTGCTTCATAAAGACATAAAGACATAAAGATGGCATAAAATAAGAAAAAAACCCAACAAAGTATCTATGTATGAATCTCACCTCAGCTGATTTCCAAAACCGGCAAAAGTGAAGCCAAAATCGGATTTATCCCGGAAACCGCGCAACTGGCCGTGTCGCACCCCGTACAGCATCATCGTCAGGCATAATAGCCATTTCTACCAACAACTTCGCCACTTGGTGGCTCCAAAGCTATTTATATACGGACAATATGGACGGTGAACGTTCTGATTCTGTTCAGCGTATGCTTATTTATAGCCATATGTGATTGTCTCCCAGCCCAGATGGTGAGACTCCGATAATAATGGATTACAATGGCGCCAACAACTCTTATAACCGGCCCCTCGATGAATCTCTAATCCGCGAACTTCCCCAACTTCAAAATCTTCGCATCGCTCCTTTGCGTCATCCGGTCTCCTCGCGTGGTCTAAGTGTCCCATCGCCGCTCGAGCCAAATGCCAGCGGAGTTCGTGAATCCAAAGCCAGCTCGGCTGCTGTCAGCAGCGGCAGCGCCGGCAGTCATACAAATCTACCCACCGTGACGGAGCTCTCGAACACTACACAGACAAAGAAAAATGATGATTCTATGTTGAATCTGGAACCACCTCCGAAGCCGATTCTACCGGCGTTTGTGAACTTGCGCGCTCTGGAGCGTTTTCCGTATTCCTCGTTTGACGAAGACTCCCACTTAGCGCGCAAGCGTCGTCGTTTGGATGTCCACCCGGATGCTTTTGGAGAACATCTCCAGTTGCCCATTCCGCAGCAGCAAAAAGAACAGCGACCTCCACCTTTCGGGCCGTTTGCTATCCTTAACGGGTTGAATGAGCCGCCGCCAAACGCCGCCCTCCTTCCTCCTATTGAGGCGGGTTCAATTACTCACCTTCTAAGCAAGCCAACGAAAGACGATGCTGTGGTAGAGCCTGCCTTGCTGACGAATAATAATACCACAGAAAGCCATGCCAGTGAGAGAAGGGAAGGGAGAATCGAGGAGATCTTGGCGTCGCCTGTTGATAACAGAGCAGGACATGCTGATCAGAACACCGTAGAAGACTCATACAGAAACAAAGTGAGGGCCAACAAATCTAGTGGTGAGCACACCAAGGATACTAGGCCCGATAAGGGAGCTCCGCCTCCCGCGGAGAAGTCTCCGCAGCCCCCATCGCCTAAGACGCGTGGTCGCTCGCGCAAAAACCTGCGCAAATGGACGGAAGAGGAGACAAGGGATCTTCTTCGTGGCGTCATCAAATGCGGAATTGGTAATTGGACAGCAATTCTGGCCCAGCCGGAGCTCAAATTCAACAAACGGAGTGCTTCCAATCTAAAAGACAGGTACGACATGACAATAGAGTCAATCGCGTTTTTTGTTTTACTAAGGAATTCCACTAAAACTTCGTTCTTTCAATCTAAAGGTTCCGCGTTTGCTGTCCATGGGCATATCGGTATGTCTCACTCTCAGGGCTTCTCCTTCAAACTCTCTTCTGACTCTGACAGGGCTGCCGATCCGAATGAGGCTACAAGGCAAGTGCGTGACAAGCTCGCTGAAGCTATTCAGCGGACGGAGGCTGAGGGCGATGCAGCTGCGAAAGTTCATTTGCCGCATCCTCAATCGAGCAACTCCGGAAGTGATAGAAACTGGTCCGAAGTACGCCCAGTACTTCAAACCAACGACTCGTCCTCATCAGGCTGTTCATTGGCAACAATAAGAACTGACACCAGTACATCGGAATCTGGAATCGGATACTCCTCATCCAGGACGATTTCAAATGAATCCGTATCCACGCTGGCTTCTCTTGTTGTCACAGAGCCTCCTCACACTGTAAAGCCCAGGCGTCGCGCCCGCCGTCCATTCACATCTGCCGAGGATGAGGCGCTGGTGAAAGGATATGCCGTGCATGGATTCCAATGGACGCTTATCCAACAAGACAAACGACTGAACCTATGTCATCGTAGGGCAACGGACTTACGAGATCGATTCAGGACTAAATTTCCTCATGCCTACCGTGAAGGAGGCTCTATCAGCGGGAATTCTTTGCAACCTGAAACCCAAAATCCAAACCCCACGGATGAGCCTAGTCAGGCGACTGGCACGAAGCGAAGCAGGAAGGCTGAGAGGCGCTCTGCGTCTGTTCATCATGGCAAGGCTGATAGTGTCCATCGTACAGATTCAGCCATGCCAGGGCCTTCAGGTTCTGCGTTTCCTCGTCACGTTCCTGCTCCGCAGGGACTTTCGGAGAATTCGATGACTGGTGCATCTTCAGCAGGCCCGTCGTTTCCGTTCCACCTAGATGGTCATTCTGCGACTACTTCGAACACTGAAGCGCCATGGACAGATAATACGCTGGCGCCAATGGTTTGGGATGATATCCCGTAGCGTTTCTCTTCTATCCTTTTATTCTTACTTCTTCGTTTCGTTTCCCGAGCTTGGGTTACTACTTTTGAGTTACATATGATCTGATTATTTTTTTGTAATCATCATTTTCATTCTGCTCCGTCTCATGCATCTCTGCGATTCTAGTTATACCACGGCGCATGTTGGTTCCTGTTTATGCATTGCTTCTTATCTTCGTTCATCACAACTTATGAACAGCATTTTGAAACGATTCATAGGAAATGGATGGCTTACCCTAGGTGCCACTGCTGGCTTGTTTCAGTGATCATCTCGTCAATTGTCTTCTATTACCTTTGCGGTTCTTTCGGGACAGCATTGAATATATATGTCAAGCCAAACACTGCCGTTTAGTCAATAAAAGTTGGCCATGCCTAGTTCTATTCTATGCTCCGCTCTCCGTCACATCACTGACTCGCAATGGTACCACCGCCAACCCTATACGGTATCACACGCCGAGCACCCATTAGTCTGATGGGGCGCGAAGAATCTTTATTTGGCATTGGCCAATTATATCCCCGGGATCCCTAGGAAGTCAATTCCGAGGAGATCCTGCTGAAGTTGAAGATTTCAACATGGTTTTCCGTGCACACACAAGTATAGAAAAAAGTTGTACATTATGCCGCTGGAGTATCAAACACTAAAGACAAACCAATCGAACCTGAAGATATAAGACTAAGAAAACTAAGGATAACACGTGCCTGAATGTAGAAGAGAAAAAAAAGAATGGCGGAGGTCCACCATACGCCATGCCACGTATTTACCGTTCCCGAATGGGAAAACCACCATGAAGAATAAGGAGGACGGGTTGGTTACCGTTGTCGTTTTGGGAGGTAACCTATAAGGCCGGTCCGTACTAGGATAGGTAGCATCGCTGATTCGCTACCGACAGGGAAACGGAGGCGCTTTCTAATTCACCAAGCGTTTCGGTCCCAGTTCGGGTCTACATAATATAATCAGTATCTCATATCCAATCATAAAATCGCGGACTCTGGCCGGAACATACCCTGAATAAAGCTCGCAAGAACTTTACTTCCTGTCTGCAGCAAGGGATGACCCGCAACAATCTGCAAGAACCTCTGCAAACCCTCTCGCCGGTGCTCAATCACGTCATCGCTGAAGCGGTTGGTGAAGACTTTCCCCGGAAGCGGCGGTATTGTGACTCGTGTGCTCTCGCGCTCCAGGATATCTCTAAAGTACTCGAAGTCGGAGTATCGCCGGCGCACAACGGAGTGTTTCAGTTTGAAGGCGGGAATGTTCGTTCGGCAGACGATCTCGTAGGAGGTGTACATGTTACGGGAGGTTCCGTGAGTTTGGGGATTGCGGACCTATTCAGATGAGAGAACTTGTGAGCAAGCGGTGAGAATAATGACGAGAGTCCATGACACTCCAGCGATATCAATCGATGGCAGTATAGGAGAGCACTCATTAGACTCAGGAACGAAAGCGCCTTACTTCAATCTCGAGGAAATTCTCAGGAGGTCCATAGATCTCCTCGAAGCTTTGCTGCCGTGGCTCAGGGACCGCCTGCATTGTGGAATGCCTGTGGAATGTATGTACTCCGTATATCGCGTGAACGTTGAAAGAGGCGGGGACCGCGGGGAAGATTCCAGCTACTCGACAATGCAATGTACTGGAGAGCCGTATGGATGAGATGCGGTAGTAACTACAGTAAAGCGATAGATTGACCTGGCACGGGGAAGCCTGTTAAATGAATGTAGGTTACCGGGCGTGAACTTGCTCTGCCCTGAAATGGCGGGATAGAATGACGATAGCCACAGCCCCGGTTTATTATTGATCCGGATGGGATCTTATCGCAGGTGGTTATTCCGAGGTATGTGCAGTGTTCTTGTTAATGAAGGATGAATGATGTTGTTAGAGGAATTGGATTAGAAGCTTGGCTGAAAGATGTTCTATGATTGTTCAAAAATTCCTAATTCATGCATTCGTTTTACCCTTTTTATGCAAACTGACTCGAGGACATGTACAGAACCCTCGGAGCTGGTAGTCTTCTTACTGGAGTAGACAATCCGATATCATACTTTTCTACTCCGCACTAATGTTATTATTATTATTATTATTATTATTATTATTATATATATATATATATATATTTTTTTTTTTTTTAATCCCAGTTCCTGGGACCTAATAATGTTTCTATCCTTGAATACTTAACCATGGGCGTAGTCGGGGATAAGGCTGGAGTTAACAGGCGGAGAACCCTCGGATGACATAACCGGAAATCGTAGTTAGTTAGCTAACTATCGATAAGGATGCCGCAATCAACAGGACGAAAGCGACTGTCGTTCCTGGGTGACGCATACAGGCATCCTCTTTATTTGAAACTGCCATATTGAATATCTCCCAATTCATTACTATACTTCATCGTTAAATCAGCGCACGACCTCGACCCGCCGATCATGAGCTCTGGCTCTCCACCCGCCGGTGACCAGCGAGAGTCGTCCTCCCGGGAGTCTGGCACTGCATGGCATCCGGCAAGGGAGTGGCTTGATCAAGGTAATGAGGACGATGAGCAGGACTTGGACTACGAACCGTGGGGTGACATGGGCGATGGAATAGACGAGGATATAATGTCGGAGCAAGCGGAGGCAGAATATCAAGCATACCTGGGTAGGTTGATATTACTTTGAGACTCTATCTCCAGGATGGAACTGACGCTATGCCATTTTCAGATTTTACAGGGGATTCGGATGAGAGACTGAGAAATATCGACATCGAATTCACTTTGGATGACGACCCTGAAGGAGAAGAGGACCAAGAAGAGGGCCCAGTTCAACGAGGTACCGATATACCTAACGCTGGATACTCAAACAGGCAATAGCATACTGATGGACACAGTTTCTGCTGCTCGAATAGTCAACGTTATGAGTTATCACGGCCTACGACCTTTCTTTCGCCATAGTCGTATAAGTGACGATGTTGATGACGGATCTGGACATTTTGGCTATGCATCGCGGCGGCCAAGAAGAGAACAATTTCCGAAAGTCCCAAACGAGGCGGGCAGGGAACTCATGGGCTCTGGTGATTTTGGAAGTAATTCACACTACGTTGACGAACTGAAGAAGCGCAATAAGGCACTCGCGACCAGATTGATGTGGCGAGAATTGGGAATTGATGTTAATGGGCCGCGAACAAGGGCAACGCAGTCGATCTCTCAGGTGAATGCTCCGAGACTGGAGTACAAGAACAATGCTAAACGCATCATAGGATTTGATTCCTCGTTCTGTGGCAGATAAAATCATCCATTACGACTCACGATGCTATTCAGGCCAATTCTCTGATGACGGCAACTTCTTCTACTCTTGTGCTCAAAACTTCAAGGTTCGATTATATGACACGTCCAACCCGCACGAATGGAAGTACTACAAAACCGTGGAATATCCATTCGGCCAATGGACCATAACAGATTGCACCTTGAGTCCAGACAACAGGTTCCTAGCGTACACTTCGATCCGGAATCTCGTATGTCTTGCGCCAACAGATCCAGCCGTTCAGTCCGACCCAACCATACTTAATCTATCCGTTCCACCCGGGGAAAGAAGCGAAGAAGAGCCTTATGGTGGTTCACACTTTGCTGTAAGCGCTGTTCTGATCGTAGAACCTAGCATCGTTGCGTGGCTGACATAGGGATGCAGATCTGGTCGGTTCGGTTTTCGGGTGATGGACGTGAAATAGTAGCTGGTACATCTCAGAAAACGGTCATCGTATACGACATTGAGACACGGCAATCCGTTCTACGGGTAGATAACCATGAGGACGACGTTAACGCCGTCTGCTTTGGGGACAACTCGTCACCTCACATTCTCTATTCGGGATCCGATGATACCACAATACGAGTATGGGACCGCCGCTCGATGGGCGACAGCCGTGAAGCAGGTGTGTTCATGGGTCATACTGAAGGACTAACCTACGTCGACAGCAAAGGCGACGGCCGATATGTCCTGTCTAACTCCAAAGACCAAACGATGAAACTCTGGGATCTGCGAAAGATGATGACAACCGCAAAGTTCGACACTATCGACGTCAACAACTACACGACCGGGTTTGATTATCGTTTCGAAACATACCCAGACGATTACTACGAGCCTCATCCTCATGACTGCTCTGTCGTGACATTCCGCGGCCACCGCATACTCAAAACGCTTATACGGTGTCACTTTTCGCCTCCTGGAAGCACGAATTCGAGATATGTATATACGGGAAGTGACGACGGCAAGGTCTACGTGTACAATCTGGACGCGACACTCGCGGGGACGATAGACGTCGGCATGGCCACGTTTAATTCACGGCCACGTGAACCCGATCTTCTGATGAATGCTTATGACTTCAGACCTAGAAGCGGCGAGTTGCTTTGGCGGACATGTGTCCGTGACGCGAGCTGGCATCCGAGTGCCCCTGTACTTGCAGGTAAGTCATATTATGCTGTTCTTGCAGTAATCAATTTAGCAAGCTAACGAGTTCAAGCAACATCATGGAACGGGTGGGGATTATCGACCGGCACCTGTACCCTACATTCATGGAATGATTGTCCTACTGAAGATGAAGGCAACCCTCCTGTTGGCTTGAGCTATGGTGCTAGACTGGAAGAGGAGCCCGATTTCAACGATTATAGGCAGACCATGCAGGCTTTCCAACGCGGAGGGCCTCTTCCAAGAATGAGACACAGGTATATTAGTCCCGACGAGGAAGACGAGGACGAAGACGAAAATGAAGATGAGGAGTCGGAATAATGATTCACGAATACGATTATGACTTGACTGTATATATTAACTCCGTGATGAAGCAGGCACAGGTTGTCTCGCTCTGGAAAAATTTCATGAAAACGCATTATTTATACAAAAATACAAGTAACGAAGTAAGCCATAGTAAAGGGGATATCCCATCACCGCGACTCTCCCTGCCCCGAGCCGCATCCGGCGCCCAAAGAGTATAGTGCTTCGAAGGAAATATGACTTTCAATCCCAGTATCCGTTATAGCCCTCTGCCGATTGTTCCCTAGGATGAGCCCATTGGTGGCGAAATAGGATGAATACGCCCGACGACACGTGGTATCATGATGACTCTGGTCCTCCTCAACTCCCGGTTTTGTTGTGCATTGGTATCAAGATTCGAAAACGACTCGCTCCGCAATTATGCGCCGCCGACAAGGATGTTGTTCACGGGGATGTGTACTGTAATGGAAGTGGTTAGCCCTGTTGTTCCGTTCGCGATGGTCTCGCGTGCTCCGTCCGACATGTCGATAGGTAGGGGTGATGGAATAATCGAGAGATATCTCGGGATAGCACGTACTCAATTTGATGAAGTACCCAATGGCACCCTAGTTGTCTGTTAGTATGCTTTCTGGTCAAGGCGCAAGCGCTAGGGAGAATTGTCCGTACCATGATAAGGAAACCCATTCCGACGGCCTGGCTGATCTTGATGAATTCACGCTGGTCGGCTGGACAGATATACCGGTTAGTCAACGGCACTCGGTAATAATGCGAAATCATGATTCACGTACGCTTGGTGCATCTCTTGACGAACAGCGAACCGTCGCGGACAAAGTCCTTGGGGATATCGGCGAGCTCCTGGAAATTGTCGGACATTATGGCGGGATTTCACGAGGTAGAGAAGGTGATGATTATAAAAGAGAGGGGGAGGAGAGTTATAAGAAAGAATTGAGTGATAGTAGAGAAGTACAAGTAAACAAGGAATTGAATGTCAAAAGAAGGACGGAAGACGATGATCTGGACAGATACGGGGAAATCGCAGAGCTGGCCTGATGGAGGCCGGAGTTTCTATTCCACCGGGCCTCCGGGAGGTCACCAGCTCCACCGGCACCTTCGAGATCGAAGCTCGCTTTCTCTCTCCCATTCCAACTTCCTCCCATCTCTATCCACGTCTTTTTATCACTAACCGCACTTGTTTCTTATTCAGGCTGCCCGTCGTCTGTATTCTAGGTTGTTGCGAGCGGGTTTGAACTCCCTTTGAGCTGTTTTCTCGAATCGTCCGTCGCGTCACTCTGTCGCCTCCTCTCGTTTCCGGGCCCTACGCTAGGATTCGATTCAGGGGATACAAGTTGGCGGATATCCTGTGAAGTGAATTCACAATTGGGGGACTTTTGACTACTGACTTTTTGTTGGCTCCCGAGACCGTCCTTATCAAGGCGGAAGAGCTCGCGCGGCGCCGCATCTGCTGTGGATTAACATTCTCTCTACCTCTCATTATCATTGATCAAGACTTGCCTTAACTATTTTGCTTGTATTTGGTGTCAAAAAAAGAAAAAGAGGAAGGAAGTTTGCTGCGCCCAACGAGCTGTCAGATCAGATATATGGGCCGTCGGATTGTACGTATTATCGTGTCTTTTTCTGTTTCTTTTTTGTATTTCTTCTTGTCCTTTTGTGTCCTTTTTTTGGCTGGGGAATGATTTGGAATCTTGCACTATTTTCAGTTCAGTTCTGTTCTTTGTTTTGGCATGGAAAATTTCCTCCTTTGCTAATGACGACCTGTGTCTGCAGACATGTACTTCCATTGATTCATCGAAACAGAGAAGAATTCAGAGAAAAAACAAGAAGGATTGTTCATACTTCACTACCAAGCAATTAAACATTTGCCTTGAGATTTCGATCTACACTTAAGCGCTATGGCTACTGAGGATGATAACTTCGATATTGACATCTATGGGGATGGTGGCGGTTATACTGCCAACGAGCCAGGAGATGCCAAGCACGATGACGCCGATCTTATTCTAGACGCGCCAGATAACACCCAGCAAGGCAACGCGCAGACGAATCAGCAACAAGCTGGTAATGCCGGAAACGCTACTGCGAATGGACAACAACATATCCCAAGTTCGGAGACTGCGAATCAGGACCAAACACCAAAGGAAACACCAGCTCCGCAGCAAGGTGTTAAGCGACAAGAGGATCGCCCTACCGATCCCGACGCGACGACTGCTCTACTCATCTCGGATTTGTTCTGGTGGACAACGGATGACGATATTCGTGGCTGGGTCAACGAGGCCGGTGTTGAGGATGAGCTCAAGGACGTAACGTTCAGCGAACACAAGGTGAACGGTAAAAGCAAAGGGTGGGTTTATCAACAGGCTCTTTGCAGGCAAATCAAGCTGACAGACACACAACAGACAAGCATTCATCGAATTCGCCACAATCCAAGCAGCAACAGCCGCCAAACACAAAATCGAAACCGTCAACGCAACCGGCCAAACACCACGCAAGCACTCCCTCACCTACACAAGCCCCCACATGAACCCCTTCCGCACCCTCCCCAAAGACGCCCCCATGCGCAAAGACAACCAAGCCCGCTCAGCATCCGGCTTCAACACCCCCACCCCGAACATGAACTTCGGCATGAACAACATGGGCGGCAGCGGAGGAGGCTTCCGTGGCGGTCGCGGCGGCTTCAACAACCGCGGCAATATGAACAACAACATGGGCTTCAACCGCAACTTCCAGAACCCCATGGGCGGTTTCCAAGCTGCTCCGATGGTTGGCGGTTTCCAGCCAAACCCCATGGGCGGAATGCAGAACTACGGCTTCAATAACCGCGGGAACATGATGGGCGGTGGGATGCGCGGTGGTCCTGGCGGGATGCGTGGCCGTGGTGGTGGTGGTGGTGGTGGTATGGCGGGACCGAACATGATGGGTATGCCTGCTATGAATCCCATGGGTGGTATGGGAATGAACCCGATGGGCGGCGGCATGAACCCGATGATGGGCGGAATGGGTGGAAACATGGGTATGCAGGGTATGTTAAAACCCCCCAGAACACGCAAGGCTAGGATGAGTATCGCTAATAAGTATGCTGCCAGGACAAGGCGGTTTCCAAGGTCCCAATACGACTTTCAACCAGGGCTTCTCCTTCCCCAACCAGGGTGTAGGAGGAGAAGGAGCATGGAACCCTCACGGCGCGAAGCGCAGTCGACAAGAGTAAACGCGAAACTTCTGATCTCGATCTAAACACAGGAAAAAGTCCAAATCTCATCTTTGCCGTTTATTGCTCACTGCTTGCGGACACTACTAGGACCGGATTATTATAGCACTATCTTTTTTCTTTGCTTTTTCATATATTTCCGTGGTTTCGGATTGTTTAATTGTCGTCTTTCTGTCACATTTCTAAGGGGTACACGGGGAACTTGGTCTTGTTTTTTATTCGGATATTTATCTGCGTTTTTCTTTTCATTTTTTCAGGGTGTACTAGATGAATCAAATCTTGTTCTTATCTTGTTTTGCGGGTGTCTTTGGTGTTTTTTATCAATTCTCTTCTTCGTGTAAAACTATTACAATTGTCTTTTGTGGGGCTGCTTGTTACTTTTAGGATCTTATAATTCAATTGCCATCTGGAATGGTTAATTGTGATTTTCTAATTTCTATTTTAATCTAAACCGATCTAGAAACACTTCGACACAACCGGAATCCAGTGCCCTAATCTCACATACAAATCCCGCCAGTAATTCTGAAGTACTCCCAAATCTCGCCCCGTAAACCAAGCGAGCGTGAAGAAGGCCAAAACGAGCAGATCACGCAAAAATAGCATGGAATTTCTCATCAAACTCGATCTTCAGCTCCCTGAATGCCTTCAGAACCTCTTTCGAGACTACTAGATTCTCTTCCTCAGGCTCATCGGAATCTTCAGTTTCGGGCTCGTCTTCTTCGGCATCACTGCCATCATCCCAGTTGTCGAGCAGTTCGTCGTCATCATCTTCCTCGTCATCATTGAACTTTCGGATAGGAGCGGGTTTGGATTTTGTCTTCTCCGGTGATTTCTTGGTATCAATGGGTTGTTCCTTGGTTTGTTCGCCGTCAGACTCAGCACCCTCCTCTTCGTCCTCTTCTCCATCATTACCCTCTTCATCACCCACCCCCATCGGCTCCAAAACATCCCCTCTCTCATCAATACTCGGATCAAGATACGACTCCAACGCCACAATACACGTTGCCAGAATCAGCGAGAAGTCATTCAACAAAAACCACGCATCAGACCTCGAGATGTGATTCGCAACCTCGAGCGGCTGCAGATTCCCATGACAGAAGAAATCGTACAAGTACGCGTTTAACGGTGGCATGCCGTTGTCTGGGTAGACATTCAGCTGAGGAATGACGCTTTCTTCGAGGAAAACTTCGGAACGGACAGTACTGCAGAGATCTCTGATGCTGGTGAATTCGTCGCTATGGCCTGAGAGGCCGACGAATGGGGAGCGGTAGAGATTCGGGGATGAGGAGCCTAGGGTCTGGCTGAGGGGTTGGTTTCCGGAGCCGCCAACTGAGAGGCCTGTGAGAGGGAGGTTGATTTCGGGGGTTTGGAGATGTTGGTCTATGTATGTTGAAACATAGGCGGTGTATGTCTTTAGGATTTCGTTGTTGTGTTTGTGGATGACTTCGGCGGCTTCGGGTGGGATGTCGGGAAGCTTGACTGCAGATGGAGACTTGATACCTTCCTTGTTCTTGAGGAGTTTCTCGTATCTTTTCCCGAGCGTTTTGCGGCCGAAGAGGTGTGCCAGTACGATCATCAACGTTCTCAGCTTCTGTTCGGTGTTCCCTCGGTTAGCACGGCATACGGTCTCGAAATATCCTTCGCGAAGGAGAGCATGGAACACGAAAGCGCTGTTCTCGGTATAGTATAAGTGAGCAACGCTGCGGGCGAGATAGATGGGCTCCCCGTGTCGTCCCAAGAGTTTCTGACGACGCAGATATTCGATAGAAAATCGGAGATGATGGAGCACCTTGTCCCTTGAATCCACACCACCCAGGCATAACCTTGGCTGTGCAAGCAAAGAATTGATAGCTTGAACCGCATACGGCGATTCATCAGAGTTATGCAGAAGGATACACAGACGCAGCACCAGACTGGTTGTGATAGGGAAATGGCCATTCAGGTCGGGCAGTCGTGAGCTTATCAATTGGTACGCTTTGGAGAAAGATATGCCATGGAAGATAACGTTTCCGAGAAGGTCGAAGCCACGACGTCCTGCTCTTCCTGATGCTTGACGGTAGTTCAGCGCTGTCAGGAAAGGGCTGTCGCCGCAGAAGACGACGGTCGAACAGGGCATGTTGATACCCAGCGCGAGGGTTCCGGTAGCTACCACAACGCGTAGGAAACCTCGACGGAATAGGCGCTCGACCCTGCGAAAGTCATTAGAACTTGAGGCGCAAAATGTGATCTGACGGATTCCATTCACTTACAGATGACGGTACCGCCTGTTCAAACCCGCGTGATGAGCACCAATGCCCCTTGTCAGAGCTTCGAGAAGGATAGGGTTGACATTGAATCTTTTCAGCTTGAAGATCTCGTCCTTGAGTTCCTCCCAGTCTTGTCCACGGATTCCGGCAAAGGAGAACTGTTCCAACGGTCTTTCAGGATCAAACCCATCGAAAGAATGCCGCTCATAATCAGCCGGATCCGGATTCGACTCGTCCGGTTTCCGTCTCTCTGCCACACGAGCTTTCTTTTCCTTCAATGTCTGGTACTTTTGGTATTCTGTCATTCTCTTCTTCCAAGCTGGGCCATCTTTGTAGGCTGTCTCTGCATCGAGCAATTTCTTGAGTATGGACTCTGCAATTTGCTCGCAGGTCATTCGCTCGTAGTTGAAGAGCAACGCTGGCAATGCGTTTTGTTGATGCAGGCTGACAAGGAGTGGGAACACGGAGGAGCACATATCGTCTTTTTCCATTATAGCTGTTTTCTTAGGAGGTCGGTCGAATGAAGAGAATTTCGAGTCAAGGTCTTCCCGAACTTTGTTGAAGGGCGATTGTGGATCCATCATCCAAGTAGCCAGGTGACTTTTGAGACGTCGCTCCCACTCAAACACATCACTCCTCCGAATGAACGAAGACATGCAATTTTCTGGACGGAGCGTTTCGGGGACGGGGAACTTAGCAGACGAATGCTTGACCATGGACTCCCAAAGAACATAGCAGTCTCGAGGCTCGAGGGAAAGATCCTCTGTCATCTGGCGCTGCGCATTATGAAGGCTAGTCACAGGGTGTATGGGATGCAGACCCTGTACATGCTCAGATTCGAGCAATCCCTTATGTTTGGCTCGAGAAAGCCCCTGGAAGTCGACCTTCTTTGGTGGAGTGTAGAAGTACTTCCTGAGATCCGAGTACCGCTGCCCGTATTGGACAAGCTTCAAGTCGGTGCCTAGAGATTTCTGCGTCACAGATAGCCAGTCTGCAAACTCGGTTGGGTTGCCGACTGTTGCAGAGAGAGCAATGATGCGGCATGGAGCGAGCAACAATAACTGTTCCCATACAAGGCCATCATCAGCCTGACCAATCGAGTGGATTTCATCGAAGACGATACACTTGACGCGAGGGGCCCAAGTTTTGGCATTGACCGGTGACAGTAGCATCTTCAAAAGTTAGCCTGATGAAAATATTCAAAGAGTAGTATCAAAAGGAACGTATCACTGGACTTACAATCTGAAGCATATGCGGAACAGTCACCAGTATTTGACACTTCATCGGATCGTTGAACCGTATATCACGAGTATGAATCGCCCACACAGACTGCTCACTATTGCGAGGATACGTCTTCCTAAACCGCGCATGAATTTCCGCAGCAATCTGGTTGACCAACGCTTTGGTCGGGGCAACATAGATCAACACTCCGGTATCATCCTCTTGGAGAACCTTGGAGATAGCATGGAAACTGATGAAAGTTTTACCTGCACTTGTTGGCGCCACGACAAATATACTGTTGTTTTGGTCCAGTTCATCAAGGACATCACGCTGCCACTGATCCGGCTCAAATGCAACCCGTTCGTCTGGCTTTGCGCCAGTCTGACGATCCATCAAGGGACCGCAATGGAGCATCTGGAATTGCTGAAAGTTGAGCGGCGCGCCTAGCTGCCCTGACTTGATTGACCCAGCTCTGGGAGTAAATGACAGAGAACGACTTGGTAGGGTAGACGAAGGGTGCGGAACATCTGGAACATCCGGTACTTGCAGCTTTTTACACAAACTTTGAAATTCCTGGTAGCATTGCAGAGTCATTCGAGCGACTTTCTGTCGGAGAATTCGAACCTGGTTCCAGGTCTCTGTTGCCAATGCCGCACGCTCTTCAGTCTCGCGTGAGCCTTGGTACTGGCTAATCAGTAGCGACAGGAGATATAGTCGTGCTTCGGGTTCCAGAAAATTTCCTTTCCGGTTGTCGAGCTTCTCGATGTAGGACTGACATTCTTCGATCTGAAGACGGGGTGCCATGGTCTCTATTTCCTTGACTTTCTTCTTCCAGGAATCAACCCACGATGACTCTTCTTTCGCTAATTTCTTCATCTCGTTCACTTCGGCAATTTTCTTTCCTTTGGAAGACTTGGCAGCAATCTTTTCCTTGGCTTGTGCCTTGCGCAGTTCTGGGGAAAGAACAGATTGTGGTTCAAGAGCATTTCCCTTGGCATTGGTAAGACTCTTTGCATATTTTTCCATGTCGCGAAAGCGACGTTGGTTCCATATGTTTGGATTGCGCCACTTGGTATAGGGCTGCTGTGGTGGATTTATGGGACGTTTCGGGCCAAGTGGCTTCTTGTTGTGCCAATGCCTGTCGTCACGTATGGCGTTTTTGTAGGTCTCTATATGCGAGTCATCGACCGCCACGCGAACACTTGCCAGATGGCTGTCGAAGACTTTGTGCTGGAAGGGCAGCAAGGCCATATTGGTTTTTGGATCGTTGGTAGATTCTGCGATTTCGTTTTGGTCTCCAGAAAAATGGTTGACTTGGTTGTGGACAAATTCAGAGATATCTTGGTAGCACTTCAAGATCGTGCTATAGCTACCCTCGAGCTGCTTGCTGAGGTCGGCTTCTCTATCTGTCCAGGCAGTGTTGAGAGCACAAGAACGAAGAACCCTGCCGTCAATAAGGTCATGGATGTCAATCTCCCAGTCGCACTTGATAGCATTGTTCCACTCGAGACTCCGTAGAATTGCACTTGCAGCCTGACAGAATCTATCCAGAAAAGCATCATGAGATTCCGGGTCGGGAATCTCATGGACTTCCAGTCTTCGCTCATCCAGAGACAGAGATTTGAGACATGCCAGGTGAAAAAGAACCCTACCGGCCATGCACTTTGTTTCTTCGTCTGGGGTTTCCAGGAGAAGACGCAAGAGCGCAGCAAGGCTAAGTGCTTCTCTCATCGACATGTTTAATTTCTGGTTGTCGCCAACAGAGATTGCCAGGCTCTGGAAACTCTGAGTGCATTCGGAACGCGAATCTGGCTCATCCGTGGCCGCGACTGCGTCCTCTTCCACTGTATTTTCCTCGACTATTTCCGAAGGAGGTTTCAAGGAACTCGCTTGGATGACCTTCGTTATGACCTAGAATCCGATACACCTTCAATTAGCAATCTATTTCCCCAATATAGCATCCAAAGCAAACAGCGGACAATGACAAACCTTAATATCTCTCCACTCAATCTCATTGATAACCGCAACATCCAACCCAGAAGCCATGATATTGGCAATAACCTTAAGCATCGGCTCAACAGATGGGACATTTTGCCTCCGCAGCGCTCCATTATGGCACATGGCGAAGTAAACGCTGTAGGTTTGTATGTGCTGCTGAAACTCTGGAGAGTCTGCCGCGGGGAACTGGTGGACTTGGATGTCGGGGTTCACTTTCTGGAGATACGTCTTCAGGTGCTGGTAGATGACTTCTCTTGCTAAGTTGTATTTTGAGCGGTAGATATCTTTGGATGCGGCGAGAGAAGGGAGGTCTCGGTTTTCTAGGAAGAGAACTGATGAGCGTCTGTTTGTTTCACGGGTTTGGAAGGAAGTAGGAGAGCTGCGACTTACCGTCGAAGAAGATAACGTGGAAGTTGCATTTCGTAGACAACAGCTTCGATAGGAACCTCTCCACCATATAAACGGCATGAAGCAATTGGAATCCATCTAATTATCGGTTAGTCTGTACTCCACGATAGCTCCTGATTTAATCCGTCGATCTTACCTTCAAAATCCAACGCAGAATCATCAAGACACTCCAAGACTAGAGAATCGCCTTCCAAGCAGAAAAGCTCTCTTCCTGCGTAGTCGCTTACCAGGTCAAGATTCCTGGAATCGAGACTGCTATACCATCCTTCCATAGTTTCGCAAATCTTGCTTTAGAGAAGGCTGGCGGGTTATGAAAGTGTAAAACTGAAGAGAAGTAGGATACTGGAAGGAAGACGGAAGGAGTGAGGTGTAAGAAAAGTACGAGAGGAGGGGTAGTAATCAAGAACTTTTTTCTTTTGTTTCTTTTCTTTTTTTCTTTTTTTCTCCCCGGGACAATTTGTACAAATACTTATAGATTATTGATTGCAGTCTTGTAAACAATGGTATGTTCTATAGTAGTAGTAATGTTACTATAATACCCAAAGAATAGTTAATAAAAGCCGAACAAGAAAAATTCAAAGGCCCCACAAAAAACCCCATTAATGCATCCACAGCCATACATAGACATTTGCACCCATAATATCAACCCCAACATGAACAGCATTATATGTCATGATATGGAATCAAAAACATAACCAAAAAAACAATATAAAAAGCATAGCAAACATGATCGTTATAAACAAGAGGTATTTCCGAAAGAAAGCAGCACATCGTTATTCGTTACAAGACATATAAAATAACCCTGAAGAAAACACCGTTAGCTCAAATCTTAGAAGAATAGGGACTGCAAATTCATACCTAATAATATCATCAACATCACTCATGAATCACAATTTATTCCAAAAAGCGGGAAGCAGCAAGCCAGAATGGAGATGACTTTTCGCTAGTCTCGCATTCAGCTAGAAAGGGCTCAATAAGTTGCTTCCAGAGCCACTGAGGTTCGAGGACGATAAGGTCAGCAGCAGGTTTTGGTAGCCAAGTGAGATTCGGTTTCGGATCCGAAACGGATATGTCGACGTCTTCGGTGACTTCGGTCATCCGTCGAGAGCGTGCAGCAGCAGCGGACTGAAGCACAAGTAATTGCCTGACAATGTTTGCTTTCTCTCGCAACTTAGGACGCCGTTCTTTCTTGGCGAGATGTGTCGAGGCTGAGGCTTTAGCTTGTGGGCAAGTATCCCCGGACTTGTGGGCAAGTGCTTGTTCGGAATGGAATTGGTCGGGAGGAATGCCCTCCGTGAATCTCGTTTCCGCTCGGGATGGTCTCTTCGTTTCGGAGACATGAGGGTGTATATTGCTTGGTCGAGAACGAGGGTCGATCGACGGTAGGTCTCCGGTATGAAGCAAGCCGGAACCTGGAGATCGCGGCTCTGATTCTTCAAAGGAGAAAAACGGACTTTCTGCGTCAGAGCTTGCCGATGATGACCCATCCGAGCTTGTGCCATCCTCAGATGTCTCCTCTCCGCTAGCGTCATGGGCCCCTGCAGCACAGCGAAAGTTGCAACCGGTGCCTGAAGAGCCAGTACCGGGAAAAGACGAAAACTGCGCTCCCATTCCGCCAGTAAAATGATCTTGAAATGCTTTGTCGAAAATTTTTCCATCTCCCCCGCCCGAGCCACCGTTGTTGCCGTCGTTGTTACCATGGTCACGACTGCTTCTCCTGCTCAAGGGATCGCTCACCGTGGAAGGTATGCGACAATGACTGGCTATGCACTCAAACCATTCTTTCCAAGAGCTTACTGTTTTTGGGCAACGCCAGCACGCCCTTGGAGTCGGCATTTGTACTTTTAAGGGTCCTGTCATGCCGGAGGAGAGCGTTGCTGACATTATGTGACCTGTTGATCTCAACCGATGCAGCCTCATCTTGTCCTTTCGGTACAATATGACTGCACAACCAGGTACATGGCAGCGATATTGATATCTAGGACAATGCTTGTGTTCCACATGGCGCTTGAAGGTCCCTATACTTTTGTATACCCACTGTTTCTCTTCGGGGCATAGCAAGCAACGATATCGGTCATGCTGGCTGGATATACTGGTAGAGGCAGGCGGCATGAGAGCCGAATTCCGGGGTATGGCGTACGATCCGATGGTGGCTTCGACTCTGGTCAAACAGGTTTGGAGAAGACCTCTTACGCGATGCAACTGGTCCGTGGTATATTGGAGCGAAAAATCATTGAATCTTGCGTCGAAGAACTGGAGTTCGTAGCTAAGGTGATCTAATTGTGAGGACGGCGAGTAGGTCTGAGATGAAGGCAAGGATGTAGGTTGCGAAAACTCCGCAAGAGGATCTCCTGTACTGAAAATAAAGTCGGATGCAAGGGTAAATGCGCTATCACTCCCTCGGCGACTTCCACCGTAGCCTGGAAAATCAGGAACCTGGAGGGAGGTACTGCCTCCGTTCGGGTTTGCTGCCATTGTGGGAGGCCTTAGAGGAAGGATGGCCGCTGGGAAGAAGTACTGGGACAGTCCAACCCGGATGGAAAGAGGTTATGAGAGCCAGAGAAGTAAGCAAAGTGGGAGAATCAATTGCGGAGCAGAATAAGCAATATGACGAAGAGAGGCACAAGGCTATGGAGAAGGCAGAAAGAGAAGGGGGGAGGGAAGTAGTCACAACCGCACAACCAACTAGCAAAAAAGAAAAGAGAGAGAAGGAAGGAGAGGGAGAAACGAATGGGTTTATTGCAAAAGAGTATAAGAAAGAACCGGAGAGGAGCAGAAGATGAGCTGAGAATCTAAACGGCGCACGCTGGTTATATAAGTTTCCCCATTCATCACAGCCTCAATTTAACACCGGGGCAGTGAAGGAGTAATCCGAGAAAAATGAAAATTATGTGTAATTACCAGCTTCCGAGAGAAGGCAACGGGCTTATGGTGAGGGCACTTTAACCCAGAGACCTTCTTGGCTGATCCTCCCAATGATTTGGGCAGAAAGATGCCGCTTCCTCGCCGAATAAGATCGTCCGCTAGGAGGACTATTCAAAAGGGTCACTATGTCATGCTCAACCCACTGGGGGAACTCCAAGCAGCCAGACCCACTGGAACGAGCTAATACAAGCATCTAATTGGCAAGAAAAAGAGACGCCACGGCGAGAGCTTAATTGTCCTTTGCTTTCTGCGCCGCGATGTTTTTCTCCATGAAGAATACAATGTTACTGTTGAGGAATCCCTGGAAGCATTACTGTTGTCCTGGGCTCTTTTCCCCTTCACCCTGTACATCTTTTGGGCAAATTCAAACTCTGTCGCTAGCCCACTGCTTGAGCAATCACCCTCGGGCAGCGTAATAATGGCCATTGACGTCAATGGTGCACTTTATGGGTGCCGTGTAGGAATATTCAGCGGGCTTCAAGCGAAAGAGCCCACATACCCATAGCTATTGTCCCGTACCGTGCTCTTAATATAGAACGCTAGTAGTGAGGGGTAGCTTTCACATCATGCACTGGTATATTCTCGAATATGGGTCTCTGGTGCGGATCGACGGCTTGAAGACGGACAGCGGGGGCCGACTCTGGAAGTGATCTGTATGTTCCGGCGCGTGTGCATCTGCTCGGAGCAGTGAGAAAACGGACGACGCAGCTGCCTAGAAAAGCAAATACATGTTGTCAGTACTCTGTACAGAGTACGTCATCAGGTACAGAGTACTACCGATGATATTGAGTTCACGTGCAAACCAGTGGTGATCTTGGGCGACATCCAGAAAAGTGAGGCAAAGACAACGATGGCGACACGGGCTGGAGGGCAAAGGCTCGCAAAAGGATGTGGTGCTTGTAGTTATGGAGGGTATCTGGCGAAGAAAATGAATTTTAGAGTAGCGGAGGACGCCGTTCTCCGGGTCCGTACCGACCCGTATCCGAAGACGAACCAGAGATTCAATCTGGATCGGGACTGTATCTCGAGCTCGGTGCACAGAGATTTGTAGCGAGTCAGTACTCCCCTGTACTCTGTACTTGTGGCTCAATTGCCACTCATTTTACTGTAATAACCCGTATTTACCATACTCCCTCTCTCGTGACTACTGGTGGATCCCTCAGGATGACCAGATTGGGTCTAGGGATCGTAGATGAAACAGGGGACATATCCTGACGAATTACATTAACGAAGTAATCCAACTGTCATTCCTGCCCGCTACCAATAAAAAGACCGCAGATCTAATAATGCCTAATGGACTGGTTCATTGTCGAGTATTATATAGTTATTGAATACAATATTACAAAGACTATTACAGAGGCTCAACAGTCCTCCCCGCACTCAATCTTATCAGCGGCAGCTAGTCCTGATTAGTACTAGCGCGAACCTTATATCAGAGTCTTGAATAATGAACACTTGTAACTATGGCTCCAGTTACAATTCATTCCTTCTCAGAGATGAGTGAGAGGAGAGATTCAATAAATCAAGGTTCAACAAATCAATAAATCAATAAAACTCTGACCGCGCGTAAGCCACACTTCGCGCCACCCGTGGCTAGGTGCCAAGATGATGATGACGAATGGTTCGCAAAGGCAGCGACCCACTTGCACTCCGTACATATCAGACAATATAAGAAAAAGAAAGCATAAACTTCCCCGCCGGTGTTAGTCGCCGAATTCGGGGTTTAATCCATGATGATCCAACAATTTATTTTGTGTTCCGGAGAAAAATGGGCACGGATTCGTTGGCTATTATGCTCATGTATTCTGCTATGATTCACATATAGATGCAGGTACAGAACGCAAAGAATGTTCCATTATTCGGGCCAGTTCGAGAATCACCTGTCAGGTTGACATTGACTCATGTCGATCAGAGAAGACAACAGGTAAAACTCATATTGCAGAACTCAAGTCTTTCAAAATGCAGCAGCTGACATAGTCTATGTTTGCATTAAATAGCATCACTTGTACAAAGAGAGATCATCGATAAACCCGAAACCGAAGAATCACAATGCTCGCTCGTCCCAATTCCCAAGTATTAACCAAGCCCAAAGTATCCCTGTCCAACGCCCAAAACCATCGAAAACCGAAACCGAGTACATCATTATTGCGCCCATGTTGTATGCTGAAGATATCGAACAATGACAATCGTCAAGTATGCAAGAAGATCGAGGATTGGTGAAGCAATCGTCGCAAGACATATATCACTTCTTGTCCATCATGGCCGGCGACCATGGCATGTCTTTTCGGTCCTGGTTTATGAAGACATGCAGCATGTGAGACGTGTTTTTCGACGACGGCGGCTGCTGGGGTATTTCTGGGACTCTGGGGTTGACGGGGGATGAAATATCGCGCTTGGTGTCACGCTTGGTGTCCTCATTGACCCATTCGCCGATGTGTCGAAGATCTCTGTTGGTATTCATTTTGAGCCGTATAGTCTTTGGAGAGAAGATCGTAGATGGAGCAAGAACACGATGCGTTAAGCAGTGGGGTACGGACAATCAGAAACAGTACGGTTGGCTAATGACCAAATTTCTGAGGGAGGGAAGGTATGAAGAACTGGATACGATTAAAAATAGACTGGATCGTAGAGGGATACCCGACGCTTTTATATGTGACCAGAGTGCAATCACCTGGTAAAATTCCCAACGGGGCAAAAGGAGGGTGCCATTGCAAAAGCCCATTCAGACTCTGCAGTGCCCGGAAATTCCCAAGCCGAAGAAGTAAAGAAGAGGTGAGGGAATGGTACCGCCAGATTTGCCCGACTCTGGTTTGTCCATGGTTTCTTCCTGCAAAGTAGGCGCAGAGGATGGGCAGCCGGGCCATGGTCATTTTGCCTTGAAACCATATTATACAGGCTTTGGCAAACATCCTGAGGCACTGTAGTGGCTTAGCGTTTTGGAGGATGAGTCCATAGCAAGCAAGCAGTACTCGGTCATCTTTCGTCCCACTGATCTTCAGTGCCTTGCACAGACTCGACAAGCACATAGGCGGGACTACGCGTGATACTTGATGGAGTCAGGCACCGGGAAGTAATCGAAAATTAATAAAATAAATCCAGTATCGATTTCTCCAGCTCTATCTTTTTCCATATCTCGATTTTCCCTTTTTTCGACGGGCGTTCATCCGGTGATTTGCTTGCCCGTCCAGATCATTCCGGCAGCCTCGTCTCAACGAAATGGTCTCGCCTCACTTCAAACCTTGTTAAGGGTAAATAGAGGGAAAATTAAAGAGAAATGACGGTGTGCAGGGATGCCCACCATATCTCTGCTTTATTTTTATTCGAAAAAAATTTTTTTTTTGCCCTCTCTCTTTCCTTCATTTGGCGATTGCAGGATCCATCCGATATATCGATGTATAATTTAGTCCCCGGAAACCTTATGGACCAAGGAAAATCTGCAATGATTCCCTACCGATTAACTTCCCGTAACCTATTTTTCACAATGCAATGAATCAATAAATGCGCGAAGCATGACAGGGCCGAGATCGAATATTCTTTCCGTAGGGACAATCCTCGTCTTCTCGCACCATCTGTGCATTTTATTGATAATAATCAATAGTAGCAGGATTAGCGACCACCAGACTACGCCCTGCAGTTAAAGTAAAAGTAACCCCATCAATCTTCTATACTATCCTGGACAGTTGAGACGAACAGGGATCTACAGTATCTTCCCTGACAGTCGGCATACTAGGATATATGCACATATGTCGCAGAGAGCATGATGCATAATATATACAAACAACCCGAACACGTGGGTCTATCTCTTTTTCTCTTCCTGGTCAATGCGAAATGTGACAGTGAAGATTCTAGATTCCTACGATATGCGTATTTTGTTCCGAGAACCCACGTCATTTTCAATAGCTTGGTACAAACCACCTCGAGGTACTTCTGCATCACCTGCCTAAAAGTACTTGTACTTTTACCCGATGCCCAAGTTCTGAGGGCGTGAGGCAATGCAGTGCACTGGTCTGAGATGCGGTGTAGGGACTGAGGGACTGCACAGCCATGTTCATGTTCGTAGGTTTACCTTCTTTTTTTTTTTTTTTTTCTTCCTATTTTCCATGTTTGTTGCCCTCGCGGACATAATAGGGTGATTGATGTCATGGTCTAGACCTTCAATGTCAGATATGAGGATTGTGGATTCGATGCTGTCCAACGCATATACATCTGGAACGGTCTATTAGAGCAATTATCTATTGCGGTCTAGATTCCAATAAGAAACAGAAACGGCTGTGCATAAACGGTCATTCAATTGTTTTATCGTAGAGGAGGGGTTTGAAGATAAGCAAGATCTATGGCTGACTATGCGACTTTCCGAGGTTCAATGCGCACAGCTTGTCCGGACGGAGAGGTAGGTAATATAATACAGGTATGTCGCTAAATAAACGGTGTAGATGCTTTTTTCCTTTCACTTTTCAGGCATTAAGAGGGTCATGTCACGCAAAGTCGTTAAGACGTCGCTCCGAAGGCGCGCAAAAGCAATTCATACCTGTTGTGACATGTCAGTAACCTTATCTTATCAACAAAGCAAACCCGGGATACTCACATTCCAAACATGATGGCAGCAGACGGAACCACGCGAAGCAAATGCGGCGTCAGACCACCATACAGCCCAACCATACCCTCCTCCTTCCATACCGTCTTGAAGCACTGCACAAGCCCAGTATACTTCATCTCAGCCTTACCCTCCGCAGTCGACACGGTAGGCGCCTGCCTCAATCTTGTCCGGACAACCTCATGCGGGTATGTGAGTGCCGCAGCGACCAACTTCGCCATACCAGCAGAAGCGATCCGGCCACCCCATAACTCCGCGGTATCCCAGTATCCGTACTCATGCTTTGGATCGGCCAGTTTCACCTCTTCCCTGCGTCCGAGGAACATCTTCATTTGTTCGTACATAACCCATTGTAATGTCGATTCCGTCACGCCCAGGTATGATGCGGAAAGACCCTTGTACAGACCCCGAATACCCTCGTGGTGAACCGTCTGCTTGATACAGTCCCAGCTGTTCTTATATTGTCGTCCCTTTCCAGCTTCCAAATTCGACTTGTCGAGTTGCAGTCGCGTCTTGATGAGCCAGATCGGGTTGGTCGCAGTGCCGGTGGCAATCCCCGCCACTGCGGCCGCTGTTAAATGCACCCCAACGGGCGTCTCTTTCGCATCCCGGTAGTCATAATAGTCACTTATAATACGCTTTCCGTTTCCATATGCGGCGAAGTTGATCGCACGGGCCGGGACGACACCGATCAGGTTCGGGCCCAGGCCCTTGAACAGAGCGCGCCACCCTTCATGGACATGTATCGAGCGGAGGATCTGGAACGTCTCGCTAAAATGCAGGATCGCTAGACGAGGGAGGGAGGTAATCGACGAGGATGGTGGTACGGGGTGAGAGGCACGAAGGGCTTGTAGTTGTGCTTGGTAGAAGTCGGATTGTAGACGGGTTTTGAGGACATCGAGGGGCGATGTGAGCGTCGCAGAAGTCATACCACCAAGGCTGTGGAAAATAAGACTCAGTATTCGTCAACCATTAGCTAAAAAAAGCTTGAGAACATACCCTCCTGCGACGAAATGTGCATATGGCTTTGGTTTTGTCTCGGCCTGATCTGGCCGCACGCGCTGGGGCACCACATTGCCGGTTTCTCTTGATTGTATTATTTTATCATTCCCAATCTGAGGCGATTGATTACCGGTTGCCAGATGCGTCTGCGACGTGCCGGTGTTGGGGTTAGCTGGGAGAGACATTCACGAGGACTGGATGTTGATGTACCAGTCGAGGGCGGTTCCGATCGGCGCGGTTTGGAATGACAAGGTAAAAAGAACACCAAGAAAGACAGTATATTCAAGTCAAGCAATTTGTGTCTCGTGAATTATATCTTGGTGGGTGTGTACAGGAAATAGAAAGGAAATAGGAATTAAAGGGAACATACGATAATCGTATCGATAGGAAGAAAAATTGAATCTCGGCGGCGATTTTTTTTGCGGAGTCCGGAGCGGACCTGTCTGCCACTGCTGATTGGAAATCACTACCAGAGCAGGGCATCAAAGGCCGCAGAGCATAAGAGTCCAAATAAGGCATTATCTATGGATTTACATTCGCATTGGATGTGTATACTTATCCCGTCTCTAGATCGATGTTGTATGAATCCCCGGATCGTCTCGACGTCATGAGCCCTACATGCGTAGTACAGTGACCAAAAGCCCGGGCTGGATTGTGTATGTCGAATCCTAAGTAGTGATAGCGGGCGAATCGAGACTTCTACGGCTACAAGGTGGCATGGCTTGGCTGCGGACGCCGTAGTTCACCTCCAGTCTGGATCCAGTATTCCACATCATTATCATGGCTTCAAAAGTGCTTTTGGTTCCTCATCTGTATATAGGGGCTGCACGATATCCGTAGTCATCCAGGGAAATGCGGCCAGGCAGTTGAAACAAAAAGAAATTGAGAATTTTTCTTTTTTTCTCATTCAAGGGAATCTATGCACAAGCCTTACAAGTGCCGGAACAACGAAAAACCCTATAATATTTTTTATAATATTCCGCTTCGTTGAATGCAAATCCACCCATAGATGGAGAAAACCCAGAAACACCAAACCGCGTCGACCGAATCCATTCGTTTAAATGTGAGTGTCGTAAGCAACAGGGGCGATGGTCTCGGGGGTGATACCCTCGACGGTGTGAGCCTCACGGGGCTGGGCGGGCTGGCGCTTCAAGTGGAGATGGACACCCTGCTCCTTGGCCTGGCGCTTCTTGTCGGCGTTCTCCTTGACACGTCTGATGAAGTCCTCACGGGAGCGGGAGTGCTTGACGTGCTCGATGCGGACGTTCAGGCGCTTCTCGATGTAGCGGTTGTCGACGACCTTGTAGAGGAGGACACCGACGGAGGACTTGGTCACGTTGTAGACGACACCGGTCTTACCGTTGAAGACCTTGTGGGGCATACCATGCTGGACGGCACCGTTGACGTGGATGTCGACAATGTCGCCAACCCTATAGATTCATCGTCAGATTCCTTGCCCTTATAACATATCTCGATATCGCATCAAAGCGGGGTTTTCGTGTTCGTACCGGTAGGTCTTCAGGTAGGTCGAGGGCCGAATCTGGCCATGCTCCTTGAAGTTACGGGCAAAGGCATACTAATATTCCTCGTCCGTCAGCATGCGCCGTTCTCCCACGCCATGAACCACGATCGCAAATTCGCCGTAAAAAGAATTGACATCGAAAAACAAGAGCAACATACCCGGGTGCCGCGTCTCAAACCGTGCGAGTGACCCATTGTCGGCGGTTTTGGTGATACTGGAGTTAGTTGTCGACAACGAAAAAGTGCCTTCTTCCGCACCAAGCGGTGGTAGACTTCGGGATTGCTTAGTGCGCGGTCCTCCGCCAGCACAGCCCTAGCCCTTGCGCTAGTCCACATCAGGATTCAGTTCCACTCTCGCTCGCTTAGTCCCACCCGGCGAAAACAACATCTTCAACTTCTCTATCTTTGCGAATTCCGAGAAGCTTGGTAGTGTTCGACAACTTCACGACAACCCACCTTCCGCAGCCATGGCCCCCGTCCCGTGAGTATCCTGCATCGTGGACTCGATTGCCCATGTCGCATCGATTCTAACCGCTATGTGAAATACAGTCGCGTCTACTCCAAGACCTACAAGGTCCCTCGTCGTCGTAAGTACTCCTCGAAGTTCTACAAGATGAAGCGAAAAATGCGATCAATCACGGGAACATGTGAATACTGACTTGTTACAGCTTTCGAGTCGGCTCGTCTGTTAGTACTCTCCGGCCACTAATCAGAAGCGTGCTTCTGTTTATGTCGTGTGTTCAGTTGCCTAACCATTTTTCGATAGTGACTCGGAACTGAAGACTGTCGGCGAGTACGGCCTGCGCAACAAGCGTGAGGTGTGGCGTGTCCAGCTTACCCTGTCCAAGATCCGTCGTGCTGCTCGGTATGCGATCCCAGTTATTCAATGAAGGAAAATGTATGGAATGAAACTAACTCACTTCCATAGTGAGCTTCTCACCCTCGACGAGAAGGACCCCAAGCGTCTGTTCGAAGGCAATGCCCTGATTCGCCGTCTGGTCCGTATCGGTGTGCTTGACGAGTCGCGCATGAAGCTCGATTACGTCCTTGCCCTCCGCATTGAGGACTTCTTGGAGCGCCGTCTCCAGACCTGTGTCTACAAACTCGGTCTCGCCAAGTCCATCCACCACGCCCGTGTCCTGATCAAGCAGCGTCACATCCGTGTCGGCAAGCAGATCGTCAACGTTCCCTCCTACATGGTCCGCCTTGACTCCCAGAAGCACATCGACTTCGCCCTTACCTCGCCCTACGGTGGTGGCCGCCCTGGCCGTGTCCAGCGCAAGAAGGCCCGCGCTGCTGAGGGTGGTGGTGAAGACGGTGGTGAGGAGGACGAGGAGTAGATTATTAAAACTAGGAGTATGGACGGGTTTTAATTTAGATATTCAAAAAACGGGGTTCCATTGTGACTGCAGCATAGCGTGTCATGTTGTACGATCATATGATAAACGAATAAAAAGTATCATTCGAGACCCTAATTCTTGTCCGTAACGTCATATGTCTATATACACCTTTGTCCCTAACACCCTCGTTTCCTAAAACGCCGTCGTAAATCATACAAACCCGAATGAAGATCCTTACTCCCCGACACCCACTATCTTCTTCAACGTTTCTTCCGCCCCTCTATACCACCGTCCCATCTCTTCAAGACCGTCACTCTCTCCCTGCTGCTTCTTCCGCTGAGCTTCTCTGGCCTGCGCAATCTCCTCCGTCTTGCGTCTCTCAAGCACACCCAATTCCCGCTCAATAGCCTCAGCCTCCCTCGTCTTCCTAGGCAACGCATTCTGTACCGTAGCCAACTGACGATTAAGCGCCGCAAGTTCAGCCTCACGCTCAGATAACAGCGATAACGTCGCAGGAAGAGGAAGCTTCTGCGACGACGATGCATCATCCATATTGGCAACCTGTTTCGCGCGTAACCCGGCGATAGTCGACTCAAGGTTCGCGATGGATTCGGGGAGTTCGGAAAGTTGGGCCCCTTGTAACTGGACGTTCTTATAACGCGCTGCGAGATCCCTTCCTGTCTTCTCCATTTCCTCGATCGTCATTCGAACATCTTCTTTGCGCGCTTTGAGCTCTGCTTTTATTTCTGCGAGTTGGGTTTCGAGTTTGAGGTTTTCATTGTTGTCGACGACGAGGGGCGGATCGCCTACGATTGCGCGGAGGAATTTTTCTTTTGTGACTTGTTCGACGTAGGAGAAGCGTAGTTTGGAGAAGAGTTCCTGTGTAGAGATGCTCGTCAGCGTTCGTTTCCTCCAATCGTGCAGGGTATGCCAACCAGTTCAACTCCGTACCTTGTAATGCGTCAAGTCCGCCTCCAACGAAGACGGCGTGGGGTTATCGAGAGCAGAGACATCAGAGCCACACTTCGAGGGAGACCGTTCCTGATTCTCAGTCTCTGATTCTAATCCGATGGGTTCGCTGATGCGGAGGATGGAGAGGTATGTTTTGATATCGCCGTGTTCGTTCTCGAGGCTTTGAATTTGACTTAGCGCTTCAGAGGAGTTTGGGTCTGCCATGTTGTTGCAATGCCCCAGATGTACCAGAAATCAATGTTTTTCGAAAAGTGTTGTTGGTAACGCGCAATGCGGAGGTAAATAAATTAATCTCTATCGCCGCCCGCCGATTGATAAAATTGCTCCGCTTCGGCGGGCGGTGACTTCACTTCTGTCAATCTTGGGCATTGATATCTCTGGTCTGTTTCTTCTTGGACTATTTTCTCTATTCTTGAATACCATATTCTGGACTTATCTGCTGTCGCATCTCAGCGCGACTCCCTCCGACCATGCCTCCAAGACCGGGAGCGATTGGCGACCTCAGCAACGACGACTACGTCGCGCAGGTCCTCGCAAACGAAGCACGGGATAATTCCAAGAAATACGCTTTGGAGGGATTAGGGGCATACATGCCTAAGAAGTTCGTTGTTTTCTGCTTACATATAGATTGACGCTCAGAGTGCTAACCGGATAACTTATGCGACAGACCGTCAGGCGCAGCCCCGAAACCAAATACGCGATTCCTGCGACATATCATCCGAGAAACGGATAACCATAATACGGCACTGAAGCGAAAGGAGGAGAGGGAGGCTAGGGAGCGAATGCGCCAGTTACGGGAGCAGCAGGCTGCTTCTTCGTCGGCATCGCACGATACGAGAAGACACCGTGGGGACCGGGAGCGTGAATCCGGCGTTCGGGACGGAGAACGAGAGAGAAGGGATGGCCGGGAAAGAGAACATCGTCGGAGGAGACATAGAAGTCGTTCTATGTCAGAAGATAGAGATAGAGATCGCGCGCGAAGACACAGGCGGGGGCATGAGTCGGAGTATGAGCGGTCCAAGTATCGACGGAGAGACCATGGCGACGATGAGCGCGATTACTCGAGACGGCATCGGTCGTATTCTCGCTCGAGAAGCCGGTCTCCTCGAATTGAACGAGATCGTGATTCCCGGGGTGGTAGACGGCGTCATGGACGATCGTCGTATCATTCTAGGTCTCCCGAGCGCTCTCGTTCTCGATCTCCTGAGCGCTCTAAGAGGAAATACAAAGAGGACGGTGATAGACGCGATGAGCATCGCAGCTCCCGAGAACACCGGTCCACTCACAGGTCCAGCCAACATACGAGGAGACTATCCCCGCCGACAACAGACCAGAACCAAGCATCAGATCACGACTCAGATCCATTGGAGGACCTGGTAGGACCGCTACCACAAAGAGACGGTATTGAGGCACCCATGCGCTCTCGCGGACGAGGCGCCTACAAGCCCAGTCATAGTAACATCGACGCCCATTTCGCGAAGGACTACGACCCAACGCTCGACGTCCATCTGGACGACGATGACCCATCCTCCGGAAACAGATCTACACGCCGTCGAGTACCAGGACTCATGACCGAAGACGATGACTGGGAACTCGCCCTCGAGGCCCTGCGGGACCGGACTCGCTGGAAACAAAAGGGAGAGGAGAGACTACGGCAGGCTGGGTTCAGCGAGTCTACGGTGGACCGGTGGAAGAACAACGCTGCTTTTACGGGAGGGAATACAGAGGGCAGTATCGAGGACGTGAAATGGTCGAAGAAGGGCGAGGGACGTGAATGGGATCGAGGAAAGGTCTTTGATGAGGATGGACATGTTGATGTTAGGGCGCCTTGGTAGGCTTTTTGTTGACGATTATGGCGTTCAGTCGTTGGCACCTTGCATAGATTGAGCACTTATATACCAACTTTATCATCCCAATCCTTCAGTATCTTCCCTTCCAATTACTATCACATTGAGTGATGATGCTCGACAATGGCACCATCACCAATCACCGCCAAGCCATAGATTGCGCGCAGTTCCGCACGTTAGTCAGAGCGCGGAAATTCAGCGTTGACATCACTTATTCAGATATTGATCTGATAATAAAAGCAGCATTTGAAGAGATTGATTGTTATCTGATTCGTGATTACCAGGAGTAGATTATCAATAATCGCTGGCGTGGTTGGCTCTGGATCCTTCGACTGGACAACTTCAGACATATATTTCGACAAACAACCATACATCTCACGACTTGACAGGAATTTGCTTCGCTTGTTGTTTCGACGATCGTTCGTTGTCTTGAAACTACATCGAAAGAATAGCATTCTTTGCGCAATGACAGACCAATTCGCATACACATACCCCTCACCATTGGAGGGGTATGAGAATCTCGAACCACTCCCGGAGTAAGCGGCATCGCATGAGACATGAATAAAAAGAACAGAACATGTACTGACAATTGATGCAGAGAGAGAAACGACGACGGAAAGTCTTTCAAGAACCCGCAACATGGGGTCTTGAGCAAGGCGTATGAGGAATTCCCGGATCCTTTATCCAAGGACCGACGGGGAGGGTTTGATATTCATATTTATCATTTTCAGGTTTGTTCTCTTCATTTTCTGGGATAATATCCTGCTTTATTAGAATGGAAGTAGCTGATTGTCGATAGAACAACCCCGACCAAGCAACCTACGCAAAAGCCCTCTGGGAACGAATCCGCCGGGAATGTAAGTAGCACATTCCCCAACACCCGAATCCAACCCAATCCAACCCAATCCAATCCCCCCACTAACCATTACCAGTCCCCGAACTCCGTATCTACACCTTCTTTGACCGCCCCGTAGGCCCTCACCCCGTCGCCATGTTCGAAGTTAACCTCTTCACCCCCGCGCAGTTCGGCGCTTTCATCCCATGGCTGGTGATTAATCGCGGTCCGCTAAGTGCCCTGATCCATCCGAATACGGTGGATTCGGAAGAAGAGAGGAATCATACGCAGAGAGCGACGTGGTTGGGGGAAAGGATTCCGTTGGATTTGAGGCTGTTTAAGTTGATGAAAGAGAGGGAGAAGAGGGAGGAGGAGAGGGAGAGGGAGAGGAAGGCTGCTGAGGGGAGGTTATGGGTGGTTAATAGTGTGCAGGGACAGGGGTAGTATAGTAAAATGAATGGATTTTGATTGATTGATTGATTGGATGGTGGCATCAAGTGTCAAATGCACGTGAATGTTGACTTTGGTCATGCCCTATTCCCATACAGCCAGCCAAACATCACGGGACCTGCGCAACAATCGGTCCATCCCAATCACACAACGCCTGTCCCCCACCGCCGGGGAAACAGAAACATGATCGCTGATCCCATCATCCGCATCCAATAAGCAGCAAGCATGCGTTCTCAACTCATGCAGACGAACTTTATGATCTTCTCCGCCAAAACCGCGACTCAGAGCGCTTGTTCCTTGCACGGAGTTGCAATTGGATTGTGATTGCTTTTTTCCCCACCAAGGACAGTGCTGGTATTTGTGGACGGTCGCAAGATGAGTTCCTTCGGTGCTACTGGTGGGCTTTGGGGGGGCGTTTGGTATGTGTTATTCTTGTGACATGGGGTTTCATATAAGGCTGACCCGGAGATCTTATTTTGTATTTTGACTACAGGGTCGCAGCAGAGCAACTTTTCGATGTACCTATCCACGATGCAGTTGGCTCTGAAGCCTCTCATGTTCGTCTCGGGTATACTGTCAGGCAGTAAGCCTCCTACAGACCTATCTGTGACGCCAATCCCAAGCTATGTCCTCGAATACGGTTAGTTCCTACATAAAACCCACACCTCGTCTGCTATTCTAACAGATCTAGCACCTCTCATCTGGCTCCATAGCCAAGATCCCTACAGGCCCTCCGATATTGCCCAGCAGCTTGCCCATACCACACCCATGGTCAACTGGACAGCCGTGCAAGACCTTCCCGCGCCGGTAACCCTCAGCAACCTGGACGGTCTCAATGAGCACGGCAACGCCAGTGTCTTCTTGACGTCGAAAGAAGGCATCGATGCTGATCCGCAGCCGGCATGGTTGTATGGTGATACTTTCGATCAGAATAATAACACTGGGAATGCTGTTTCGTCGGTGGTTGTCACTCGTGACCATGGGAACGACACGCTTGATGCGTTCTACTTTTATTTCTATGCGTGAGTTACCCAGGTCAAGAGGTATATTGGACACTAGCTCACCAGTCCAGTTACAATGAGGGAAACACGGTTCTGGGAATGGAGTTTGGTAACCACATAGGAGATTGGTTAGTCGAGACAGACCCTACCTGGGTTACCTCACACTGACCCTTTAGGGAACACAACATGATTCGCTTCCAAAACGCAACCCCAGAGGCAATCTGGTATAGCCAGCACGCCAGCGGACAAGCATTCACATACAACGCCATAGAGAAACAAGGCAAGAGGCCCTTGGGCTACTCCGGAAATGGCACACATGCCACTTATTCCACTCCCGGGTTAGTCTCCCTCCTCATTGAGAGATCCCGGACTCATCTGACAGTGTGTTCTCCACAGCAACCACGACCACACAATCCCCGGCCTCAACCTCCCCGCCGGCTTCCTAGTCGATAAAACCGACCGCGGAATCCTCTGGGACCCCACCAAATCCGCATACGCATACAGCTATGAGCCCGCCACAAAGACCTTCCAGGCCTACGACCCCAGATTCTCAGTGAACTGGCTGTATTATAATGGACAATGGGGTGATGATGCGCTGCCGGGGGGGCCAGAGTTGTTAGGGCAGAAGAAGTGGACGGGAGGACCGAATGGACCGAAGTTTAAGTATTTGGAGAGGGAGGAGGTTTGTCCGTCGCATCCGTGCGTGGTTTTGCCGTTTCGGTCATGGGAGGAAGGAGAGGGAGTGCCTGAATAGCGTAGAGACGCCTGATGATTGATGATGCGATGCGCATGGATAATGCCCCGCAATAGCTGCTCATGTGGGGTTCAGATTGCCTGCAGCTTTAAGAGGTTCCATATCGGCGGTGCGTGTCCTGGAGATTAGCATTTGTCATGGAATGGAATTTCAAATGATGTTCTTTTCGGTGCTCAGTAGTAGTGCTTGACTGAATCATGAATAGTCGCCAGTTCTGGAGGACAGAGATGGGAGAGCGGAGTAATGGCGCTCATCGAGTGGACCACCACGTGATACCAATATAGCCCGATAAGGCAAGAGTCAAGCCACATAAAGATACAGACACCGGAAACAAAGTACATTGAGCTATCTAGTTCCGGAGGTACTTTGGATAAATACGGGACGGGTTGCCACCGCGGCACCGTGCTCTGTATGTCAGCTCCACGTGTGATCAGATCGGCCACTTTTTAGAGTCGGACTATTGAATGTTGCGCGCTGGGGATGAATTCATTGATCGATCTGGGGGAGGAACGAGGCTGCAGGAGCGTTAAGAGTGGATATCGTATTGTTCAATACGGTAGAGTAAAAGCCATACTCCGGATGTCCAGTCGAGCACGACTCCGGATGAGCTTCCCCTGAAAATGAGCCCCTCCGAGCCTAAAAATACGGTCACTAAGTCTAGCGCAACCAACCACACGCCACGATTCGGGGGGGAGAGCAAAGGTCGAGCCCCTGAGCTGAGGACCAGAGGGAAAATTTTGAGAGAAAAAAAAGAAAAAAGAAAAGAAAACAACAGCGGATAGACAGATCGCATTGTCGTCGTGCTTCTCATCATTTCTTCAGGCATAATAATAGCAAGAACGGGAATACCTGTGGGTGGTCATTGCTTTCAACCCGTTCATACATATCAATCACTTTCGGACCGGACAGTAGGAAGAATAGGGAAAAAACGAGCCCATCCATATCTTCGCTCGGCCGATCTTCATCAACGCCGGAATTGCGCTTTTCTAATCTCTTCTCTCTTCTCATTTCTCTCCTTTTTCATTTCGCGTATTCGCATTCTCTTATTATCCGTTCATTATCATCATTATTATTATTCTCCATGCGCCGCTTTAGCCGGACGCTGTGAGCTGGTTGTTTCGCATTCCAAATCGAAAGAAAAACACAAAAAAAAAAAAAAAAAAAAAAAAAAAAAAAAA